AGTGAGGTAAAAAAAAGTTTCATATAGTAGACATGTTATTACTGCTGTTTGCGTGTGTGCGCGCGCGCGAAACAACCGGCGCGCCCGGCCATGGTGCTCCTGCCCTCGTATAGAGGGAGAGAGGACTGCAAACACCATGGTTGGGGAAATAGCTCCAGACTCAAGAGGAGAGCCAACTCGTGCCCACGGAAACGAGTAGGAGCTCAACGCCGGATGAGGATAAGAGGAGGAGACGGTGGCAACCGGTCAGCGGCGGGCGGGAAGGATGCGAGGGAAGTTGATTATTGATGAAGTCGATTCTGAACAGGGAACTGTGTGTTAGGTATTGGTATATGCACAATTTTGACATGAAGCGTTCTCAACACAGCAACAACAGGTCCCATGGACCGATGAGACAGACGAAACGTGGCTGCCCTGCACACAGGAACAAGTAAATGGCGAAAAATAAAGCAAATTCAATGGTGGAGGGGGAATCCGATGGTGGATGCATTCACGACTCAGACATTTCTTGGGGACAATCACCAGAGTGGGCGAAATAAGATAAGCAACAAGATTGAAGGGGGGGGGGGGGGGGTTGCATTGGCTGCCACAGGGCCCAACCCCGCACCGGCCCGAAGGGAATTGGGATTGGATTGCAATCGAGGCTCAAACGTGACGCTGCAGCGCGCATCTCCGAAATCGTATTGTGTGAGCGTTGTTATTGTTGCGTGGTTGTGCTGCAGCTTGCCTCACTCGGGGCTGGGTGGATCGCCAGAATCCATCCGTTCCTCACCGCGAGTGAATGGACAGCAGGGGCGGGCGGTAAAAGGAAAAGGGAAAAAGGATGTTGCCAAAGTTCCATATGGCAGTGTAACTTGGATCCGTGGAGGCGCGCCCATCCTTGCTTGTGTCTGGTGTTTTAGCGACGAGATCACCGCTGTGGAGGAGAACTTTGCCGCTGTTCCAGCGCTTGGCTTCAGGCTTTCAGCTGGTGTTGCGCCGGGTGCTTGGGGGTAAGGTATTTTTTTGAGCGAGAGACAGAGACAATTGCCAATGGCAGCTGAGAAGCCGTCGAGCTACCATAGCACCTACGTCAAGGAATGCAGGCATCATGCCTCTTGGATACACATGTCTAGTTTTTGTTGATGCCAGGCACGCATGCACGGCACAAGCGGCTAGAGAGACATCAAAACCATGTATAATTCATTGGATATCTCCCTTTTTATGTTGTTTTTGTGCTTGATGCACCTATCAGCGAGCAGCGCGACGAAAGAAGGCAAGCGTCTGCTGGTCTGTGCTGTTTGGAGCGTCGATAGTGGAGAGTGACGACATTCGACATGGGCTCAGGGGAACAGGGGTGGGACAGGGGTAGTTAGAAGCAGGGGTGTTCTCGAACATCTTGGGAGTGACAGATCATCGTTCATCACCCATCACCCATCCCCTCCATTCGAGTCTCTCTCATCCAAGTCCGAAACTCATGAATGAGATGAATGAGGTGCAAAGATGCAAAGATGAGTCAGTGATCGAGTTCAATGACCAGAAATCAGAGAGGGAGTCAGCGGCGGTAGTAAATGTTGGCCGGCGCGGTGCCTGCCGCCTAGACATCACTGACGGGATTGACAAGACTCTCCCGTCACTCATTTCAACACGGCCGCGGGAGGAACGCAAGATTGAGATTGACGGACGCCGCGTCTGCTCACCCACTCACACAGCCGCATCGTTGGTTCGTTCTCGGGCACTTCTGTCGGTCCGTCCGCACGCTGCGTTTGATTTGGATGTTCGTCAGACCCCTGCAAGCCCGACAATTGCCCACGACGCGGCGACGCCACAGCCGGTCTAAGCTACATCAAGCCGAACTCGGGATGGATGCGCCGGGCGCGCGCGCGAAGCGGGACTCCTCTGGCTGTTCTGTTGTGACCGGGGTGTTGTGTCGACTGTCGAGAGAGGTGCCAAACCGTAAACGGCCCAAACCACAATCGCCCCACTCTCTCGCTGATTGTCAGTCAGTTCAGTTGGTGATAATTACATACTATGTAGTACCTAGTCCCCCTGTCGTAGGGCAGTTGGAGAGCCAGGGAAACCAGGTCCTCGATGGCGAGGACGGCGAAGGGTCGGCGAGAATCATATGAGTAGGGCGAACAGGTCACTTGGTCATGGATTCCAGGTACTCCATTGCCGTTGTATAAGTTGCGTCGTTGTGAGAAGAGGCGTGTTATGAAATTCGACGCAAGTAGCGTAGTCTGAATATAGCCCTCTGTGAGTCTGTATCTTTCCTTCTCGCGGCTTTCACAAGACGTGCAGGAGGCGCGATGGCCTCCCGTCCCAATCGCAGGCCTTATAGCCATCCGGCCGTCCACCGACCCGGATTGGATGTGAATGCAACGGTGAAGTCGCAACGTCGTCACACACACACTCGGGGCACCATGTGCTATGTGTGTGGTGGTGTCTTTGATATTGCTTCTGGCGAGTGTTCCTGGCGTCTGTTGTGTTAGCTTCACGAGCGGCACGCATCCACGTATCAAGACGATTGTGGTTTGTCGCTGATCATGTTCCATCGACCGCCACCACCACCCGGTCACCCAGTCTGTCTCTGGCGGGCCCGTTCGGCCCATTCGCAAGCTCGCACGCGGACGCAATGCACAACATGTGTGAGGATGCTCCACTGATGGTCATCATTGAAGTTGGGCTTCTCAGCTGTCGTGTTCCACTCTGATGCTTGTTAAGAAGAGGCATTGGCATCGGCATGTGCAATTGGATGGGGGATGGGCTGGCTTCTACTATGTATTTGTGTGTGGTTGGGGTGGAAGTCCGAGCAGAAGAGGAGGACAGAAGGAGGACAGAGTGAGAGAGAGAGAGAGCGTGATCGAGGTGAGGTGAGGTAAGATGAGGTGAGTGGAGTGTGTTGAGTCTTGACGGGGGACCTGGAAGCTACAGAGCTACACTAGAGCTAGAGCCACCGGCCCACCCCCGTCCTGGTCCTTCGTGGTCCTGGCCACAATCAAATGGGGTCGTGTCCTTCCTGCCTGGTCCTTGTTGATGGCCCCGCTCTAGTCACGTCAAATCCACTTCTTTTTTTTTTCCCTCTCCTTCTGCAAGTTACATCAACTGAACCACCCGCCCATCGCCCATCGGACTAGGTATCCACTGTTGCTCCTAAGGTAGGGTAGGTAGCTAGCTGCTGGTCTGCGTGCATCTTTCTTGGCTTCTGGTGGTCGTTACTCGCCGTGCTCGCCTCGTTGCCTCGTCGTCTTGCCATCCATAATCCCATGCCGTCCAGAAATCCACTTTATCGCCGTATCGTCTCTAGCGTCAACCCCCCTCCTCTCTATCCTCGGGTTTCCCATACTACTGATACTCCCCATGCCCATGCCATTCGTGATCATCCACGGTATCCCTAGTCACCATGGCACCCCCCCCCCCCCCCCCCCCCCCCCCCCCCCCCCCCCCACCCCCCCCCCCTCCCCCCCCCCCCCCCCCTCCGCCCATGCTTCCGATCCCCCCCCCCCCCCCCCCCTTCCCCCCGTTCTCCCCACCACCCCCGCCCCCCCCCCCCCCCCCCCCATCCCCCATCCCTACCTTTTCTCGCTCCCAGAAAATAACCCGTAGACGTGTCCTGGCCTGGCTTCTGCCTCTTTACCTGTAACTTCTCTTCCTCGATCCACCTTCTTTTCCCATATTGGAACCATCTCTGCTTCTCCTTCTTCCCTGCCAGTTCTTCAGCTCACGGTGTGCCTAACCAGCTAAAGTAACCTGACTCCATTCGTTTCTCCCGCCTTTATTTTTTCCTTGTTGTCATTATCATCTTGGGGGGGTTTTCTTCATTCCCAGTGTTCGCACCCACTCTCCGCCTCCGCCTTTTCGCCTTTGTCGCTGTTGGTAAACTTGGTGAAGCCAGCATCCCCCGGCCAAAGCCAGAGAGAGAGACACACACATACATCTCTATATTCGTTAGGTACGGATATCGAGAGGGAATCCACCACCACCACAATCGCTTCGCTGCAGCTCCTATCTGCAACCAGTCTCTCGTCCCTTCCCAGCCCTTGCTTGCTTGGGTCTTACTACTACTGTAGCTGCTAGCCTGCTGCATTTGCCCTGCTGCCGATGCCGTTGTAGCTGCAGATACCGATTCGTAAGGTACCTTGCGAATTATTCTGCTGCTGCTGCTGCTGCTGCTGCTGCTGCTACTGGGCACCAACCACCAATTCCACTCGCTTGTCCACTTCCTTCCCTGGCCTTGCCTATTTCCCTTCGCTTCCCTGCTCTTGGCGCCTGCTTCCTTTCTTCCCGGGGCTACCTGACCATCACCACTTCTCCAACATCACCCTCGCTTCACCTCCTCCTCCGCTCCTCCTCCTCCTCCTTCTTGCCCTCCTCTCCTTCCCTTCTCCTCCTCCCCGTCGCCTACCCCAACCCGACCACGGCAAAACCCCAGGGTCGCTGACCTCTTAGACGACGACGACGACCGGATCAGTCCTGTCTGATTGACAGACCCTGCGTATCCTTCCCCCTCAGGCCACACCTTAATCGAGCAGAGAAGGTCATTGTTCATTATTCAAGAAGGAGGGCCATAATTATACTCGGACTCTTGCGCACCCGGTCATCTCGTTGCTCCTGTCTCAAAAGAACCCCAATTCTTATCCTCAATCCTCGCGCTAGTTGTCTCTAGGGGCAATCATCTCAGTCACTGGGTCGGTGCTTGGCTATTCTGGGCTACCAGTAATTATTCGCCGCGTTCACCTTGGATTTCACATCCGAACCCTTTCGTCTTCTTTCTCCATCCACCCTTGGCGCCAACAAATTTTGAACCCACGCCACGGCCCGGCCTACCTTCCTTCCTACCCTCTTTTTCGTCTCACGCTCTCCCGGCCTCACCCTCGTTCGAGTCGGCACCTTCTTTACGGCATCCTCGTCCCAGAATCAAGCAGCGAGAACTGATCCCCGAGATTTGGACCAGCAGTCGACGATAGCCAAGGTCCTCGTCGAATTCTGCGGTTTCCCGCTTGCCTGCGTGGTCGTGTAGGACAGGCACAGCATCACACCTTTGGGAGTGCCTTTTAACCTTTTCTCCCACCGCCCACCGACCGATCCAGACGTCAGATGTCAGCCCCGTGAGCGTCTGGCTTCAGCAAGTGTGAGTGCAAAGTCGTGGAAGAACCCAACCAGTAGTCCCGAGGTTATTGTGTGAACCTAAACTACCTCAAACCCTTCAATCTTGTATATGCTCGCTGACCACAAACCTCTCAGTACATTCGTTTACCGAGACGCAGCTACCATGACTTTCACCGAACGAAAGACAAGGTGCTTGGGCGTCTTCGCCCTGGTACTGTCATCATGGGCGACGATGGCACAGGCTGCACCAGAGCCCGAAATCCTCATGCCTCGCCAATTGACCCAGAACCTCTGCTCTAACCAGAATACGGCATCGATGAGCGCAAGTACGTTGGAGCTACCCCAGCAGACATGATGTGGCGGAACCGCTTGGGGATTGCAAGATCCTCTGCCAACGCTGCCTTCGTCACCGATTGCACATTCACGTATAATCGCTAATCTATATCTCCAGATCTCAGCATATGGCAAACAAATGGGCTCTGCACTGATTTCTGTCGAGACAAGAACTACGCTTTTGCCATCGTACAGTGGCAGTCCTGCTGGTGCTCTGATGTCGCGCCGGCCGCGTCCAGCGAAGCCCAAGTCAGCGACAAGTGCAACGATATCTGCCCCGGCTACGACATCGAACATTGCGGCTCGAGGCCCAACTACTATGGATACTTGACACTGGCAAAGAATCCTACAAGTACCGCCGGCGGCGAAGGCGACAGCTCATCGTCGTCCCAGGCAGCGGCCACCCCCACCCCACAAGTGAGTGAAATCCCCCCCTACGCCGCGTATCGTGAATTGCATGCGTGATTTTGCGTGAATTCCGTTCCCTACACGATCCCGATCCTTATCCCTAGACTCCATCATCTCACCTCCACAACGTGCGATGCCTTGGCTTAAACGTCTGGAAACCAGCCCCCTCCGGCCCCGCCTGCAACAGTCGTACAAGTCATCACAGCAGTAAGAACTGAGACAATTCAGAACACAGTACCGCCCGATCCGGAAACGACGACAACGTCAACAACATCTGTATGCTCTCTTAGTCCCTAAAACATGCCGTGCCCGTAAACCTACATTTGATAAATGAGGGGGTGTGTCACTGACGCGAGCAAACGCTGACTGAACTTTCAGACTCCGAGCAGCAGACCTAAATCGACGATCCAAACGGTGACTGCCGACGGAACCGTAAGGACCATCTTCGTCACTCCGACTGCCACGGGAACCGAGGGAGCAACTGGCGCCTCGGAAATTACGCCCTCCAACCAATCGTCATCCAAGGGACCAAGCACCGGTGCTGTCGTTGGAATTGTGGTGGGTGTCATTGCAGCGGTCGTGGCCATTGCAGGACTGGGACTCTTCTTGTTCTTCAAACGTCGGAGACAACAGCAGAACGAGAATGACAAGTACGACGAACCCAGCCACCGTGGCAGCTCTGCCGGTATGACCGGCCCGCCGCGCAACCCCGAAATGGTTGTCACCGTTGATGGAGGACGATGGGATCCCGACGCCTCAAGCGACCATCGCCGAAGCCGTCTTCTTGCCCACGACCCTCGCCTGGACCCCCTCCCGAGAGGCCTGTATGTACGCAACAACAAAAGTGCAGAAAGTATCAACACTCTCCGCGACGACCAAGATTATTCCCGCAAGGTTCACCAGCCGGTCTTGCGGGCAACCAACCCGGATCCTGACACCTGATGAAGGACAGTGGGGCTTCCGGGCGGACCAAGACGACGAAATGCCAAGCACTCGTTCACGACGTACACGAATTCGGTCCAGGTACAAATTGTCGGTCTTCGCATTGCGCTTTCGAGATACCAGGACGGCGTTTCCATTTCATTTTACACAATTCTGCATAGAAGGGCACTGAATTAGGGGCCCTTGCGGCAATCCCGGGCATGATAGGGCCGTTCAGAGAGGATCAACATCCGCGGCAGTACATGACGACCAGTAGGCCACAGAGCACGAACACGAACACATCATATGGGCAACACGAACGCAGTGGACGACAAATGCCAAAATTTCGATTTTCTACCTCCCCCTTTCGGCTCGTGCTTTGGGCGGCAGCAACAGCCCAGAAGCGAAGCTTACAATCGGCGGATGATCGTGATGAGGCCGAGCCAAGGGATCTTAAACCAAGAGCTCTACTTTCCCCTTTCGAGAGTTGGGCCACGATTCTTCGGTATAATTATGGTGGCAACTGTACATACACGAGCGAGGCTTGAAACAGCAGCCAGACGACTTGAGAAGTCGACATTGGTTGGATGGGTGAGATTGGTTACAAATGGCAGCAGTCTCGGCACCATTCCTAGTTCCAAGGGACACAAACATATGGGTGACGATGCACCCACGACACGTAATAGAATGACCAAGGACTGCGGAGGTTGCACGAAGCTGCTCGAGCTGAGCCCAAGGTGGAGACTCACATTGAGGTCACAGGCTGTGTAGCCTGTCAGCGGATGTCTTGGGCGATCGAACAGCAGACTGTGCATCATGGTCACTGGAGCGAAAGAAAAGTTTTGTAGCTAGCTGCAACAATCATAATAGCAATCGAATGCGTACAAATGATTCACGTCCACCCCGCGTAGCGTACAATAAGCAAGTGATCACCATATGCCTCGCGCGAACAGAGTGTTGCTGTCTCGGGCACCCCTCTTTATGGCTGGGTCGGGCCGGGGCCGGCAAAAATGGTACGGTTTCTCAAGTGTGTGTGTGTGTATCGGATGCGGGAGTACGGAGATGGACGTTGCCACAATGGGCGGACACATGTTGGATGAATGGGCACATGGATTCCGACTCTGCTTGTGATTGTTCGCGTAGAGCCGGCTCCGGTCTTGGACTCGAGCATTGGGGGACTAGGCTGCGAAGGATTATTTGTGTGTGTGTGTTAGTGTGTCACTGTGTGAGGAAACTGGGAAACCAAGAGGAGAGAGAAAGAGAGAAAGAGACAGGGAGAAGATGGAAGGTCGGAAGCGGTACGGACAGGCCGCCGGCCGGGGCGGAATCAGGGCGGACGGACGATCGTAACTTTTGGATGTGGGGGGGGATTTCTGACGACGGAGGAAATTAATTATAGGATTGGGCTCAATGGTTGAGTGTTCCTTTGGACGTATGTGAATGGGAGAGGCGGCTTGCGTGTTGATGTCGGCGACGAACTGGTTAAGTTGGTGACTCGGAATTTGCATCTGGTGACCAGGTGCTGCTACTGTATCATTACCTAGACTTGGGCTTAGATTCAGGGCGGGGGAGCGCGAAATGGTGAGGGCGGGCGTTGCGGAAAAGCTTGGCGTTGTTGTTTGGATGCGAGAACAGGAGGGATTTTGGGATGATACGGATATCATCTGACTATTTGGAGGATTACGTGGGTGTGTTTTGTCAGTGTGGGTGTGAAATGAATGAGACTGTGGGTTTTAGCTTTCGGGAGAGATTTGATATTCGCTAACATTCAGATGCCCCAGCTGCGCCGAACTCCCTTTGGGAGTCGGTAAGACGGAGATGGGAAGTCCACTCTTTCGGTCTATGCTTGGTGACGGGCGAGCTAAAGATGTCATGAGCTGGCGTTGGATATATCTTTTACTTGTTAGTTCCCTCTCTCTTTTCTGCCTCTCTTTGCGGTTGGAGAGGTAAGAGATGAGGCTCAGTTGAACCATGCACATAACAGTAGGTGAGCAGGATTTTAGACCGGGCCGGCCGCAGTCGAGCCTTGGTTCTCTCATGAACCCCCGTCCCCGACGTGTTCCTTTGCGGATAGCTTTCAAGGAAGGAAACGTTGCTAGTGATACTATTCTTCCCCCTAACTTCACGACTACGATTGAGTACGGAAGTATTGTGTTTGGACTGTTTGTGACTGCGACTTTTGGGCGTCCATGTTTAAGTGGGATAAGCATACTTCCATCGGGCGTGGGTGCCATGGAGCGAGGGAAGATTGATTAATGGATGGAAGGCTGCATGTTTCGAAACAAAACAGCATGATGGAAGGATTGGGAGTCTTGAGGGGCCGAATGAACGGCGACGGGGTATTCGAGGACTGGGCTTTTTGGAAAGGGGGAAGGGGGGGGGGGGGGGGGGGGGGGAAAATGAAGGGGGGGGGGGGGGGGGGGGGGGGGGGGGGGGGGGGGGGGGGGGGGGGTGGGGGGGGTGGGGGTGTGGGGGGGGGGGGGGGGGGGGGGGGGGGGGGGTTGGTACAAATGAAACTGAGTTTCGTGGAGTTAGGAGACATTGAAAGTAACGTAGGATGGGGTAGGGAGATTAACGAAAGACCGGACAAAAGATTATGAACACATGCGATGAATAGGAGGCTGCATTCGTTGGTCGAAGATGTTTTTTGCTGTCGATTCATGAATTATGACGGAGGAGCTGGGCGAGTTGATGGGAAAGGGGGAATATGCGGTCGGCATACGAGGAATACGAACGCATTATATGATGTTATTTTGACTCGTACTTTGAGAGCCAGACAGGAAGAGCAGAAGGATATGAACCGGGGATTGCGAACCAAGTTACTGTCGACAAGGGGGGCTGTGATATACGACACCGCGGCTCACATGTGATTGACTAGGTGGAAAGAGCCTCACAGGCACGGAAAGAGCTTTTTTTAATATTTATATGGGGTTTTTTTGTTTCGTTCAGGTAGTGCGGAAATGTGATGTCGACGCGTCTCAAGGAACAAATATGGAACATGGGGGCGGGCTTGGCAAGTTGGCATCAACTTTCTTTCTTTTGCTTCCATCTTCGTGATGGTCTCGGGGCCGCAGTAATTAACACGAGTGAGGCAGAATCGCGATGGAAGGAAATGGGAACGTGCTGTCTCTCTCTCTCTCTCTATCCGTATTTCTTTCCTCCATCGGTCGTCCCCCGTTCTTGAGAATCCTGTGACGTCGCATCTGTCAGTCCGTCCAGTGTTCGTCTCATCGCGTTGGTCCGTGTGTTTGATTATCCACTGGCGCGAGAGGATGGGGACAGCACTGTTTTTGCTGTGCAGGAGGGAGAAGAACAGCTGCTCGGACGAAAATGACGTTTGATCGAGGTGCTCGAGGGTCAAGGGCGAGGTCGAGTCCATGCATAGGAATCCATCGTTGCCGCCGGGCGTGCGCACCCGCCTCGCATCCGCATTGTCGTTTCGGGGAATTTTTTTTAAAAAAAAAAATGTTTTTATTTTTTATTTCTTTCTACAGCGTGTGAGAGTGGTTTCTGACATGTACGGATACATATATTCGCATAGCATCATTTGTTCAAGCCTTCGAGGCGAGGTAAGTACTCTGTAGGGTTTGGTTTTGGTCCGCTCTCCTCCTTCGTTTCCGAATTCTAAAACGCCGCGCGGGAAGGCAAGATTGAGGAAGGAGGGGGCAGGGAAGGGGAGGGAGCCGGCTGTTTGGCGTGGATCCCTGTTCATAACCCGTCATAGGTGGTACGGAGGCAAAGATTGAAATAAGAGATGGTAATGAGATGCCCCGTACAAGTGACGCGTTCACTTTGCCCACGCGACATGCGTACGGGTATGCGATTCTTTCACGACGTAATTAGAGTATGTGGCGGATATGTGGCGGAGATGTAAGGTAGGAGATGTTGCAAATAGAAATCCTCGGTACACGGCACCTCTTGCATTGAGCATCCGATGTTGACAATGGGCCTGCTTGGTGCTTGGTGACTGAACAGCCATCTCTTCGTACGGGCTGGGCAGCCAAAAAAGTCGAGACGAAGGGGCCATGTGAAGGGAGAACCCCTGAAGGGCGGCGCTGCGTTGTCCCGGAGGCGGGAGGGATCTCGCTGCTGACTGGATGCCGCCGTCGTCAGCGGCCCTGTAATCTTAGCGCGTCCGCTCCGTCGACCCTTGGCACAGCCACTTGGCAAACGGCCCCGGATCCTCTGCTCTCCTTCGCCTTACATTAGGCTCTTACCTAAGCCTGCTAAGGTTCTGACCCCTACAAGTTACCACAGCCGGAGGAAAGAAGTGTGCGCCCGTTGCTTACCTCCTGAGTGACGGGTGTGTACCGTAGCATGTCTCTCGCCAATTTCCCCCCTCCCCCGTCTGCGCTTTCGTCATTCTTCTTCTCCTTCACCACAACGGCCGTCTCCTTGGTGTGCGTCTCTCTTCCGGTTCTATTCTTCGACTTTCTTCTTCTTGGCCTTGGGAACACTCCATCGATTGACTGACTGCCTTCTTTTTATCCCCTGTATTTTATTCCACGCCATCCCGATAACGAAGACCGAAACGATACCCGAACCCGACCAACGACGAAAAGGAACCCGGCTGTATTTGCGCGACGGACGGTTAAATTTTTGTGAATTCTTGCAAGAGGAGGATCGACGTGCGACTACATTGCTGGGCGGACTGGGGAAGACATCCCCTTCGAACCACACAACCACGATCCTCTGACACCCACATAAACATACCTACACTGTTCAGAGAGGGAGAGACACTGCGCGAATTGAAGGGAGAAGGTCACTTGAACGGGTACAAGTAAAACGAAGGGACCATCTCGGAATACAACTCCGTCATCCTCTTTCGAAATCGACGTTTCCTCCCCTCGGCGACCTCGTTGCGAACTTGCGACTACGCGACCCGCCCGAACACAGTACAGAGCCACGAGGCAACCAAGCTCTGCCAAGACCGGCACCCGCTCTGTTCCTGCAGCGCACCAGTCTTGGCACAACTGTTAAACCCCAACCCACCGCCCTCATCCACACCGACATCGTCATCACCGATTGTTTCACGCCGCTTGTGTCTTTCTCCAAGTCCGCCGCCATCTTCTCCGGCCCTTCCGCTCCGTGAACGAACCCCCGTATACCGGAGGTTATATCCGGCACGGTGCCGAGCCGCCATCACCATGAATCTAACGTGTAATTCAACGCTCGATGAGCTGAGGAGTATGTCACTCGACCCCGAAACCTCCGTCCAAGTGCCATGAGACGTCCCCATCATGCAAGAAGACTAACAAATCCTCCTTTCTCTCTTTCAAGTCCTCCCCGGCTCCGAGATCCTCATTGCAGGCCCTCTGACCTTCCACGACCTCGCCCTCATCATCGCCGGCTCCTGCACCATCATCGCAATCTGCCTCTCCTTTTATCTCGTCTTCATGCACTCCATCAACTATACCAAACCTCGAGAGCAGCGCCAGATCATCCGCATCCTCTTCATGGTCCCCATCTACGCCGCCTCCTCTTTCCTCCAACTTTGGTACTACTGGCACGCCGTCTACTTCCAGCTCATAAGCGACTGCTACGAGGCTTTCGCCATCGCCTCCTTCTTCTCCCTCCTGTGCCACTACCTCGCCCCGGATGTCCACACCCAAAAGGAATACTTTCGAAATCTTTACCCCATCAAGCCGTGGGTCTGGCCCCTCAACTGGTTTGCAAAGTGCTGTGGAGGAGAAAGGGGGCCCTGGCGCATACCCAAGAGCGGCTTGACCTGGTTCAATGTCATCTGGGTTGGTGTCTATCACTACGTCTTTATCCGTGTCGCCATGACTGTCACAGCTGTTGTCACGCAATATTTCCACCGCTACTGTGAAAGCTCCAACAACCCCGTCTTTGCTCATATCTGGGTATGCTTGCTCTGCTCCGAAAAACTCAGGAAGCCTCCACTAACAGAACTAGGTCATCTCTATTAACTGTGTGGCCGTCACGATTGCCATGTACTCTGTTATTCAGTTTTACGTCCAAATGAGGGAACCCCTCAAGGAACACTCGCCTTTCCTCAAGGTCCTTGCCATTAAGCTAGTCGTCTTCTTCTCCTTCTGGCAGGTCACTTGCATTTCCCTCGCCACATCCACGCTCGACCTCGTCCACCCAAATGAAGTCCTCGCCTACCCGGACATCAAAGTCGGCATTCCCGCCCTTCTCCTGTGTATCGAAATGGCCCTGTTTGCCGCCCTACATCTCTGGGCCTTCCCCTATACCCCTTACGTCCCAGGCGCCAAAACCACGTACTACCCATCCGCCGACTCTCGAGACAGCAACCCTCCCCTCCGTGAAAATGTGCACACGGCCCCCAGCGGTGGTTGGATGGGTCTCAAGGCTGTCGGAGATGCCCTCAACCTGTGGGATTTTGTCAAGGCCTTTGGTCGTGGTATGCGCTGGCTCTTCTGCGGTGTGAAGCGTCGCCACGAGGACCCCAGCTACAAGACCGCCGCCAACCTCGACATGGACGACCTCGACAAGGGCGGAGACACCGCGTACCATCCCGCCGGTATCAAGAGCACCGACCACCTTCCAATCGCTACAGAATTCCGCCGCAGCACATATCTGCAGCCCTCGAGGCCACCTCCCCGACCCCAGCGCCGCGGCAACGAGAGCGATAGCCTCATCGCCCACGCTCAGCCGAACCCCTCGCAGATGTCTCCGCCCCGCCGCCCTGCGCGTCCGCACTCCCCGCTGTCGCCGATCTCGCCGTACCAGGATCAGAGCTTCCAGCAGACGGGCATGGCACCCGTGCATCACGTACAACCGGGGCCCAGCGCCGCCGAATGGAGCAGAACGGGCCCGGCGGCGGCAGCAGCAGCAGCCAATCCAGGAGTCGCAGGTCCGCGCGACTTGACGCAGCAGAGGATCGGGGAAGCGCTCTGGGGACCACCGCAAGGCCCAGCGGCCGCCTCCATCATACCGGAGAGTCCAGTGCTTGGATCGCCGATGAACGGCGCCCACGGACAACCAACGTACCAGCACCAGGCGTTTGGCAATCAACAGCAACCGCACGGCAACCACCCTTACGGAAACCAGACGCACGAGCAGCAGTCGGAACCTGGTCAGGCTTTTTAAGCCCAGCCATGTATATAAGATTTTGCTTGAACAAAAGTCACGGATGCAAACATGTTGGATCATAACCGGCGGTATTTGAGAACTGCTGAACCCTTTTATGTCATTTGTGGTTTGAGGGGTTTTATACCACTAGAGCAGTTTGCTGGTAGTTTGGGTTTTTGGAAATCTCGGGAGGTAGGGGGGCGCATTCATAGGAAATTCGGCGTTTATTTTGGTTTACTTTACGAGATACCACATCATTTAGCTGATTGGAAATGACACACATTTATACACTTTTTTGATGACTTCAAGAAAAAAAACACTGTTTTCAAAAAACTAACGAGTTTCATCGTGGACTCTTGCTGATGGATCTCTACTCTGCCTTGGGTGCCTGCATAGACAATGTTGTGGAACGAAAGTGTCGTTTTCGGCATTCCAAGTCCTATTCGCCAGAGGGATTCCAGACTTTACACATTTCAGAATATACTCATATTGTCAATCATCTTTCTTGCACGACGTAGAGACCCAGACTACCAAGGTAAGTTTTGTCATCAATTGCAGAAGCGACAGAATGGCCCCAAGCAGCCAGGCCATCATCATCTTCAGAATCATCCCACCGCCAAGGATGTCTGATGGGGCTACCCTGCTTGGCTCGCCATGGATGATACCATGCAGCAGCAAACTCAGCTGTCAGAAACCAATATATATACACAAGGATTGCCTTGCCTCCGCCTCCCCGAAGAATTCCCCATGATTTGCTTCCCACCAAAAAAACAAAAACAGTATTTCCGTCACGCCCCAACGGAAACTAGATATCCCAGTGAAAGACTCCCCAATTTCCATGTAATACACTTTGCAGTACTGCCCCCCCGTCTAGGCAAGTAGTCATCCCAATTCCACACATTCTCAGACATACACACATGCACACAGTCATGAGCTCAAAAAGCTCTCCCTCGAAACGAAAGACGTCGACATCCGGTAAAGGGAAACGCCCCGAAACTACAGAAGCGCTTCGATGAAAATAAAAGGCACCGGGACAGAAATATCCCGTCAGCCTCGCATGTTAGGCGTCGTCGTCATCGTAGTCGTCGTCGTCGCGAGAACAAGGTCCCACGGCAGAGAACGAATCAAACAGGGAACCACCACGCCCCTTGTCGCCCGGCGCCTAGCCGAGCGACGGACTAGTCTCCCTGCTCCGGGACTCGAAGCTCTCCACCATCTCCAGCACCCTTGTCCGCGGCCTCGCCACGCTCACGACCTCGGCCGTGCGGAGCGTCAGCAACGGCCGGGGCTCCACCGAGTCTTCTCGGCTGGGTAGCGGGTAATTTTGACCGTGACTGCCGGCCGCCGTACCCTCGGGGTCATCCTTTGGCGGTGGTAGGTGCAGTAACCTCCGCCCGCGTACCGGTGATCCCGTGCTCGACGACTCAGGTCTCCGCGAGTACATTCCTCTGGACCGAGACTCTCGATCGTCGTCGTAATCATCGAGGGCGATTTCTTTACCCTTGCCTTTATCCCTATTATACTCCTCCAGCGCCCTCTTCTCCAGGTCCGCGTGCGACCCGTCCAGGCCTTCCATCTCATCTTTATCCGGGTCCACCAGTATCACCTCTTCCTCCTTTTCAATCTCGGCGTTGACAACCCTCAGCCTCTCCTTGGGCACCGTGAACATGACCTGCACCAGCCGCTGCTCAATCGCCTTTTCAATGTCCCACTCGTCCAGCGACTTCTGGTCAATATCCCAGTCGTGTCGCCCCTGCTTCCTGCGCAGGAGCTCGGCGCCTCCGATCCCGGATAATCCCACCAGCCGCGGCTCGTAATCTGAGCTGACTTGGTCCAATGACAGCCGCCGCGGGCTCTCGTGGTCGCTCGAGTCTGAAGAGGTGTTATTGACACCGCTGCTAAAGACACGTCGGAGACTGCCCAGCCAGCCGAGCGATCGACGCGGCTTATGCTTGCTAGGACTGCTGGGAATGTGCACAAAGTCTTCTTCTTCGTCATCACCATGATCATTACGCGGCCGCTGGCCCTGAAGGAGAAGTGAGGGGCCTTCAGCTTGGAGGGCGTTGAACGTGGTCTTGGCGGTCGAGTATGTGTGCGCGCTGCTGCTCGAGGACGACGAGGTGCCCACCCGGTTATCAGTGATGATGGTCAGGTTATTGGGCCCCGAGCTGTTTCCTCTTGCGGACGCCGAGCGGGTGGGTACGCTTATGGCGCTCCTCGCCGATTCGGAGACGTTGCTGGCCGTCCGCTCGTCGTCTGCCATGGACCGAGCCGAACGCATCGACGCGCGCCGTGTCGGGGAGACCCGGCTATTACGGCGAGAGGGCATCCGAGCTAGGAGGGCTTCGGTGGCGTCAATGTCTGACTGCCAGTCTTGCACCTCTGTGTTGCGTCGCAGGAGAGCTTCAGGGCTGGGTGTCATGGAATTGCGGTTGCCGGGAGTCAGTACCGGGACGGAGTGCGTCGGCGTCGTGAAAGGGTCGGCGTGCCCTGGCGTGGTGGGCGTCGCAGGCTCTTGATCTCGTCTCCTGTTGGTATGCTCTTGGTCGTCTTCGTCTGCTTCATAAATCGGATGGATGTGACCCGGAGTAGTGAGATTCGCGGCTGGTTGGTACGCGCCCCTTGCCGCGCGAGGTATCGGTTTGCGTGGAATGAGCAGGCCAGGCGGCTGTTGGTAGACTCCCTGATTGCTTCCCGAACCATGGCCAGTTCTCAGAGATTCATAGCCGAGCGATCTATCAATAGTATCGTAAGGGTCGTGACCTCCCGTGTACCAAGAGTGGCTTGTCCATGGGTACACCGATCCGCCGTCCCGTTCCATCATATCGTCCTCCGGGTGCAGGAATCGCGACGCATCCTGGGCTAGCGATCGCACCGTTTCTTCTCTCTGCTCCTTCTTCTTCCTCAAATGTCTTTTGTAACAAAAGTAAACCAAGAATGCGCCAAGTACAGCAGCTAGCCCAACGCCGAGGCCCACGCCGAGTCCAATCTTCTTCATATTGTCGTTCCCGGTGGAGCTATGCGACCCACTTGACGAGGCCGCATGAGTTGGGTTTGTATAGCTTGAAGTCCATGCCATGGACGTCAAGTTCAGAAATCTGAGCCCGGTCCCGCTCGACTGCCTCTTCGTCTTGGACCCCGAACTCGTAATTTCGTATCCTCCGTAAACCATCATCACGTTTCCGGGCAAAATCGCCGCTCCATGACCGTATATCCCACCATCCGGTTGCTGCGATGGAATCGACCACGTCCAGTCTCCGTACGTATCGCCCATCTCCAGAAACGCGAGTTGCGGGGAGGCAGCCTGGGACACGCTACCAACCCAGCCGCCCATGATGATGAGTGCGGTCCCATCCGCATTCAGCACCGCCGTATGCCCAGACCGGCTCTCAACCTCCGTGCTCCCGCGCTTTTCAACGTCCTTGATCGCCAGCTCGCTACTGCCGACGCGCGGGGCGCCGACAGCTGCAAAGTTCCACGACTCCTCAGGCAGGCTCCAGATAGCGGCGGAGCTCATGTTGATAAAGGCCTGCTGGGTGTGGCCGCCGAGCAGGACGTAGCTGTTCTGCTGCGTGACGATGCCAGAACGGTTCGAGATGGACGGGCTCAGGGGTGTAAAGGAGAATCCGGCCTCGGGGAAGGCCGGACCTTTGCCGGAGATGAAGCTGGCGGAGTACCCGGGCGAATCCGAGTCTGAAGGAGCCACCCTCAACATCGCGTTCGTATACGTCCCATTTCCTTGCCACGTAGACTCATCCGTTGTCGGGGTTAGACACATGCCGCCGAAAGAGTACAATACTGGCTCGGACATGCTCGGCGCGAGGGTCGACGAGAAGCTGATGCCTGCGCCCAGAGCATATGGACCTGCGTCCGAATCCGCGGTGCTCGGCAGTGTCGCCGCAGTCTTATACCAGGATCCTGAGATAGTCGAAGACCCTGCCACCGCCTCTGGGGTGTATGTCCAGACGTCATAGCCTTCCGCCGTCATGCAATCCCCCGCCTGAACTACAATGGTCCCGTTAACCGCCATCGTGGGGAGGAAGGCCGTCGTCTTGGTCGCATTGTCGAGAAACGGCAAGCTCGTCGATATCGTCTGCAGGCTCGCGGCACTGTCGATTGTGGCCGACGCGTTTACCGACAGGAATTCGACACCTGAACTCCCCTGGTGAAAGATGTATGCGACGCCATGGTTGCTGCTGTTGCCCGCGGAGCCCGGCAGGGAGCAGGAAAGCAAAATCGTCGTCGGCACGTAGGGAAACGTCTGCTGCGCCGAAACCAGAGAAGTGAAGAGCAACGCGGCAAAGGTCGTCTTGCGGATAGCTGCTTCTGCCCCCGACGAGGCCCACCGGCCGGCCGTCACGGTCATGATCGTCCGTAAAAGCTGTCGTTTGCGGCGTGGTCCGTCCACTCGGTTCGGTTTGTGTAATCGTATGCGCCAACCGCTGAGCGGTGGTCAATTCATGTTCTTTGCCCTCCCTTTTGCGCGTGCCAGCCGTTCGCCGTTGTCCTCCCAATGTCGATGCGATGTGAAGTCGGGAAAGGTCCAGGTCGAGAACGAGTCGTTCCTCAGCAGACTGGCATTCCTTCCTCTTTTTCTTTCTTCGTCACTCCACTCGCTTCGATACTCTTGACTAGCTAGCAGGGTCAGAAAACGGGCCTTGGGATACGTCGACGAGCAAAAGTGATAAGCGAAAAGAATAGAGAGAAAAAAAGCACGGGTCATGCGGTAAAGAGGAGGCCAGAGCTGGGTCAGGATGCTTAGGATGGAGAAACGACCCCGGACATGGGCGCTGGGGATTGATCTGGATGACGAGCAAATCGAGGGGTTGGGGTGGCCCTGGGTTGGTGGTGCAGGACTGCAGATGCAGTTCGACCTCTTGGGCGTGGGTTTTGACAAGGGTATTCTGTAAGGTAGGGAGAAGGAAAGCAGAATGTCAACAAATCGAACGGTTCGATGTGCAGGGGGGCACCGGAGAGGTCGTTTTGGCGGCGGTTCACTGGCCTCGGTGGGAGGGAAAGGCAGCGTACGGCGTGCGCCCGGAAGACGTCGACTCCCGTCGAGGCCGCGCACTTGGAAATCGAGCCAGGATGTGCGGGAAAGAGGGGAGGCTAGAAAGCCTAGAACCAAGTCTTCAATCTGCGCCGCAGGCTTAGCACCGATGGACAATAGAGGAGATGGGCCAATTGGTGGTCGCGGTATGGCATCATGAGGAACCCGCGGGCAGGTCGGCCCCCCGATCCAGGACGCTTGCCGCAGGTGTTTGGTGTGTTGCAAGGGTTTGTTTTGGCGAGCGGCGTCCAACTGTCAGGCCGTCGCTCAGGGCAACGCCCCGCTCATTGGAGGGGACTCGGCTAAGGCAAGGCGGACCCCCTGCTGGCTGAGGTGCGCCAGTCCCCAACCGGGCTAGACTGGCTGTGCACCCCTGCTGCCGTTCTTTGTTCCTCCACGGGGGCCCGGTGATTCGCGAACGACACTCTATCTCTGTGGTGTTTCAATCTTTCCTGATGCCGGTGGCACTATTGTTACTCCAACACACCCAACACAATGAGCAGTTGGCGCCTGGTTTTCTGAATGGGAAACTCGAGGAATCACATGTTGAACGTGACGTCTCAATGATTGGTGGTCTGAATCATGCAAGGGTCCCTTACGTGCGCCCATTGTCTAACATTGCCTCATCAACCGGGCTGACATTTGAGCTACACCACCGCGGACACAGAAACGTCTCTGACCAACCTCCAGCTGCGCGACTTTACATCTTGGTCCTATCTCCGCGTCACCTCGACACCATCCTCGACTAGGCCTGTCCACCACCAACACCACTCATTGACTTGTACAACTTCGTCCTTGCATCCACATACACAGTCACAAACCTCACCTGGCCTAGACCTGCTCAGCCGCCTCGACAGACGCACCAGAAATCGCGCCCTCCGGCTCCTCAGGCAGCATATCGGCAAAGAAGCCGCCATACCGGCCCGGCAACTTGTCCCGAACCTCCTTGACCATCATCTCCAACACCTTGAGCTCGTCCGTCTTATCCCTCAAGTCCTTCTGGAGTACCGCAATCGCCCTCTCCAGATTCCTCGGCCCATCCGCCGACTCGGACCTGCCGTAGTACGTTTCAAACTGCTCGTTCATAAACCGCGCCTTCTCCAGCTCCGTCGCGAGCGTCTCGTTGTGCTCCTTGAGCGCTGCGCCCGAGGTCGTGAGGCGGTGGTTCTGGATCTCCATCCGCGTCGCCTCGTCCAGCTGGCTCTTGTACTTGCTCTCCCAGTCCGAGACGCGCGCCGGCCACGTCGGGGTCACGACCGAGACCACCGTCGGCGTGAGTTCGAGGCGCCGCGTCTGCTGCACTGCCGGGTGTTCGCCGTGCGCGGGCAGGATGAAGATTGTGCTCTTGCCCTTGCCCTGCAACCTGTAATACCGCGTCTTGACGTCGTAAAAGACGAGGCCGCGCGCGTAAAGATCGCCGCCGCGCTGCTCGTTCCACATTCGCTCGCCGTAAGTGCCGTTGGCCATCCAGATCTCCTTCTTCTGCTGGATCTGCGCCTCCTCCCGGTCCAACACCCGGTGCAGGTAGTCAGAGACGTCGTCGCCCGCGTTTGCAAGGATCCACTTGTCCTGGGGAAAGGCGATCTCGCGCCCGGACGAGGCGTCGGGTCCCATCTTGGATAGCATTTGCATCGGCACGGCGGCCTCGCCTGCGGTGACGTCGAGCGCGTTGGCGTAACCCAGCTCCAGATCGTGCATGCGGGCCACAAGATGCTGGCCAAAGAGGAGCCATTGGCCCAGGAGGCTGTTGCGTACGGCGCTCATCTCTTCTGAGTCAGTCTCAGCATCGGTAGGTAGGAGGGACAAAAGGCCTCCCGTGGCACCGTACTCGTGATCTAGTACCTCGAGACACTCGTTTGCGTGAAATGCTAGAGCGGCGTGCGAGGCATAGGGACGAGGCTTCGTCCTCTTCTCCTTGTCTTCGTTGTGCTCTTGTAGAGGGCAATGATGAATGGTGTGCTGGGTGTCCGACTGGTGCTGTATCTTGTTCATGAGATCAGTCAGGGGCTTGTGATGCCACTCATCGTCGTTCTGATATGGATTTCTCAAGTCGTTGAGCCAGTCAAAGGCCTCGTTGTCTCTAAACGACTTCATGATGCGCCCCACGCGATTGTTTTGATTGTCAACCTCGGCGTACTGGGTTGTAGGTGCAATCTGAGCAATAAGTATAGCCAGCGCTTGCGCATGTTGCTTGAGAGCGAGTAGTGTAGGCGCGTGTCCATGTGTTGAGAGATATCCACAATTGACGTGACGCAGGAGATCAACGTCCAAGTCAGCAACGGGAGTGCTTCTAGCTGCTTCATTACCACCGGCGTTGAGAACCTCTTCGGTGTAGCGGGACTGGTAGGCATTGGCGTACGGAGTCTTTTCGACGTGAACTTGAGGTGTGTCACCGTGTCTGGAGGTTTGAGAAGTCATGATAACAAGTCTGATTGAGTGTAGCACCCAGGGAAGACTCAAGAGGCACTAGGGGAACCGGCTGGCGAGATGAATGGCGGGACAAGTGGACGATGCCAATAAGGATTATTCTTGGGGAGACTTGTATTTTATCATTGCTGCCGATTCGAAGGGATGAGAGTTATCCGGTGACGACACATGCTGCAAAGACTTGGACAAAGGGCATATAGCAAAGCCTCCGGCGTGAAGCTCAACACTGACCAGGCAAACAAGAGACCTGCATGGCAATGATGATGGCTCTATTTTGGGAACAATGACAGCGAAAGTTTTGGCATTTGAATGCGACTTCCTTTCATTGTGAGAGTATGAAGGTTGCAAGTCGTCTAAGACCAAAGCCTTTTTCCATCACTCATCCTGGAAGAGAACGGCAGCCCGCCTTGTCTAGAGATCATCACTCTTGACTTTGTGCAAGCGAAGAAGGAGGTAAGAAAGTGGACTACCATATTTCGATTGAATTCGTTGAAAAGCTAGGCAGCATCATCTGAACAACGAGCTCTTGAAGCGACGTGCTCATCATGTTGCAGATCGGGATTAAGTACATGGCCAATGCGAGCAGCCATTGGCATATGCATATGGCCCATTAGCAAGGCATATATGCTGTTACTCCAGAAGGGTATGTTTGGTCAATGGAGCAATGCGAGAGAAGTGTTCATCAGCCGAGAACGCATTTCTGGAAGGGGTCATGAAATCAGGGTTCTAAAGTCGTTTGCAGTCGAGGCCTCTTGATAGCCTCATCCCCGCGCCTCGACCAGCTCCAAGCGTGGTCATGAGCCTAAACCCAGGCTGAATGAAGTTCGGCTCAATCGGTCGTTGGCAAGTGTGCTTTGCTACTGCTTAGCAGTATCGCTGATGATTGTTTATCGAGCGTAGTCTCGAACGGAGCTTTCAAATAGAGTTTAGGCCGGTCGCCGAGGTTCGCGTTTCTCATTTCTCAGCGGAGAGGTCCGGAATTGGGGCGAAGTCGTCCGGGATGTTTGATGAAGGGGTTGAGTGCGGTATAGGGGCCTGGGCCGGGCGAAATGCGGCCGGTCAGCTCGCGGGTACGCACGTGGGGCGCATAAAACCACGAATCTGCAAGAAGTGCAGCATGTCCAGCTGTGTTGGCTGATAAGTTGTAAATATGCAAATGATGCTGAGGACTACAGATTGCCCTGGTCGGGTAGATCGCCCTTCGGCTAGGGATGATGCCGCTTCGTTGGTGGCATTGCCCACCTGTCATCGGCGCCATATCATTCCAAAATGCGCGTCCTCAGCGGTTTGGCGCGGAACATTCGAAACAAACGAAGATGCGTCGAAACCGTGTAACCAGCGATGGGCCATATACAGAAGGCCGCAGGCAGCTAACGTCGTCAATTGTCGTGCTGAGTACAAGTAGTTACGGATACAGTGGCTGATGGATTCTATGAATTCCAGGCGGTACGGCTTTGTCTCTCATGGTTCACTGGCCATGGGCTTGGCTGGTCTACCCCGTGCGTTTCTGCCGGAGACACAATTTCCTTCGTCAGCCGAGCAGGGGTCTAAGAGGAGATGGTCTATCAATGGTGGCATGGGGACGGGTGTCAAACTGTGGAGGATTTGAGATTTTCTGGCAGAGTAGCGCCGATGTAGGTTGATAGGGCCGCCGGAAGCGGTTTGGCCTGGCTGACCATCGGCGCTAGTGTAGAAAAGATGGGTGGGCAGCCAGCGAAGCGTTCCAGCGGAGGAAATTGGCAGCATTCGTAGAGAAGAGATCGTAGGTGCCATACTATGTAGGTCCCATTCTCCATCCTTCGTCTCGATGCGCCAACTCCCAAGACCACCGGTGCGTTGGTCCAAGGGCTGCAGCGATTGAGAGGTGCACGAATGTCACTGTGCATATAGCCGTGTCATTTTCGATGACGCCTATGAAGGCTGCCCAGCCGGCCGGTGTCTGAACCGTCTTTTCTGGGGTATCTCAAGAGCTGTCATGTTATGGACGTTTTCGAGTGGAATGCGCGAGAGCCGCGCGGAAGTGGATGCTTGGCTATGCGTAGCTGGTCGATAGCATGGACAATCACGAGCGGATTGCGTCAGTGGGCAGGCAGAATTGGTTTTTTTCTTGTGCATCTCTCACTCGGCCGAAGTAGCCAAGCACGTTGATGTCACTCGGTAGGCTTGGTGCCGTGGGGTGCCGTGTGGCTGCCGTTGCTTGTGCCGCTCGCCGTGTCGCCGGGAAAAGGCTTCAGAGGGGCCCATGAGGTTTCGGGGTAGAATGGGCGGCGGTCGGGAAAGTTGCCGTGAAGGAGGTTGAGAGTTCAAGAGTTGGCCGTCTGAACTCTGAAGGCCAGTTTATGTGGCACCGCCCGCAACGATGGACGGGGACCCTGCAAAACTGCGCGAGCCCTGCAGCTGCAGTGGGAAGGATAAAAGTCCAGATTTTAAGTGGTGAAAACCGGGAAGCGCACCCAGGGCAGTTTGGCTGTCTGCCGGGGGGTTGTTTGTTGGCTGCAACGCTGCCGGCGGGTGGCAGGACTGGTGGACCACGGTGTTTCCGGGTAGGAAACGCGTGAATCAGGACAGAGATGAATAAGGAAGTGCGACTGGTGAGATTTGGATTGAACTCCATGCCGTAGTCGACGAGACGAACACACCGTGATACTCCAAGACAAGCGACGAATGTTTGGGTGCGTCAGAGTGAACAGACCTCGGAGGCGTCTGAGCCTCGGAAGGTCATTGAGGGAAGGTGCAGACGAGAGGGAGCCGAGACCACACACTGGTAAAGGATAATCGGACTAAGGTAGGGTGGTAGGTAAGACTGGACGGCAATCTGGACCGAGAAACCTTGATCAGAGCAGAGATATGGATACAACAGAAAAAAAATAAAACGGAGAAGGCAGTGCCCACAAACCGGCAACGGCAGCGTTGAATGATGAGGGAGGTTTCCAGTTGCAAACACAGCGGCCAATCATGAACCGTCGCATGCAGCTTTCAGCAGACCCACTCCACCTCGACTGGCCAGGAATCGTCGATAGAAGTTGGAGGAATCCACTCGGTGGTAGGTGCGCTGCCGTTCCCTGGATGGCAGGCGCATCGACGCCAGGAAACTGTCGGGGTATTATCCAACTTTCCATATCGAACTCTGCTGTAACAAAGTGGCACAGGGTGGGTGGGGGGACTTGTGAAGGTGCAGGATTGCAGGTAGAGTCAACCTCCTCCAAAATGCATATCCGGCTAGCCCCTGTTTGGACGAGGGGGCTCCCCTGTTCCTGACCACGCTGACCTTTCACCATGCACACACTGAGAACACTGCGTTTGCACGGGCCTGTCGAGTCGATTGGCGCTGCGTCTCCGCGTCATAGTTAGCATTGGCTGGCATTCTCTACTACACTACCTATCCAAACCCTGCGGCGCGTCCAGCGAGGATTGGGATACCTAGTGGCTCTGCCGACAGCTTAACCTGGAACACACCACTCCCGCGCCTCGTTTCCCCTTGCCCGCGCCACCCACTCGATCTGTCCGGCACAATGAGGTAGCAATCTTTGCATGTGGGGTGAGGCACTGCGTGAAGAAGCCCTGTTCGGGACTACGTGTTGACTGTCAAAAGGAGGACGAGGAGGGTCCGACGAAGCTGTCTTCAGCTGGTGTGTGTCTTGCACCGGCGGGATGGGATGTGGAATGGACGACAACCCGGTCTAGGCCACGCCGAACTGGGGTATCAATTTTGAATCTCCCGGTGGCCTCCCTCTCAGACTTCGTCCCTATGTGCGTCCTTCCTGGTCGCTGAGGGCCTGTCTGAGAGGAGAGGACCCTTTGGAAATAAGAATAAGGGACGACGAGGACCCCTCATCGGACCAAGGGTATTCGTCTCAAGCACTCGGACTGGATTGTCCAGATAGAGATACAGATAATAGGGATTACGACTCGTGGACCCCTTCCTGCCACAGACTTTATCCAACGACTCCATCCATCTGTCGGTCTGCCCATCATTCTCCACCAAGATCTGCTTGTTCTTGCGTCGCGCCCGACCTCCTACCCTTCATCGACGGCATCTCCCTCGGCTCGATCGACAATTCCTGCTCTCATCCCCAGCAACCTCCACGCCCTCCTCCTCCACCTCCTTCTTCTCCTCCTCCATCGTGCTGGCTGCAATTGACCCAGCTGGCGCAGCAGTCGTGACAGCAACAGCAAGCAGTGACGGCAGTAAAGAGACACGGAGAGAGGCTAACGCTGCCCCTAGTGCTGTCTTGTGGCGTCGCCTCCTTTCAGCACAGCGAACTGAGACATTGGAAGACGCCCAATTTCCCCAATCTATTCCTACCAACAGCTAAAGTACCTCGTCACGTCACTGCCCTGTGTTCATCTGCCGCTTCTCTTACGGTTTACCCCCTTGGCAACAAGCAGCAGCACCAGAGCAGCACCAAAGCAGACCCCCCCGCAAGCGCACCGCACTACCTCATCTCACCAGCGCGCAATCAGTTACCTCAGAGCTCTGGGCACCTCGTCGCTTGTGTAACTGATCGACGCTCGGCCTGGCCCATCCCAGCATCCATCCAACTACGAACCCTTCGTCTCATTTCCCAACTCCCGGTTTTTCAACAACGCGCACAACACATATCATCCCCCACCCTGCCCCCATCCACTACTTCTTTTAAACCCCCTGTCCTTGACCTTCTTTTCTCTTCCCGCCCAGTGTCCACGGTTCTTCGTCTGTCTCTCCACGACACACGACCCTCGATACCCTTCCCTGTTTAATACCCGGCTTGGCCCCAGGGACACCCCACTGCATTCGACTTCTTTTCTTTCGACTCAACTTTGTCCTGGCATAGACACTTACAACTCGAACGACCAACAGGCGTCTCAATTCGCCTAGACGCCACCATGTCGAGCCTCGACGATCTCCAAGGTGGCCAGAGCAACCGTGGCGAGGCCATTGGTAGTACCTCGGGCAGCACCATTTCTGGTCTCGTCAGCACTCTAGTCGTCTGCGCTCCCATTGCCGGCGTTTACCTCGTCATCTTCTTGATCCTTCGTCGCAGCCAAAGGCGGTTTTATGCGCCGAGAACTTATCTCGGCAGCTTGCGAGAGAGGTATGTTGAACGGCCGTCTTCACAAACATCCTATCCTGACTTCTTCACATAGTGAGCGATCACCAAGCCTCCCTACTGGCTTGTTCAATTGGATTAGTCACTTCTGGAAGATCCCTGATGTTTACGCTCTCAAGCACCAATCTCTCGATTCTTATCTCTTCCTTCGATTCCTCCGCATCTGCGCTACCATCTGCTTGGTTGGCCTTCTCATGACATGGCCGGTTCTCTTCCCCGTGAATGCTACCGGGGGAGGCTCTGCATCGCAACTCGATATTTTGTCGTACAGCAACGTCAACGTCTCATCATCCTCTGGCCTCAACCGCTTGTACGCACATGCCCTCATTGGCTGGTTATTCTACGGCTTCGTCATGTACCTGATCATGCGCGAGTGCATTTTCTACATCAACTTGCGCCAGGCATTCCTGCTCTCGCCCACCTATGCTAAGCGCATTTCGTCTCGCACCGTCCTTTTCGTGTCAGTGCCCGATGCGTACCTGGACGAGGCCAAGTTCAAGAAGCTTTTCAGCGATTCAATCAAGAGAGTTTGGATCACTGGCGACACCGAGAAGTTGGACGAGCTCGTCGAGGAGCGTGACAAGGTCGCCATGAAGCTCGAGAAGGCCCAGGTGAAGCTCATCAAGTTGGCAAATGCCGCTCGCCTCAAGGCTGCCGAGAAGGGCGGCGCTCCCGAGAAGACTCCCTCGGCCCAAGACACTGAGGCTGGCGCTACCGATGCTGCTGCTCGTTGGATCCCCCAGAAGAAGCGCCCTACTCACCGTCTCGGTCTTTTGGGCCTTGTTGGGAAGAAGGTTGATACCATCGAATGGTGCCGTTCCGAGCTTCAGCGTCTTATTCCCGCCGTTGATGCCGCCCAAGCCGATTACCGCGCTGGAAAGGCGAAGAAGATCCCGGCAGTCTTCGCAGAGTTTTACACCCAATCCGACGCCCAGGCCGCCTACCAGGTTACCACTCACCACCAAGCCCTTCAGATGACGCCCAAGTACATCGGCATCCAGCCCACCGAGGTTATCTGGAAGTCCCTCAGAGTGTCATGGTGGCAGCGTGTCGTCCGTCGCTACGCCGTCATTACCTTCATCGCCGTCCTCATCATCTTCTGGGCAATTCCTGTTACAGTGGTCGGAATCATCTCCCAAGTTTCGTATCTCGAGACGATCTCCTTCCTCACGTGGCTCGCCAAGATTCCCAACGTCATCATGGGTGTCGTCTCTGGCCTTCTCCCGAGTGTGGCTCTGTCGGTGCTCATGTCGTTGGTGCCGGTCATCATGCGTCTCTGCGCTAAGCTGTCTGGCGAGCCATCTGACTCCCGCGTCGAGCTCTTCACCCAGAACGCGTACTACTGGTTCCAGCTCATTCAGGTCTTTCTTATTACGACTGTCTCCTCATCCGCTGTGGCCACCATCAAGGCGGTCTCCGATAACCCGGGCTCTATTTTCAGCACCCTGTCGACGGCAATTCCCAAGTCATCCAGCTTCTACGTCAGTTACTTCATTGTTCAGGGTATCACACTCGCAACCGGTGTTCTCACTCAAGTGGTCGCGTTCGCCATCTTCGTGGCCATCCTGAGATTCCTCACCAACACGCCCAGAGCTTTGTACAACAAGTGGTCTACACTTGCCGCCATCTCTTGGGGAAGTGTGCTCCCAGTTTACACAACCATTGCCGTCATCAGTAAGTCTCACCGTATATTGACGGAAAGATGATTCTCTTGCTAACCCCGCTTAGGCATTACTTACGCTGTCATTGCTCCCCTGATGTTGTTCTTCTCCACCCTTGGCATCGGATTGTTCTACCTCTCTTACCGTTACAACATTTTGTTCGTTACGGATACCAAGATTGACACCAAGGGTCTCCTTTACCCTCGCGCCCTCAAGCAGCTCTTTGCCGGTGTCTACTTGGCAGAGATCTGCCTCGTGGGTCTGTTTTCCGTGTCGAAAGCGTTTGGACCCCTTGTCCTCATGATCATCTTCCTCATCTTCTCGATCCTCTTCCACATCACCTTGAACAGTGTCTTGGACCCTCTCCTGTACACTCTTCCCAGATCCCTCCAGGTTGAGGAAGAGTCATTGAGTGCCGACATCGAGGGAATTGACCGTAAGGATTCTGGTAGAGGCGTTTCGGAGGAACAACCGAATGGCGATTCGAGCAACTTCATGAAGAAGATCCAGATCCCCAACATCAAGACGCTTGCCCCCGGAGGTGACGAGAACGTCGTTGAGAAAGGTGGTAATATCGTTACCCGATTCCTCAAGCCCTGGATCTTTGCCGACTACCTTCACCTTCGCAACCTCGTCCCACACGACCCAACACAGATTGACGAGATGTACCCCGGCGACATCCAGGACAACGCCTATCATCCTCCCTCGGTCTCCAGTCCGCCTCCTCTTCTTTGGATTCCTGAGGATGCTGCCGGCGTTTCCAAGTACGAGATCGCACAGACCAGCAAGATTATTCCTATCACCGATGAGGGTTGTTCGTTGGATGAGAAGAACAAGCTTGTTTGGGATTCCGAGGGTGCAAGACCCCCCATTTGGGACGAGAAGATTTACTACTAAAGCTTGTGCTTTACCTGTCACTTGTATACCATTGATACCCTTGGGAGTATGAGCTCCCTTTAATCACTCCGATACCTGCTTGGTATCGACTTTTTTTATGTAGTCACAAATTAGAATTATGCAAACCTATTTGTCTCCCTTCCACTCTTGCCAGTGAATTTAGAAATGGTGACCGAGAGATTGTGAGGGAATTACCAGGTCTTCTCATCGCTACAGGTCAGCCCCTGTTGGCCTGAATGGCGGTTGGCTTCCACGCATTTAGGAGCTAGCCTCCTCCTCAAGGGACTAACGGTACCATGGTACTGACTCAGTAACGGGGGATTACGCATAAGGTGAGGGAGGACAGCGGAGGAGGACATTCTGGACGATGTCCCCTGCCAGGAAGGTTATTTCTGCGTCAGCTACAACGCATGAGGATGACCAGCTGATTGTTATATAGGTACCTTAGGTGCGGCAAGGAAGAAGCAGGATATGGATAAACCCAGGATCAAAGCCTCGTAGACGAGGCTGCACATTTATACGGATGACCTAGTGAGGACCTTCTACATCGATTTCTACTTCAACGTTCAGAGAAGGAAGCTGCCTACTACCTACCTTTTCTTTGACCGCTAATCTCCAATTCCCACCTTTCTTCTCGCACCACCACGGTGAAGTTTCCGCACCCCCGACTTTTGGCTTACTTGTCCATATTTTCCCTAGCATGGCGATCGTCGCTCTTTGAATATTTTGAGCGAAATATCACTGCAAAGATCTGGACTCATCGTCGACGGCAGCACAAAAAATGGCGATGGACCCAGGAGATACCTCGTCGTTGGCAACTGCTGTACAAAGTCATCACGACATGGAAATGGGCGAGGCGACTCCTGGTACGGCAACCACGGGTCTGGTCGCGCCTAGGCCTACTGGTCCGTGTCCAAGTCAAAGTGGTAGTGGTGCAGGAGCTGCTATGTGCACCCCACTCCGAGTTCCACTTTTCGCAACCCCCCGTCACTTCTCTGTTGGACGCAGAACCGCGCTTTCGCGGCCCCAGCTCCAGTCCCAGCCAACGACTCCAACCAAAGCGTCACTCGGCTCTCTCCCACATTGTTCCGTTACAACGCAACAATCACCCACTGCGAAAACGCGACTTTCCAGTCTTGTCGCATCGATTCATCGGGACCACAGGCGGAATTCGCAGTCAGCGATGGCTGAGGCCCTGCTGGGCCTCGCGCCCTCGTACGGCAGCGCGTCGAGCAACAAGCCGTCAATTGCGCATCCCGATGACCTCCCCGCCCAGCTTCGTCGCGAACTCGAAAGAAAAAAAACACCGACACGATGCGAACACCTCTCTGTTACACTCGAAGTGCCGTCCACACTCGAATTTGCTATCCGCGAAGGCGACAGCGATGCGCAGGAGAATGTCGACCCAGCGCTGAGCAATCTCCGAACCCAGGTCGTCAAAGGTCAGCCCGTCAAGATCGTACGCGCCTACAACACCATCATCAGTCAGCCTCACGATAATCCGGTGATGCAGCGAGCCGTAGCGAAGCATATCGTTGGGCTTCTGTCCGTAGTGGATGAGAGTACCTGGGTGGTAAGGGAGGTTTCGCGTGGCCAGTACGGCTGGTCCTTCACCTACAACTGCAAAGACTCCCTCACCAGTTGGAACCGGCAGCATCAGAAAACGCCCAACAAGACCATAATAGCAGAGTATAGCCAGAAGGAGCTGGAACCAATCATGCAAGGTGAGACATTGCAGCTCCGAGCGCAGACAAGTTGTGTACTAACAGCTTCCCAGCCCGACCAGCTTTCGACTGCCGGGGCACACTCACGGTTGCGTTTTCGAAGAATTCTCGGACAATCAATGTCAAATACGAACACACGCCTCTACACAAGACTCTGGGCGATATGATCGAACACTTCAAACCCCTTCCTCCAGCTGCACCTCCAGCTCCTCTCATCCCCGCTGGAGAAAAGTCCAAAAAGGCGAAAACTCCGCGAAAGCGAAAGAGTGAAGCCTTGAATGCAGACGGAACTCCTGTTCAGCCAAAAAGAAAGAGGAAGAGCGAGGCCGTGAATGAGAATGAGACACCTGTCCAACCGAAGAAGAGGAAGAAGAAGAAATCGGAAGCTGCGAAGGACTCGCAAGCGGCTGGCGATGCCACCAACGGCCCGGCAACAGCCACTGTCCCGACCAAGGCGGATGCTGCCGTCCAAAGTGGTGTTCATTCACATGCGGTGTTGAATGTGCCCCCAGGCGAGGCAGCTAGGCGCCGCGAAGTCGCCATTAGACTTCTCAGTGACAGCGGCCTAGATCCTGAAAGTCTTTCTACGGAGCAATTTGGTATCTTTGCCAATCAATCTCCGGATCTTCAGAAAGATTCTCTTGCCATGTTGGTTAAATACGGTGCCGAGCGACTCCGTATCGTACATCCCAACGATGCTGCTGCTTCATCAACCAGCGCGTCACCTACGCCTCAGCAGCCAGCGGTGGAAGCTGGTGCCCCAGCGGCCATGCTAGGATCCGCCGCTTTAGGGAAGAAGAAAAGGCCTCGAAAGTCAAAAGCAGCGGCTGAAGATGCGGAAGAAGTGGAGTTGATTCCGGCACCTCCAGGCACACCGATGAAGCAGATTTCTAGGGGATCATGTATTGCCTGTAGAAGAGCAAAGACCAAGGTATATAAGCTGGGTTCATTAGGCTGCAGAGAGGCTAATAGAGTACAGTGTAATCGCGCCAAACCCGAGTGCGCTTCGTGTGAAGAGAAAGGCGTGGAATGCCAATATCCGTTGATCAGGAAAATGCCCCCGAAGAAGAAGGAAGAAAAGTCTGCAGCTCTGGTACATGACGATGACGACGATGAAGCCGACGCCGACGCCGAGGCTGAACCTGAAGCCGAGCCCGAGCCGACGGAACCTGAAGTGGAATCTGAGGAGCAAGAACCAGACGACATCGAGACGATTGACTACACATCAAATATGCCGGTCGCTAACATGCTGACCCCTGCTGCAGAGGCTCCCAATCAGGATTACTTCAACGCTGGCCCCAGCGAGTTGACATATACTCAATCCGCCTCCAATGATTTGAACATGTCACACGGCGTCCCATCATACTCGGAGCCTTCTGCCCCCGTAAATTACGCGGAACAGCAGGCAGTCTCCACGAGCTTCTCGCAACCATCTGTCATCGGAACGGCGACATATACTCAACCGAGCACAGATACGAACAGTTATATAAATTCTACCAGCAGTGATCACATATCTCTCAACTACGCTGAACCTGTGGCCAAGAGCCCTAGAGGGACGAGGGTCTCTTCACGGCGCAGCTTGCCATCCGGAACAGGAGAGCCACAGCAACCCGCAGCGGAAAGCCCTGTGCCGCTTCCCAGTTACGCCCAAAACTGGCAGAGTATGTCTCCTCCCAGGGTAGCAAACACAGTTTCGCCAACCATGGCCCCCAAGCAACACAGACCGCGAAGGTCGACCCAGATGCCAGCTGCGGCCACCGTCGATCCCCAAGAGACATCTTATCGCAGCACGCAACAGACTGCGGCTCACGTTGCTGTACAGCAACGACAGCAACACCGTCTCTCTCCTACCCAGCAAGCAGCTCAAGTAGCAGAGCCAGTTACCCATGCCCAGGTCTCGCCATTCCAGGCTCCTGTTCAGGCAGCTCGAGCTAAGAGTCGAGCTGGCCAGAGAGCCTCCACTCGTACTCCAGTTAATGAACCCCGTGCCACACCATCCCATCACACTGTCCAACCTTCAACTTCAGCGACGATGGACTCAGCAACGTACAATGATACCCAATCCTTGAGCAATGTGGCCAATTACAACAGCTACGATGCGAAATACTCCAACCAGAGCAACAACTCTACGGAAATGGACACCACGAGACTTGCGTATCAGCCTTACGCAGCGCAAAACACCTCTGCGGCCACATCTACTTATCCTTCGTATGACTACGACAGGACCAATACCACCGCCTCACACACCTCCAGCAGCAATGCGCGGTCCGGGCAGTTGTATAACACCCAATCCCATTCGCGCAACGCGCAATCGTACGATAATACCCATACCACGGCGGCGGCGAAAACTTACGCTCAACAGCCGTCGACAACTCAGCAGCAGTCGTCGTCTCTACAGTCCTTCAACATGCGAAGTTCGGCAGCGAGCAGCAACCAGCCTAGGTCATCTTCAAGAAATAATAACCAACAACCGCAACAGCAGCAGTCGCAGTCGCAAAAAGCACACTCTTACGGATCTTATGCAACTCAGACGCAGCAGCAGCAGCAGCAGCAGCAATCAGCTCAGCCGGACCAACAAAACTGGTATGGTTTTGGCGCGGGATCCAACACTTCCTTCACGCCAGCGAACGTCTCTGGGGGTTATGCAACGAAAGGCACCACTTCCGCGAATTACGGAAACGGGTCCAGCACCTCCAGTCAAGCATACCAGCAGCAACATGGCTCTCTTAACATGTCGGGTCACAATTACGCTACCAGCGACAACGAAATGTATGAGCTGTTGAAGAACTCTCTTCACGGCTCCGGTCGCTAAACGAAGGCGAATCACAGGTGGCCCACGGGCACCCTATTTGTTACCTGTATTTCATCGGGTCGTCACTAGTGGATGGCTTCCCGAGAATGGCGGGTTTTCATCAGGACCAATGAATGAATGTCCTCTCTGAAAAATGTTGACTTTGCGTGACGTTGTACGTGAGATTCTCATAGCAGACTTGTCCGCGTCGAGACCGCGTCGAGACCATAGCTCGGCAACGTCGCCCAAACTCGACAACCATTTCCCGATCCCACGACTAAGCGTCGTCCAGTCTAGCCTCGCGTTGGGAATACCCCGACAGCCTCACCAGCCTCGGGTAGAGGTGTCTGCAACGTATTCATATCTATAGTAAGGGTGTTTTGCTGAATCGAGACTCCTTCTGTTTGTTGGCGGTGCGTGATTTTGACATGCTCCCGTTCTTTGAGGAGACTCGTGAGGACCATGTCACGGATATCTCGAAAGGCGCCGATTCGCTTAATATTTGGAGAATCTGGTCGCCAAGCGAGTATTGCCGTGAGGTGAGGCGACCTAGCTGTAGTTCTGCAGCCTGTGGCCAACAATATTCTTTCGACCGTTACACAGCGTTAGGTAGGAATCCCAAGCTGAACTGAGCAGTGAGAGATACTCCATAAGCCAGGACAGATTCTACTACTGTCGGTTGGTGCTGAAGGGGCAAGCTGCAAGTACGGGACTTGTAGTTGCGCACCTGTTGCACGAACAACCTTCGGTTGGACCTATGATCCAGTCGAGTAGCTATGCTTGTTGTTTCTGTTGCCCGCATACGCGAGCCAAGTTCTAACCAACCCTTCGCACAAGACTCCTCATGTGAATACGTCAAACCGCCGTCGCCAGCAGGCCTGTCTCATAAATTTCCTTGTATCCGCACGAGTTCAGGACATTTACTCCGTACCATTCCATGTGGTTAATTCACATGGCAAAAAGAAATCGGCCACGAATAAACCCTAACCACCCTTTTTTCCACCTACAACACCACCACTACTACAGTCATTAATAATTTGAAATACATGTTATCAAAATCCATTGTATATTAATTATGCTTGAGCTATAAATAAAAGTTGAAAGAATCTTAGAGGTGGTATTTATGGTGGTGGAAACAGAAGGCAGGATGGGTTGAGCGGCAAATCTTTTGTCACCCACTTGACTGCCTATGTCGCGGAGTCGTGAGACGTAAGTCGTGATACGTGTTTCAGGCAATGCTGTCTTCTTTTGCTAATGCAAGGGCCCCAGAAGTTTTCAAAGAGAGTCTGGTTCCTCCTGGCAGCGTCCTCATTTCCCTTACATTAACCATAGAGTACCTTGCAGGTGTAACATGATTAGAAACTGAAGGTCCTGCACCCTCAATTCATTTATGTTTACCTCGGTGTCCACAAATATATTTTATCTTTTCGCAGCCAGCTCGGACAATTTCAGTCAGTCGAGGAAAATTGAATCTTGCTATTGAAGTCCTACCGAAGAAGCTTCTCCCGGACCCAGACATTACCCATAGGCGATTTATTTGTCTCAACACCCGCGAACGCCTTGGTGGATATATAAACATGTTTCAGTCTTCTCGAGGCGAGTTGGCCCCTGTTGTGGATAATGGAACGGCTTTCGCCGGTGTAGTCAACATCAAATATTCTACTCACAGTAGGGTGGAAGCACCATTCGAATGGATTTGCGAGCCGTCACAATATCCGTATACGAAGTCTTCTTGTGCCGAGAAAATCCCACAGACCAAGAGCAAAGACATCTGGACAGTGGGAGCCCGCATGGAGGTAAGAGGATGCTATAATTAGCCGCGAAGCAAATGAGCATTGCAAGCTACTTTTCAGTAGCGGACCATGCTGGACTATTCCTGTCATCAATCTAGTCAAGAGTATCTTGATGCTTTTTGTTGTGTGCGGAAACAGTGAGAGACCTATCTTGACTATAGGCGACGCTATAGAGTCAGTTCTGACAGATGAGGATAGGTCTACGAAGACTGTGACCCTTGCATCGAAGGCAGGCCCAAGGAAATCAGGCTGGAATTGCAACCAACAAGAACTTCACTCCACACCATGACGTAAATTCGCTGCAGGATACCTTGGTCGATGAGGAATCACTTTAGTTACGGAAGTCGTTCCCTCAATGTGTATCTCTACTCATACGGTGACTGCTAGAACTACCTTAGATGCTTTGCAGCTATTCTCACTGGCACGGTATGTTACTTTTGTGGTTGCGCGCCAATCACCATGGCGTGGGCGCGATGAGCGTCATGAATGTGGGCTTGGAAAGAACACGGTGGAACAATAATGGATATCGGTACGCTGAGCAACGGGGTCGACACCCTCGTTCTTAGCGTTTGCTTGCCAACACTACACAAGTTTTCATGTCGCTTACAAAATTCAGCTACAATGGCCTGTTTCCAAGCAGATATCACTTATGTCCGAGTGGGATCGGTTTGGAAGAGAATAAAAGGGCCAACGGGTATCTTCCCCCTCGCAAGGCGGCCAACGGCAGACATATTTCTTCAACGGCCTTGTCAATTCTCTCTCCCTCTCACTGTGTTATCCGGTGGCCTACACTGGCTTATTTCGCAGAGCACACTCCTAGTAAGTATTGAGGAGTGGGCTTCTCCTCCTAATGCAGGCCGGCTATCCAATAATGTCTTGTATGGGTGGTCACCGATTGGCATCCTCTGTGTCATGGTGGCAGGCACAATCTTGGTCCGGTTTCTTCTGGTGTCTGGGTTCCGCCGTCTACGTCATGGTGGGACTCAGGTGGCTGGCAGTTGCAGCGTTGCAATATCTGCGGCTTGCCATCCAGACCTGAACGAGGAGCCAGAGCTGTGGGTGTTGTGTCTGAGCCTGACTCTGAGTTCCCGCATTGCCCTTTTTCAAGCAGAGAGACCGAGGCTCTCATTGAGAGTGAACATTACAAGAAAAAGAAAAGAGTAACGGTTGAGGTCAATGTGGGTTGAAACACTGGAAGCTGAGTCTGCTAGGAAGCTGCATCAAAGGTGGAGAAAGGCGACTGGGTGATAATGACGCCTCTTGCGTTTGTTTTGCGGCTCGGAATACTCGATAAACCTAATTGTTGATTTTCGATCACTTCAATTAGTACACAATGAATCCAATCTTTGAGTCGGGAGAAGCGTTCAACCATTCGGTACGTATTGATGATAACTTGACAAATGAGGTGATAGCATTGGGAGGATAGCGGACCATCGTCAACAACTTGATAGCCCCCTTCAGACAGCTAGGTACTTACCCAATAGCAATACGCAAGAACAGTGAATCAGAGTACGAAGGCGCCGGGATTTTGCCGGCTTCCGAGGCTTGCGGCAAAGTTCATTCTGCACATTCTCCGACACAAATTGGCAACTGCCATTCTCTTGATCCGAGGAGAAACTACTTTGACTCTCGACAAGCCAAAGAATGATCGGGAGTTAAAAACCAGGAAATTGATCTCGTAGCTTTGAGGATTGAAATGAAGGTCGCCACCGTTAAATCAAGCTGAACCTTGTTAATGTGAGCAACGCAGCACGTCTCAGCAGAACTTGATGATCTTTGGGCGGGGGTCCCGCGGCCCAACTGATCTTGTTGTTAGCATACACAGCTCTATTCTTTCCTCTTTTTTTATTTTTTTATTTTTTTGAAAAAACCAAGCAGTAGTAGTGCTGTAGGGAACTTGTCTTGGCTTGGATGCAGTGATACAATGTTGAAGCTGATTTCCTACTGGCATCTACATTCCCATGTACTTCACCCCTCCCAGCTTGCGACAGGGGAGTTCCGAGGCTTTTTCATCTCAAGCGACTACGCACAGCGGAATCCACCCTTCTTTGCCATGTATGCTAGATGTACGCGAGCTAAATTTGTCCTTGGTCGCTTGAATGACCATTATTTGCCCCGGAACCTGCCCACGTTGATTCCCGCCTTTCAATTTTCGCGGTTCGGATTTCGGTTTCCGGAAAGTTCCTTAGACTAGCCTTCCCAGTACGCTATGGTCCTACCAAGTCAACTGCCCCATTTGGAAAACTAGCTGTAATATAATTTTTCTCGTACTCTAGGCAGCAGTTTAAGAACTCTCCTTACCGATGTTTCCTTGCCAATGATGTGGGGACATGGGGTACGAGTTGCTCGGTTAGTCACGCAATCATTTGCGATGATTCTCAGCTTGAAGAAAATTTCTTTCTCTTCATTGTCAGCTGTTTTTTTTTTTTTTTTGTTAGGAATTGAATGGCTCTTTGAGTAATAAAGAGATCAAGATTAAAAGACTACAACACCGTGAACGAAGTTGACTAGATTTATGGGTCGCGCTGTGACCACGTAGAATCGTAACGGGAGGCTTTTCGCAGCCTCAGGCTAAGCCACACGAGCCGCGTGTACAGGGTTGGGTATACTTCGTGTTATGTTATCAACCTAACCCGAAATTTGAATGGCGCACCTTTCCCCCAAAACCCGGGCATCTGTCTGATTTGACGTACAAGGTCCGTAGTCTATTCTTAATGAAGTTCCTGCTCCGCCTTCTCCATTCCGTTCAGTATATCCGTCCACAGCTGGCGGGAGACCCCATGTCGAGCGAAGAATTCCCCGGATAGGGAAAGGACTCGTGCGAATAGCCCACTCAGAAGTCAATTCGGCGCCATCCGAAGCAAATGTCCTGGAGTGTTCTTATCCCTCCCACCGGGCCCTTGCAACACGTGTGTTCATGGGGCAAGGAGTGGCACACGAAGGAATATGGAAGGGATTTACGGTTATTTATGGCCCAGAAAATAGGCGTATGCTCATTGGGTTCGGTTTCAACGGGGCGATGATAGGGATGGACCCTCAGATTCACCCAAAGTGCTAGTTTCACGATGCCTGTACTTATCATAGGCGGGAAATCATGGGCACTGGGGCCGCTGAGTTGTCCAACCCATACGCTACAAAGCCACGAAGGGCGCTCTCGTGGAGAACCCCTCGGCGGATGGCCGTGTTGGTGTCCAGAACACGAGTTCTAATTCAGGCATAGTCGAAGACGCCATTTTGTGATGTCAAGGAAATGAGTCTACCTCACAGGGGTCGAGGGTCCATCGTGACGAAGACTTTGATGCTGTAATATAAAGTAGAGAAGATTCAAACACAACGATTTCCACACCAAGAGCAACATTCACTATGCTCTCCTTTCTCACCATGTATCAGCCAAAACTTCTTCCCTTTATTTTGTCACCCATCTTCATCAAGAGTCTTCTTGCCGTTGTTGTTCTCCTTACTTCTATTCGTACACTGTTTCTCTATTACGATGTTGCTTTAACCGCGCATGTTGAACATGCCACCGCCGCCGCACCTCTTCGATCTCAAAGAGAAACCAACTGTCTACCGCAACTTTCTCCTAACCTTTCGCAAACCCTTCACCTTTTACAGTCATCATGTCAGCCTGCGCCTCGCGACCCGAAATCCCACATTCGCATTACCACTGTGACGGCACAATTTGGCAAGATCCAAGAGCATTACCAGAATGCTCTGCAGTCCCACGTCCTGCACACAACCCTCCACGGCGCCGGGCTCGAAGTTATGTGTACACCAATCGTAGACGACCTGTGGAACAAACCGGCCTATTTGCTGTCCCTCCTACTCGACGAGATGCTTAAACCACCCGAAGAACGAACGGAATGGCTCTTCTGGGCGGACCGCGACACAATCATCCTCGACCAGTGCCGACCGATATCGAGCTTCCTCCCACACCGCATTGTCAACGAAGCCACTAGCGGCGCGGCGGCCCACGGAGCGGTACCGAAAGACGACGACGTGCACCTTGTGGCAGCGGACGACTGGAACGGGCTCAATAACGGGGTATTTTTGCTACGCGTCAGTCAGTGGGCCATCGAGCTCTTCAGCGCCATCCTGGCCTTTCGGCATTTTAGGCCCGGCACGGAGCTCCGCTTCACCGAGCAAAGCGCCATGGAGATCCTTATAAAGGAGAAGAGGTTCAACAAGGGGGTGCGGATGATGCCTCAGCACTGGTTCAACTCGTATCCCGGCAGCGTCAAGGCTGAGGCGTACCTCGAGGGGAATGACGAAAATGGGCTCTCGGAATGGCAGACGAGACGAGGCGACTTTTTGATCCATTTCGCTGGGTTGGGCGAGGACGATCGAGGAAAGGAAATGGCTAGCTGGCTGGACATGCTGGGGAAGACACACTATACTTTGGAGGCTGGGAGGGTGCAGAGGAATATCACATCGGCCATGGAGACATATTGGGAAGAGTCAGAATCGGAAGAGACATAATAGGTGGGAGCTCAAGAGTAGTGATGGTAAGAAAAAAAAGCAGAAATTCAATACTACATCCCAAAGGATGAATCAGCCATGACAAGGGCACAGAATTCAATTAAAGCTGTTAACACGATCTTCAATCCACAATGTTCTGGGGCTTTCCCCGAACATGACCGTGTTCTACAGCAATGGTAGGATAGACTGTGAATTAGAAGACGAGGGACACCGCTCTGCAGAGCAGAAGAAAGAAAGTTGCACTGCGCATCTAGTGAAGTCGGATTGAATTAAATTAGAAGCGTTCCGGTGGTCAATGACGCCCACAGTAAAGTAGTCACTGATCCATGGCATACCGTAAGAACACGCAAGGAAGGATTTCAATGGCATAATACACTATCTAATCGTGCAGCCAGAAACTTGTAAGCCGCGAAGCCATCGAGCTCTTGAACTTGTTCGATATTGCAAGACCCAGAGCTGTCTTGGACCCAAAAACAGAAGACTGGAGACTGACCCTCGAAGTCAGCCCAAAGACACAGGATTTTACAGCATGCTCCCATCACCCAGCCCATCGGAGGAGTGGACCAGCTAGCTAATCTAGCAGCCAAGTTGATCAATTGGAGAGGTTATCCTGAAGAAATTTATATGTTCCTCGATTGAAACCTCTAAAGGTGTGATACCCTTCTTGTCACAGCGTCACACGTGGCGCGGCCTCGCCTACTGCCGTATGAGACCACTTACCACGGAACGAGCGTTCCGTAGGCTCGCTCCGTACGACGTACACAAAGAGTGCCGCTTGTGGGAGCTTCTTGTAGCTGAATCAAGCCACTTTCTACCATACTTGCCTCTCATTTGATCCATCGCTTTGTGATACTCTTCCAAAGGTTCCAAAGGAAGGCTAAACGCATCTTGTGTTCTCCACATGGGGGGGTTGGTGGGCGCAGTTAAAGGTTCATGAAGCGGTACAGCCACCGATGATCACAGCCTAAGCAACGACGGGACGAGGGAGCCTCCGTCATTGAAACGGGCTCTGGATACGACAGATGGCTAGGAATCAAGTCATTATGTTGTGTACATTCATTCATTCTACGTTAAGGTAATTTGATTTCCGGATTGCGAGTTTGAGTGACGATGGCCGATTTTTGGTCGTCTTTTTTCTCAGCCATCCGCAGCACCCATCCCAACTTAAACAGCGCAGGTCCACGGGTCGGGGTCGGTCAGATTGACCGCCTTTGTCTTCTTCTCTGGGCAGATCTCGCGGTCCAGTCCGCAGTTGTTGGTTCCGCAGTAGGTCTTGTCGTCGCACAACCAGACGTTGTAACTCCAGACATGGCGGTCGTTTTTCTTCTTGCACCGGTCGACCGTGATGTTGTACTGCTGGTTAGCGCCGGACTTGTCGATGGTGACGAAGCCCCAGTTTTCAGTGTTTTGCGCAAATACTGTCGGATCATGTTAGAGACTTGGTTCATGACATGGTTCATGACGTTGGGACTCGGGGACGGGGGATGATCGTAGGGTAATTGGGTAGCTGGGGAAGAGGAAGGGGTTCTACTTACTTCCAAACAAACCGCCGTTGGAAGCGCAGTGTTGACGGATACCAATCTTAGAGAGGCCTGCTTTCGCCGCGGCGGCCTTGACGTCGGTGTCGATAGTGATGGTGTAATAGGAGTGGTCCTTATCGTCACTTAGCGGCGCCTTAATGCACTCAGCACCCGAGGTCTTGGGCACGCGGCGCTCCAGTCCCGTTCCGCCGGCCTCGAGCACCGGGGTCGGATTGGCGTCGACGACGACGGCAGAAGCCATGAGCGCAATGGCGGAGAAGAGTTGGGTGGGCTGCATGTTTGCGAGCTTTTACTTGTGCGCTTTTAGGAAAGAGTCTGCGCAAAGGTCTAGTTTGATAGTTGTCAGGTAAGGACTGGATGCCGTTGGCAGTATTGCTGGTAAAGACTGAAAAGTGGCTTGGATGAAGCGACAATTGCATTCATTCACATACTGGCAGACATTCATTTATAATAATACAACAAATGCATACGATGTCAAGCCAAAGGAACTGGGCTCGGAGAAGACCGAGAGATGGAGACTATGATCCATTGGGCGCCAAGACCTTTCATGGACTGAGAAGTAAAGAGTAGATCCATCTGTAATTTCACTGCACACCAAAGCCTGTGCTGCCATATCTCGTGTCAGTACTTAGCACATAGGATAGAAGCGAAAGAATTCGAACGATGTCAAGCGCCTGTTGACCGTTTGCAATTATGGGTGGGATACAAGATATCTTCTGCATCTCTAGAAGTCCATACTCAACAGCGTCGCCAACTAGACAATGGTCCGCCATGTTGAGCATACAAATTTGCACGATCGTTTCCCAGGTTCTTGTACGGAGTATCCGTACCTTGTCCATAATGAGATAAACTCAAAGATAAGGTAGGTCATGCACGAGACACGTGCAGCAGGGTGGACGCAGAGGTAGCTAGCTCTCTCTCTCACGCAGGAATGATTTTTCTACTGTATGACGAATTTGGTCGTACTATATTATAGTTGATCGGCGTCTCCAGGGCTTTCAGGCAATCAGCCTTCCTCATTTAAACTCAACTGACCGGTTTTATTTTTATCTCAGTGAGCCACTGCTGGCATGTCAAACGAACTGACTCAAGGGTCGCGCACCTTAATTTCCGGTGGCCCCATGGCCCCCAGCTTGCAGTGTCGACCCTTGCTTGATCCGCCAACTTTCCCCAGCATCTGATGTTGCAAAGGTGAGCTCAACGTCACCTGCTTCCTTGACATTGAGTCTTGGCGCGTAGCCCTTCGTGCCAACCTAGAGTCTCTCGGCTTTCCCACGGTACCGGATGCACTGCGCCAGTCTGCTCCCCACAAGTTGTGGGGGCGATTGGCACGTTGGACTTCAAGCTGCCCTTTCCTTGCAGGCTCGATTGACATCGTCGAATGTGGTTCTTGGTATGGGAACATGGTTGGCATGAGGAGGCATCTGGTTTATAGCCTTAAATAACGGGGTGAAATCGATCCCAAGTGCCAAACTGAAAGCTGTTTTACGGTCCCCGCGAGTGCAGGTCTGAAAGAAAGGGGGAGGGGTTGAGGACCGACGACGTTCCCTCTCACGTCCTACCGCAGCTCTTCCAACCGATCCAAAGGCCTCCATATAAGGCGGTCCAATGACTGTGTTCTTCTCACATTGTAGTCAATGGCTACACAATATCGAGTAAAACAGACCTCAATCACAGTTATAAGTTGAGTCCATAAGTAGTCAAGATAATCAGATTAGGCAAGTCTAATGAAGGTCTCGAGCCCGACCTTAATCCCAGCCCGAGCCCCTTGACATGCCAAGGCCCTCGTCCTACCAACCTGAACGCCAATGGCCCAAAAATGCTACGGCTCGCTCTAATCTGACATCTCGTACACTCATACAACCTTTCTTTTCCCCGACCCCAATCCCCCATTCCCCGCACCTTTTACCTCTGTTCTTCCTATCCTTCCTTTGAAATTGTGCCCAAAGGGCTGATGTTACAGGTACGCCGCCCCAGCGTGTATGAGGTGGGAGTTTCGCGGTTTGCCGTCTGTTGCCGGCGCCGGGCCCCCTTTGTCTAAACAGGGGCCCTGCGCTGTACTTGAAGGAAAAGTGACGTGGGGGGTATCATAGAATAGAAAATGCTTCAGTGTCGATGGTGTAATCATTACGTGCGCTGGCTATGTGGCCACACAATGTCTAAAGTGCTGCGGCAGGCCCATCCGAATATGGGGCATCATTCTGTGTTTTTTGCCTTCATACAATGCCGATGATGTTCCTTTTTGGTCCTGAACGAAGTTGTCTTTGTTTTTTTGATACAGAGTGGATTGTTTTGTGTGTGTATCTGATATTGAATTCGGTTTCCCTTCCTGTGGACCACTGGGGTCGCACAACCCTCCCATGCAGTACTTGTAAATAATAGAAGCAATTGTAAGATAGTGGTAATGAATATTCTTCTTTCGTCGGATGATATGGTTCTTCTCTCGTCCATTCCATGCGAGTTGTCGTGCGTAGACCCGTGGCATCTTCTGTACGACATCGCTTTGCCCCTCAGGTTGACTTCGCTTGCCTTCAGTCCCTCAGTGGAATAGCGGTTCCTAGCGTCTCTGCCTCTTTTCTCGGTCGTTCGAAAAACCGGCGGCGTCTTCACTTCTACGCTTTCGGCCCCGATCTTCGCGTCGGTCGTCATTCGGTCTTAGACCTCCCTCTCGAGGTCCTCCTCTTGGACCGCCCCGCGGATTTCCGGCCCATTCTTCATTTCTTGGTCCCGCAGCTCCGTCTCCACGTCCACCATCGGCACGATCGTTGCGATGGCGAGGCTCGCGGCTGCTTCCCGTGTTCTCCCGGCCACTACCGTGGGCAGGGTTCGCGTGCGATTCCCTGGTACTGCTAGACGGCTCTCGGCCAGAGCGACGGGGTTCACGTTCGTCTCGACTAGTGGATGACTGGCCCTGAGCCCCAGACCTTCTCTCCCTGTGCTCACGAGGCTCCTTGCCCTCCCTTTCGCGACCAGGACTGCGCTCTCGTTCCCGACTGCTACGTCTTGAATGCCGGCCACGCTCTGAACGGTGCTCGCGACGACTGCGGTCGTGTTCGTTCTGTGAATGATCCTCGCCGTTTGTCTGGCCCCTGTCTTGTCGAACAGGGTCTGGACGGTCTTGGATTGGCGTAGACACCGGTGATGCACCTGTCAGGACTTGAGCATCGGAGCCAGCGATACTACCTCTGGCAGCCCCACGCCCGCGGATACTAGTACCCCGGTTGGTTTCTGGCATATTGGCTTGTGCTTGCTGTAACGTGCTGTTAATACCCGCAAGCTGTCTACGGCTGCCGCCACTACGACCTCGATCATTCGACGATGGCCCAGAAGGCACACCATCGGCAGATGCTGGGAAATTGCCTGTCGGCGTTCGGCTGTTGCTACCTTGACTTCCCGACGGGCGATCTGGTGTATGTATAGGGGGAAGAGGTGGCCGAGAATGACCGTGGCTCGGTGGCTGTCCTGGAGGCGGAGGGGGAGGTGGAGCGATCTGTGCCAGCCGATCAGGGTGAATTCCGGGAGCCAAGGTAGGCCCTCCCGAGGCTGGAGCGGGTGAGCCTGCCGGACCCGAGTTTATGGCACGTGTTCGGTCAGGGTGTGCTGCTGGTGTCGGCGTCATCGCAGACGGAGAGTTGACGGACGCATTAGGCTCGTACTGGTTGCGACGGCCCCTTCCTGAGGCCGGACCTGTGGGTGGGTGCCGTTCCTCGGGCGCCGCCGGGCTCTCTGGATTCGGGAAGCGGCCATCGGATCGTGAGTTGGGGGCGGCCGCGGGTCCACCTCGGGCAGCCGCTCGGCCGCGACCACGGGGGCCCAGCGGAACCTCATTAGGGGCAAGAACTGACTGGATTGGGTTGAGCCGACCATAATTCTGGTCCTGTTGAGCAGTGCGGCTGTGGTCGGGTTCCGAGTTCCGGCTGGGACCCAAGAATGCTTCTCTACCTTTGTCTGGGCCAGACCGGTCACCGTCCCTTTCGCCTGTGCGTTCTGTCCTGGGGTTGTAGACGGGAGGCTCCCCATGCGTCTCTCTCCCAGAAGATCGATGATCCGAGTGATGAGGGCGGCCATGTCTGTCATCTCTCAAAGGATCTACTGGTAACTCTGGATTGAATCGTCCGCTTCTCCTAGGCGAATGACTTCGTGGAATACTCCGATCCCTAACCTCATCCCGTGTCGGCCGGCCTGGCGCTTCTGTTCGTGGCTCACCAATCAAAGCGGCTCGTTCTGGATTGATCATTTCAGCACGATCAGGATCCGGGGCACGTAAATCCGGAGTCCGCTGCTCTTGGGGTTGAGACTCCTGAGTACGCGGTCCCCGGCCGCTTCGCCGTTCTGTCTCTGACAATCGAGGGGTCCGGTCTGACCGATTAGACCTGCCCGGTTGGTCTCCTTGGATCAAAGCCAGCCGGGCAGGATTGACCGGTGGATCCTCGGGTGACTTCTGAGTAGACTGGGGTGGTGGGGTGGCGGCAACAGGTTCTCTTGAGAGTCTGCCTGATTCAGAAATGCGCCCGTTCGTCGGGGGCACTCTATCCCGGGAAGGACGGCCTTCGCGCTCATGAGCCCCATGGTCGCGTCGAGGGGGCAGCGAGTCCGGTCTCGAGGGCCAATCTTTCTCGGACAGGCGACCAGGCTCTCTGGGCGCAGCATCTGGGCCCCGTCTGTCTTGTCCAGAAAAGTCTCGACTGCGGTCGGGACGTGACGGCTCGGGGAACCTTGGATTACTAGAGGGCTCTCGGGAATCTCTATGGTCTCTGGTATCTCGAGGCTCTCTTGTATCCCTGGGACCGCGAGGTTCCCGCGGGTCTCTCTGGTCTCGGGCCCGGTCTGGCAAAGCGTCAGGAGTGAAATGAGTACGACTGTAATGGCCGGGCATAGGGACGTCTGGTCGTTTAGGTAGACTATGCGCACTTCTGTCTGGGCCTGTGGGTGTAGGAGTTGCCCTGGGCACATCCCGGTGGTTCGCATTGGTCGGCGTTGGGGTTGCGTTCGATGGCTTTGGCGTTGGCGGCTTGCTCGAGGTAGCTGATCCGAGGTCGACACGCGGGAAGCCCCCCTTCGCTGCGTCTGGCTGGGAGGCGGATGGCTTGGGGGGTAAGTTAGGATCCTTTTGGGTGAGCGTCGCAGGCGCCGAGGGTGCTGCTGAGCGGAATTCAACATCTTTGCTGTCCTTGACTTCGCCGTCTTTTACTTCGCCGTCTTCCTGCTCTGCCACGGTCCTGCGAAACAAAATGTTAGTTGAGTCTTGGGAAAGCGTCCTGGAGGCGAAGCTACCTGGCTGATTTAGGCTGGAATTCAGTCGCGGTCGGGCGCAAATTGTTTGTTGCAGACTCGTCCTTAGCCTTTCCTTGAGCTTGGCCATTCTTCAGATGCGTTAGCATGATCCTGAATCCTCGGGTTTCGGGTTCTCTTACCATATTAGGGCGGAAACCGGCGGGTACGATCCATTTGTCTTTCCTCCTCTGCAGTTCCGATAGAGCACCCTGCGCAGCAACTGAAAGATCCACACGATGTCCCTCCTCCCCAGCAGATGCGGTCTTCGAAGCTGCCTCGCGATCTGTGATTGTCTTGAGTTGATCGATGAATTGTGTACCCATGAAAGTGATGGCTGGGAAGTGGTCGAGAACCGCCTTCAGAACTGTCATGGCGTTACGGATGTGCATCCACTCCATACCGGCAAGACAAGACTTCAGTGCCAAGTTGAGCTTGCTGTGCCATCCATACAATATGTCTCGGAATTGCGCATGATCATAATAAGATGATGGCTGTCCCTTGTCATCGAATTCGGTGGCAAACCCAAGGAAGAAGCTGCGCTTGCCGACAGCTTCTCTATCGTAAACATTCGTGTCGCGATGCCACCTTGACAGGTCTTTGAGGATGCAGTTGAGGAACCTGCCCAGATGCTCTGCCTCACGGACTGTGCAAGTGAAGATCATAGCCCGCAGCCGGTTGACGTTGAAGAGCCTATCATACAACACTTTAAGACGGAAGTTGGGTGCGCCAAACATGTGGAGCTTCTTGATAAACACATAGCAGTACTCAGCGTCACTAGCCGAGAGTACCAGCCTAGGAAGCAAGCATTGCTCGAGGATCGCATCCGAGACGCCGTTCAACTTCGCTGCTGAACCTGTGAACCATGTTTCCATGTGCTCCGACATGTAATCTCTGACGACGCGCGCCCGCTTCATCTGGGAATCTGCCTCTTTAGGCAGCTCGTTGCTGATCTTTAAGAGCTCGGCCTTTTTAGCTTCTTTCTTGTTGATGCCGCTGCGACTCATGTCAGAGCGATCCCTGTCAAGATCCTTCTTCAGGTTCGAGAGTCTCTTGTGAGCGTTGTTGTAACTGGCGGCGGGGACTTCAATGTCACCAAGCTGGAGAGCCCAGAATAAAACATAGAACTCTGCACTGAGCTTGGCCCAAGAAGAACCTGGCGTTATAGACTTCATTGACGTAACGATGGGATCGAGAGCCTCGTGAATCTGGCGTCCAGCGTCCTTCTTTGCTTTCTCTCGAACCTCCGCTGGCGTCAATGTCTTGTCCTCCGCCTCAGGCGGCTCTCCAGTGGCTTCTTTTGCTTCGGAAACGTCTTGGGCCATTGATACGTCGCCGTCGGAGTCAGCAGTGATCAACGAGTCTTGCTTTTTTGCGAACATGTAATGAGCGACACCCTCTCGACCAATCAGGAACGCCAGGCTTGCGTCGAGGCCAAACTCGTCCATGAGATTGGTAATGGCAGGCACCAGCGCATCGAACTCGTGAGGTTCAAGATTGGTCCGCAGGAGATCAAGATATTGAACCAAGATCTGATGGCTGTCATCGATGACCGAGCCAATGTACTTGATGTGCGCTTCGTCGTCCGGAAGCTTGAAGATGGCGGCTTGTCGGTATTGGGCAACATTGATGAGCAGGCGTCCAGCAAGTTTCGAGTCAACAAGAGACTGCATGAGACGCTTGGCGCTACGACTCGATTCAAACCGCTTGTCCTGGAGACTGAGCAATGTCTGGCGCCGCAGCACTTCACCTCCAGACATGGCCAAAATTTGGTCGTCGGTAAAGTCTAAAACTTGCACCACACCTCCCATTGATGAGACGAGCTCTTTGAGAATAATCAAGTCAGTCGAATTACCCTGGTAGAGTTGGTCGTTTACGTATTGAAGGATTGGAGTCGAGTCTAGAATGGAGTATCGCTTGAAGACTTTGCCGGCAAATTTGGAAAGTGCTTGAAGCCATTTGCTGGTCAGCAGGATGGATGATTCCTGTGTACGACTTCGCTTTCCGCCCATTGAGCTCACGAGAGACCATATCAGAACATCGTACGCCAAGTCGGTGAAGTATTTGGCGCACTCGACAAAGGCTTCGATGAGGTTGGCGTAGGCCTCGATTTGGCCTAGAGCCTCCTTGAAAACAATGCCTGGCGAAGAGTAGCTGGTCTTGGCTAGCGACTTGGCCATCTCGCTAAGATTCGTGAGAGAAATACGCTTCATCACACCTCTGGTTTCCACGCGAGTACGAGTGAAGGCTGCTTTCATTGCCGGCAATCGGGAAACCTGGCCTTCAAACCACTCGGCGTAGATGGAATATCGGGTTGTGACGGGGTACAGCTTGAGCAGGTCCCATACAGAATTGACGATAGCCGCGTTGGCGTTGGTCATGCTGAGAGCAGGAACCAGAATGCGCCGCAAGAGGTCCTGCCACCGGTCCATGTTGTGCTGGGAGCGGTCCTCCGCCAAGCTCTTCGCCCCGATGCTGACAAACTTTGCCAGCAACGCAGGGTCTTTGCCGATGCTTACGCCGGAAAGATTTAGGAACGTGTCGCATAGCGTGAAAATATCTTCGACAGTCTGGCAGACTGGGACATTGTCTGCCCATTCGTCCCAGTAGAATCTGTAGTGCTGATCTCTGCCGTCGAACCCGTCGGGGAAGGGCCATTTCATGGACTTCTTGGCTGGCATTATGGTAAGCTTCACGGACCCCTTGGGTACACCACTCTGGTCAATATCGGCAATCGGTTTCGAAGTAGCCTCGACTGAGCCGACGGGAGCAGGCCGACTTTCTTGGTACACCTTCTCGACACTGTGGTTCAGGATGCGGTGAATTCTGTCGAGAACCTCAGGGTAGGCTTCTGGTAGCCAAGGGAAACGGCCGAGAATGAAAAGGGATTCCGGAATGGCGCCAATGCTTAAAAGACAAATGAGCAAAGCTGCCTTCTGCTCCATGGGCTCTGGCAGCTTTTCTTTCTCATCCGTACTAGCTTCGGCCTTGGAGTCCACTTCTGCCTTTCCAGCGACGACTCGAATGCGAGTCGTTGGGGGCGGTGCGCTGTCATCGGGTAAGGCACCTGCCATTAGTAGGGCGTTTTGCGCGACTCCAGGTCGGCTTTGTCTCTCCTTTTCCTCTAGTTCCTTCATCTTCTTTTCTCTCATCGTGTCCATCTCCGCATCGAGAGGCCAAAGATGGGGGTAGATGTCGACCAGGGACATGAAGCCGACCTTGACCAGAAGCGCGACAAGGTAAAGCAGGTTTGCCGGCAGAACATCGTCGGGATCTCTGGCGTCGGAGGCGTAGAATCTCAGCTTGAAACCTAGCAGCTGAGCAGCGGTACGGTTTCCCTGGGGTGGAAGTGTCTTTGTCAGCTTCATCCAGGCGGAAGCAGCATTGACTTCGGCTTCGGATGCAGATTCGGATTCTTCAAGCAACTTGAGGTGCGCTTCTGTGACTTGTCTTCCTCCGAGCTGAAAGAATGCATCCATGTGAAGCTCACGAGCGCTGTCCCAGAACTCGACATCGCGCTGACGCCTCAGCTCAGCAGTCTCAAGTTCGACTTCTTGGCTGGTCATCCAGTGCGAGGAGTCGGGTAAAGCCCATGGAGGTAGGCCACCTGCGTATATCGATGAAGCAGGGTTTTGATTGCGAGGCCACCAAGAGCTGACTCTGAGAAGCTTGATGAAGAATCGAAATTGTTTAATGAGGACTGCGGCAAAGACGTCAAGTGTAACGTCGAGTACTCTTCCAACATCAAGATCGAAAGTTCCGATGAGGCCCTTCAGACGTTCGAAGGCTGCGTGGGCCGTTTCGGCAGACGGGGGCTCTGAGCTGCTGGTTGTGAAGAGCTCAGTCATAAGCTTGGAGTAGCCTTCGCTCTCTTCGCGAAGTAGGTTGTAGTTTGCTTGTCGGTATAAAAGATTTGTCGCATGTCTGATGCCAAGTTTTACGAACGTCTCGCGGATCATGCCCAGATCTTGGAGAAGCTGAGCATCTAGAGTTTGGCGCACAAGTTCTGATGAGACACCTGTGGCTTGGATAAAGTCGCGGAGGTGTGGTCGGAAAAGGTCTCGATCGTTGTCAAAGATGATGGACAAGGTATCGAGGAAGAGGGTGTGAGGCTCGAACGAGAAAGACTCCTTAATCATTTCCTGCGATTCCGAGCCGAGTATCTCTTTCATGCAGGCGCCAGCGTCAACGGGCGACAGCCGCCCTTCGATGACAGCATGAATGAACTCTTGGTAGATGGAGGTCAGCTCCTCGATGTCTACATCCGACCGTGAGCTGACTGCATGTTCAACTAGGGTCTGCTTGCTGCCGCCCAACCAGGAAGCAATCACATCATCAGTGATGTGTTCATAACAATAGCTTGTCGGAACCGGAGAGGGTAGATGCGAAGTAGGCGCAGACGCTGGTTCTGTCGCTATCGGTGCGGGATGTTGCGATTGCGACGGCGTAGAGGGCGGGCGAGGAACAGTCGGGGACGTGACGCGGGAAGCGCTTGCCGACTGGGTACCAGACTGTGTTGACTGTCCCTGTGCGGAACCTCGGCGATCGTTTCTTCTAGTGTTTCTGCCACCGCGGCCACCTCTACCTCCTCCCTCTGAAAAATCTCGTTCACGCTGGCCCAGCGGCATGTCTCCGGGTCGATGGGGTGAGGGTCTGCTGCCTTCGCCAGCAGGGCCACCACGAGCCTTGCGCTTAGGAGGCATCGTGCTCTCGTCGCGGGTTTCTTCAAGGTATCATTGGGTAATCGCGTTATCTCGATGAGATCTGTCTAAAGATAGTCGTAGTCAGCAAAAGTACAGACGATTCATTTGCGCGCGCGCGTTGGGGGAAGGGAAGAGATGCCTCACGGTAGAAAGGATCGAGAGCTTGTCGCGTGGAGCTTGTTTAGGGAATGCCGTGCACAAAGGAAGATAAAAAAAATAGCCGGTACAATCGGTTGTGTCAAGCAATTTGCTTGGCGAGAAGAAGTAGAGCTGTTGTGGTTACGAAGAAGAGTCGCGCTCCAAAGTTGGAGATTTCTGGGGTTGGCGACAAAAAAGGTGACGATGGACTATTTCTCGCGTGAACACGCAGTTGCAACCCCAGAGCGAGCTTCAGATCCACTGCAAACGGGTAGCAGCCTCATGGAAGGCAAGGCTGTGAGGTGGAAAGTACTTGAGTACCTAGCTTTTGTGGGGCATATACCCGCTGGGGGCAGGTACTTCACCTTATATAAGGATATTGGTTTGGTAAGGCACTGGAGAATGCATGGGGGTTATTATGATAGCGTCCCGCTTCTGGAGACCTGCCAGCTGTCTGACTTCCAATTGACCGGTTCCTGGCTGACTCATCGTCCCCGCGCAGCCGATGATTCGTCGTGGAAATAACGCCTGGGACTAAGGTAATTACCGGCATGGCTGCCAGTACAATAGTAGGTAATTACGCCATTTTCGGTGCAAATCTTTGGCTGCCCTCATTGAACGTTGACCAGCCATACAGTCACATGGAGTAAGCGAAATCCCCAGATTCTTCATACATCTCGCATATCTCGCCATCGCGGAGGGGCTTCACTCCCAGCAACTTAATCCTTGCTCTCCCTGGTTCAAGGCCAGTTTGCATCTTCAATTGAGGACGCTAAGCCGCCAATTCGCAACGGTTACGCTGCTCCTCGTTCATTCCGAGATCGGGATGGCTGCACAAAATTTACAGAGCGGCGCTCAGCCGAAGTACGGTCAGTCTGATTCCTCTCCTGAGAATGGCATTACCTCTAAGTCCGTCTTCATTACACATGATTACTCCTCAAAATGAGCCAAGTGGTCCAATGTCTCCATCTATGTTATTGTCGAATTGTTCCCTAGCCTTCTTATCCCACATGAATTGTCATGAAAATGTTCAAATGAAATGAGAAGACCGGTTGCTGAATACCCGCAAGAAAGAACGCAGACGCAGCCTGAGAACCCGTTTGCTACCTTGATTCCGGAGCAACAATTCGCCATCATCCCTGAATTCACTCTCGAGTCGGGAGTGACCCTCCACAATGTTCCCGTCGCCTACACGACCAGAGGCAAGCTCTCGCTCAACGGTGACAATGCCATGGTCATCTGTCACGCTTTGACAGGCAGCGCCGATGTGAGCGACTGGTGGGGTCCTCTCCTTGGGGGACCTGGCAGAGCCTTCGACACATCGCGGTTCTTCATCGTATGCATGAACGCTATGGGAAGCCCTTACGGCACTGCAAGCCCGGTCACAGCCAAGGATGGAGATCCTGAGAAGGGCATATACGGCCCCGAGTTCCCCCTGACCACGATCCGTGACGATGTCAAGTAAGTTGGCAAGATTTTCTTCCCAAAAAATTGCTCAAGGCTCACAACTTCCTAGTCTGCACAAGTTGCTGCTGGACGATCTCGGCGTCAAGCAGGTTGCCGCAGTCATTGGTGGATCTCTGGGCGGCATGTTCGTGTTGGAATGGGCGTATCTCGGCAAGGAGTATATTCGATGCGTCGTGCCCATCGCAACCTCAAGCAGACACAGCGCCTGGGGTATCAGCTGGGGCGAGGCACAGCGCCAGAGCATCTACGCCGACCCGAAATACGACGACGGGTACTACCCCTTCGATGACCCGCCATCCACCGGCCTGGGCGCAGCCCGCATGTCGGCCCTCCTGACATATCGCAGCCGCAACTCCTTCGAATCCCGCTTCGGACGCAACATCCCAGACCCTTCTAGGCGGCAGATCATTCGCGAGCGGCCCAGACCCAGCACGCCGTCCGAGGCACACTTCCACATCCACAACGACGGGCACAAAGTCAAGCGAGTCGGCCTATCGAGCCCGAACAGCCAAGGCGGCAGCAGCACGACAGAGACGCCCGTCAACGGCGCAGCGGTAGCGGTCCCCGAGGCCCTGGACCCGCAATTCCACGGACCTCAGACGACAACGGCGACGACGGCGGATAGTCTGACCGGAGGCGACAAACTCCCCACGTCGACCTACTTCTCGGCGCAATCCTACCTGCGCTACCAGGGACAAAAGTTCGTCAAGCGGTTCGACAGCAACTGCTACATCGCCATGACGAGGAAGCTGGACACGCACGACGTCTCCCGGGACCGCGCCGCGACCATCGCCGAGGCCCTCGCCCTGATCGAGCAGCCCACGCTCGTCCTGGGCATCGAGAGCGACGGGCTCTTCACATTTGCCGAGCAGGAGGAGATTGCGGAGCACGTCAAGGACGCCCGGCTCGAGCGTATCGACAGCCCCGAGGGCCACGACGCCTTCTTGCTCCAGTTTGAGCAGGTCAACCGCTACGTGCTGGATTTCCTGAAGCAGACGTTGCCCGACATTATGGAGAAGCAGGGCGAGGAAGTTGAGGAGGTTGGTGTTGGGCAGCTGACTAAGAGCAGCACATTTGGCGAGGCCGAGGTGGAAGATATTACTGCCTGGTAAAAAGAAAAACGGTTGTGCGAAATACATGGATGATGGATAGGATTCTCACCTGTTTTTTTTTGTTTTGTTTTTTTTTTTGGTCTTTTTGTATTTAAAAGGGTTTGGTTTCAACAGGTGTGGAGTCTTTTTCAACAACTCAGCGATCAATGAAATAGAGGGGAAACTTTTGGGATCTGGGCAGTGCAGTGCCGTCATCCGTGTCCGGTAACGTGAAGTTTGGCCTTTCTACTCGGTGGAACATGTCTGCTATGAGGCTCATGCTGACAATAATGCCGCATTACCGAATGTTCCTTGGCTACCTCTAGAAAAAGAGGTTGCGTTTTGATGTGGGAGACTTTTGGTCCCTGCAGATGGGCCGGAAGCGTGGTCCTCACGGACGACGGTCTCAAAACGTCACGCCAAGGTCAACAGCGTTGAAAAGCTTTGCTGATAGCCTCGTGGGGCGGGCGGTTCTCTCTCATGGGACTATCTGTTTCCTTATTCTGAACAATACTTCACTATGTCTCGACGGACCACAGTTCACCCACTCCTCGTAGCTTGGCTTTTAAGACTCCTCCCGCGGGCTGTTGGCCGCGGCCCGCGGTTGTGGCTATCTCGTTCTCGGGGAGGGTCGCGGAAGTTTTTGCAACCTTGCTTTACACACTGACCAGCTCAAATCCCAATCCTGCCAGTTGCTCCTCCCATACCCGCTGGGCGGGTTCCCATCAACGGGAGTGCAGCGGCAAACACTTCGCAGGCTGGAAGCTAAGCAGGCACTTCCTATTTGTGGCGTACTGCAAAGAACTAATGGCGGAACAATGAGGAGGTTTACCGGCTATTGAATAAACGCAGATGACTCGTCCGTACCTTAGTCTTCCTTGCCTCAGCCGGCCGTACGGAAATAAAAGGTACTGAAACCAAACTCTATCATGAGGTCCGAAAGGCGAGGAGGGTGTGCCAGGAGTTATACTGTAGAGATGTGAAGGCTGTAGTCTGGATACTTGACATTTCGGGAGACAGTAGAATCAGATGAGTCTGTACGGTGCGGTGCGGCAGCTTCGTCCAAAGGTTGACCGGCATATCGCCGAAATACGCGTTGGCCGCTCGACGGAGATGAAATGCGGCCTTCAGAAGTCCTTGTCTCCATCGCCCCTTCCACCTCCCCCCTCGGTGTCGCAGGGTCCACGTGCGAAAGGGAATCCCTGCCATTGGCTCGGGGAATCCCTACCCATCCCCTGCTCGGTGAGCCAAGCGAATGCATTGGTAGATCTGGAGACCGTGGGGTGCCTTTTAGTAATTGTATGTCATAGTGAGGCGGACGGGTGAAAGAAGGAGGGATTTGGGGGAATAGGGATTGGCAGGTAAAGATGTCAATCAGGCCGTCGTTGTTCTGATCGTCTGCACCATTGTGTGCCAGTCTAGTGTGAGATGGTCAATGGAGGGGGAGGGCGCGGCGTTTGCGGCGTTTGCGGCGTTTGGTTCTTCGACTTGGACAGCAACAGACTGGGCGCGTTTTTAACGTGTTTGATGCTACATACCTTAGTATGTCGGAAATTATAATACGAAGAGACGCACCAAAAGGCAGCTGGAAACTGGGAGTCACGCCTCCAAAGTCGGCAGGCAACGCCGGCCCAATCGGGGCCAGATCTGCTGATGGACATCTATCTGCGTCAAAGGGGTTCCGTGTGGTCGGCGTTCCAGCGCCCTTCTAGAAGGAGCACCCCTGCTCTCCCGAGTTGATGTCGGGGAGGATTGTAGTGGGGGCGACGTTAAGAAAGAACCACCCGCATAAAAAGCGCCTTCCCTGTCTGATCCGCTGCCCAGGGCCTGCGGACTCGCAATTGCGGAAAGAGTCAGAATTTCTTTTCATTCAGAATCAGAAGGGAAGGCAACAGATTGAAGCTTGGTCACCAGTGGGGAATGAAAGTGGATACTCTGGGTTGCACCTGCCTTCCAGGTTGCCTAGAAATGACCTGATAATGCATCATTCGGTGAGCCTGGCGACAGCGCCCGTCTGACGTCTGGTGTGTCCAGTAATTGGGGTAAACTTTTGCTGCCTCATCTATTCCGTTCCCGATGCCACCCGCATCCGCATGCAAGCCCGAATTCATCGTCACCACCAAGGCCCAGACCAGAGCTGAATGACACAGGCCAGAGGCAGCTAGCAACTTGATGTACGGATACGAATACAAATCTACCAACGACTGCGGGCTGTTCAATCTGCAACGTCCCCCCACTGGCGCCCCATCGGGGCAGAAATCCGTACCAGACGGCCATCGACAGCACGTGGCACTCGATTCATCCGTCACCTCGCATCTCAGCCTGCCTCTGTCGTCTGCTGCCTACATATTATGTACCCTACCCGCCGGCTCCCCTTTGACAGCCCCGCCGCCGTTTCCATGAATAATACTGCCCAGGCCTCGACAGTCGACACTTTTGTTCATCTCGTCGCCTGTTCAGACAAACCCTGGTGTGGCTGGATCATTCCATGTTTCTCGTTAGCGCAATGAGTTGAGACATTGTTCTTCGGCATCGGACTCTCGCCTTACCTAAAACACGGAAATACTTCCTTCTGCCCGGCACACACACGTTCTCTGTCTCTTTCTCCCAGCACTATGTACGGATGCAGTACACACTCTGGACGATTAGCTTTAGCCTTTGGGGCTCCCTTTCCTCAGACGGCGTTGGCTGCAGCCGGATTCGGGATCGGTTTGACAAACAGGACGTGACAGGGCGATAGATGCGAACCATCACCTCACCTTGTTTAACATTCCCACGGTTCCATCCATTCCGCCCCCATCTTACATTCCGCAACTTCCGACCAATCCTCTTTTGGCAGCTCTCGAACTCTGTGTTCCAAGGCCCATTCTTAACGTACACTAGGAGGAGTACGTACTGGCACTAACATCCTGACACACGGACATTCTTTACGTCCTGCCCTTCCATCCCTTCCGCTCATCCAATCGGCGGGCCCTACCCCCTTTTGCCCAGCATCCCCTTGCCATCAGCCTGCCCTGCCGAACCCCTGTCACCCGACTTCAGCCCCTCGCCCTATTGCAGAAGTCTTGCAATGGCAAGAACGGATCAGGCGGGATATATGTGGTATGCGTGTCTGCAACCCTCAGGCGTTTCCTGCTTGAACCCTCCCACACCCTTCACGCCCCGCGCATTTGAGGTCAAGACGCCCAAACTTTCGCGGAGCCTGTGAATGAACGTTGAATTTCAGCCACAATCGTATTGACTCTCGATATCCGAAGATCAGAGACGCTCGACGCCCCTCAGGCAAATCAACTGCGGACCTGCCCGACGACAAACAACTCGACGACGGACGACTCGACCTTGGGGACTGGGGACAGAAATTGGGGGTCACGGAAAGCTGCCCAGCACACGGACTACGGGATTACGGAACTCCACAATGGCATCTGGGCGGACGACTGCGATATAGACCGGGCAGGATAGTCATTGCGACGACTTTCCATCTATCAACTCGTGCTTTCAATAACCCTACGTTTCCGAGATGGACGAAATGTTGCCGCCGCCGATGACTCCGTCTACCGAACGGGCCCATCGGCGGACAAACGGAGGCAACAAAGCCTTTCACAACTTTGCAAACGATTACTCCCACATAACAGATCCCGCGTTAAGGAGACGATTGGCCCTGAGCGAGATTGACAAGGTTCCATTTGGCTTGTACCGTCAGTCCGCTCCGAAATTTTTGCCCCCGTCTCGACAACGACTGACTTGAACCGCAGATGTAAGGGCTATTTTGGTTGCCGGTGTTGGCTTCTTTCTTGACTCATACGACATCTTCGCTATCAACCTCATCACTACGCTTCTCGGCGTAGTATTTTGGCAAGGGCCTCCTGAATCGAGTGCGCATGGCTATGGCGGCAACAACGGCGAATTACCAGACCAGGTCAACTCGGCTCTCAAGGCCTCCACCAGCGCTGGGATTATTGTTGGCCAGATCGTGTTCGGCTGGTTGGCCGACGTCTTTGGCAGAAGAAGAATGTATGGCGTGGAACTTGGGATTATCATTTTGGCGACGCTCAGCGCCGCCCTAGTGTCACCGAGTCAATCGGTGAGCTTCACCGGACTGATGATATTCTGGCGGGTCGTTATGGTGAGTGTCTTGAATGTTATCAAACTTGCGCCACTGTTAACGAAGTCAAGGGTGTTGGCATCGGAGGCGATTATCCACTCAGTTCAGTCATCACATCAGAGTAAGTTGGCTGATATCCGCTATCTTGAAGAACCTGAACTGATCCACCCCGCAGATTTGCGCCAACGCGATGGAGGGGAGCCATGATCGCAGCCGTGTTCTCGATGCAGGGCATGGGTCAATTAGGCGCGGCTGTCGTGGCTTTAGTCACCGCTGAAGGCTTCAAGGACTCTTACCTCGATGTCCACACTCTCGGCGACTGCCACGCAAGATGCCAGCTTGCTGCTGACCGTTCATGGCGCATCATTGTCGGCATGGGTGCTGTGCCCGCCTGTATAGCACTGTACTATCGAATCACAATCCCAGAGACGCCTCGTTACACCTTCGACGTGGAACAAGACGTCGAAAAAGCCGATGCCGATATCCGAGCTTACATGGCGAGCAAGTCGAAGGGTGACTACGATCCGGATTTACAGTTCAAGATGAAAAAGGAGACGGGTCCTGCTTACAACACTCCGGCGGCATCCTGGTCTGATGCCTGGGCATACTTCACGCAATGGAAGCACTTTAGAATCCTCATGGGGACCGCCCTATCCTGGTTCTTTCTGGTAAGTCAGAAAATCAAAAGTACCGGGTGCATGCATATACTGATAGACCAACCAGGATCTGGCATTTTACGGTCTTGGACTTAACAGCACCGTGGTGCTGCAAACTATTGGCTATGCCGACGGGGCCAATTTCTACAGAAGGCTACACAATCAGGCCGTGGGTTTAATCATTCTGGCGTGCGCCGGTGCGATCCCAGGCTACTGGGTTTCCGTCTTCACCATCGACACCTTTGGGCGTAAGCCGATTCAGATCATGGGCTTCTTCATGCTCACTGTCATTTTCTGCGTGCTCGGCTTTATGCTCCACCAATTATCCGACGCCGTCTTTCTCGCTTTGTATATTACTGGCCAATTCTTCTTCAACTTTGGCCCCAACACTACCACCTTCATCGTTCCTGGCGAATGCTTCCCGACCCGATACCGCTCCACAGGGCACGGAATATCTGCAGCCATGGGCAAGGTCGGTGCTATCATAGCGCAGGTTATTAGCATTCCCCTGCTCGCCAAAGACGTTCCCGGTGACTGCCACGGCGACCACTGTGCGCCTTGGCTCGACCGTCTTCTGGAATTATTCGCACTTTTCATGTTTCTCGGCATGCTCTCGTCCTTTCTCATTCCGGAGACTAAAGGCATGACCCTCGAAGAACTTGCAGGCGAGACACCGACATCCTACAATCGCGGCCGCAACGGCAGCATATCGCACTCCCCGCGCCCGCAATCAAAGTGGAACCCCTTCACCGGCGGTCACCCCGCAGGATTCCACTACCCCAGGACGAGCACCGTCAAAGCCGCAAGGGTCGGGATCATGACGTCGCCCTACCTCCTAGCAGAGGAAGAGCGCAGTAGAAGAAGTCAATCCCGGTTTTGGCGCAAGAGGCGGAAGGAGCGGGGCGGCGGGAATAGCATAGGTGGAACCGACGAATACGCTATGAGCATACGTAACAGTGGCGTCTCCTCGGCGTACACTGGAAGGAACATGGGCGCCGTCGATGAGCAGATGCCTCCTGATCCCGTGACTCCCGGTGTCTTTCCGACATGGGGGGCCGGGTGGGGCCGGGTGGATCGTGGGGCGCAGCCGATGGAGAACGTCAAGTTACACGACGTGGGAAGCCTTCTGAGGGGGGATTCCCGAGCGTGATGGGTTTTAGACAACTAGCGGGCGTATGGATTTGGGTACCCTCCTGGGTGAATATGAGGAATTTCATGATGACGACTTGTGCTGGATGTTGCTCATGTCCGGCTACTAAAGATATTGTATGATAATGTCATCACAAGACCGCCCACGCGGTCATTCGTATTTTATTCAAAAGGATCCTTGCGGCAAGCATTTTCGTTTGATGTTACTCGCCTTCAGATCGATGCCATCATGTATTAGCGATGCTTTGATTAGCCCTCTCTGAGGGGACTCCACTACACAATACGGAACATTCCGTCCATTGCGACAACCTGCACCGATATACTTGTTCGATAAACAAAGCGTTCCGTTCTCTTTTGAATCCGATCCCTCAGTCACGCGCCATCTCCGTCAGTTCACTAAGCCATACTGAATCCGATTTGTCCTCAAGTCTCGAAACCGCAGCCATAGTCTCGAGACTTCCCCTCGCACTCACAACACTCTCAAACTTTCCTCTCAACTTGTCGTCATCCGCAGAAAGAAGCACAGCCGCAACTTCTCTGCTGTAAGATTCACCACCCGTCGTCGTCGTCGTCGTCGAAAGGAACCCCTCGCTCAGCCATTACTTCAGCCTGCGCCGGACGATGTACAAGGCGAAGCAGTTGGCCGCGCGGGCGCCGCCTTCGCCGCCGCCGATGTTGTCATACTCTACGAGGTGCTCCGGCGCCTCCTGAGCCCAGGCGTCACAGAAGCCGAATCGAACTTCGAGGGGATGGAAGACGCGGACGAATTTGACAAAGGTGTCTCGGTCCTTGCTGTGGCTGTGGAGGTTGCCGCTCTCGGTCTATGAATATGACGCCAAATATTAGAATTTTTCAAAGGTAAGGGAAGCTTTCAGAGAGGATCCAAAACTGGTAAAAATATCTTTTCTTGGAAATAAGAGCAGAGAGAAGTGGAGGGGAAAGAAGAACAAGAGGACTCCTTAAACTTACCGAGATCTCAGGAATGTCCCTGGCCCAGACACCACACCTCACCACCAACGCCTCATCATCCCTGGGACCCGGATTGGGCACCTCACCAATGGCATTGGTAGTCTTCCAGCCGCCGGCGAAGACCAGGTCCAAGACACCATTGGCGCGGCTGCCGCGGTAGCAGTCGACCGAGGAGGACCCGAGCGCCTTGCCGAGAACCTGTCAGACGTCGACGCACGCGGCGGCCTCGCAGTGGGAGACGTAATCAAAACGAACATAGATTTCGTTGCCGCGAGGATATTCGGCGTCGTAGGACGAAGGGCGGCGGTGGTCGCGGTCGCGGTCGCTGGTGCTGGCGCTGTATGTTTGGGCGGCGCGGTGCATTTCGCGGATGTCCTGGGTCATTACTGTGCAACATGTGGTGGGAGGGTTGAAGTATGCCTCCAGCGGGCCGGTGGATTTGTTTTGACCGGACATCATTGACTTGGGAGAACCGGGGCTCTTCTGATGTAAGTATTTCTTGGCTTCGATGGTCCCAGTCGAAGTTGCTGGGTCCGGTTGTTGTTTGGACGAGGATTCGACCCGACACCTCGAGGTTTTGTACTTGATCGAAGCCGTGCCAACTTTGAGAGTGAGGTAGGTCAAATTGTATGACTGCATTTCATCTTATGTGTCGTTGAAAATCTCGAGTTCCAAAATATGATATTGCCAACTTGGGTTTGAACGAATGTAATAAGCGTGTCCTAGTCGAATTCACGCTAAAGTTCGAAGCTCTTAGTGAATTGATGTGAGTCAATAGGGGCTTTTGATATAGGTTGGGCTTTTGAACACACCTACCTCATGGGGATGAGGCATAACTCTAATCCAAAGACTAATTCTCTAACGAAGCTGACCACAGTAGTATAGCAATTTGCTTTGGCTTTTGCTTTTTTTATCCTCCTTTTTATTTTAATTTGAAATTTATGTTAGCAATGTACGTATAACTATTGACATGACAGCCCGTTGCCAAGGTATTTTGGAAAAATAGATAGAAGGTATCTTGAGAATTCAAGCGGGAGACACAAAATGTGTTTCTTTTCCATTTGTTTTCACTCACTTGATTCATGACAAGATAAGTCAGCAGCCTTTACCGAGGATCGGAAGAAGATTAAGGTCACAATGGGTCCATGTTTCCTTACGTATGGCTAATTGCTAGAATGAAAACCGATGGCACTTGCTTATCAATAGCTTTGTTGTTCACAGGAAGGACGTATTTAGGGCTCTTTCATGAAATTGGCTTTTCTTAAAATTAATCTGCTGCAAGGCCTTGTTGGATATTCATAACAAGGGGACTTGTTCTGACCATGAACTGCGTCTTGGGCGAGGAAAAAGTCGTCAATACCAAAGTGAATGCATTGCCGCAGGAACAAATCTGTTGTCATGAGAGTCTCTACCTCCTTTAGCGAATACATATAGAGGGGCGGTTCGCTGTGCAACTAGGAAGTGAAGGTGAACTACCCGAGCATCTCAGACGCGTTCAATCTAAGCAACAGTACCAGCAACCAGCCAACAACCGACCCGACCTTTCTCAATTTCCATCCTCACCACACCAGATAAACCTGGCACCCACAAACAGTTCCTGGCTTCTTGACTCCTTTGCCTGGAGCAGTTCTCACACTTTGCTAAATTTTTCAGCCTCACACTTCCATCACCACAACAAAGCGCCCAAACACACATATACACTGCTTTCTCCCCGGTACGACCTTCACCAATTTTCTTTTTCAAAAAGGAATTCAGACTAACAGAAATAAATAAATCTCCAGTCATTCAGTGAATCGGACCAACAAGGCATCATGAATTCCATCTCAGATGTCAGTCAGCTTGCGCCCTCTGTCGAGCGCATGTGCGACGACCTCCTAAAGGTCCTCATCCACTGCAACTATCCCCTGGACCCTGACAGCCTCGACCAAGTCCGCGATAAGTTCTGGGACCGAGTCTTTGCCTCCGGCTGGACCACCAACAAGGATAACATGCCCCCTGGCCAGCTGCGCAAGCGCACCAACGACGAGGCCTCCCTCACTATCGGCACCCTCAATCAAGATGTGGCCAAGAAGGGCTCAGTCCCCAGCCACCGTCGTGCCGGCCAGTCGGTCCTTCTCAAGGTCAGCATGAAGGTCGGTGACAACTGGGAGGACGTTGATGCCAGCTTCTTTTGGGTTGACCAGCAGGGCCACCGAGGCTCTGAGCTCTCCAATGCCTCCATCGACATCGAGGGCGATCTCACGCTCGACGAGGCCAAGGCCGAGGTGGGCATGCACTACGACATCAATGAGAAGGAACGCGTCGGCGGCTGGAACTGGGACAAGGTCGTCCACTGGGGCCGCTATCGCCTGGTCAACTTCGCTCAGCAGCTCAGAGTCCCCAACACGGAGGATGTGAGCGAACTCAAGCAGATTCGACTGGTGGAGGAGCACTGGCTGGAGAAGGAGGAGCTCAGACAGAACTTCCTGAACAATGAGCAGTTGTTGAGAGGTGACTAGAGGACGATGAAAGGCATGGCTGAACTCGGAAGGAGGCTGGTTTTGTTTTCTTGGGAGGTCACACAGAGATGAACAATCGTAATAGCACAAGGTAGCATGGCTTTTGATTTGTGGCCGACATTGCTCAGTACACGTATTCACAGGAATTCTGGCTGGCATTCTGAGTGGCCGTGCTTACTATTATCACCTTGTATGTGAATTGACCCAACTGGAATGTTTTTACTAACGATGCTACACAGATTTGGCGACAGCTCTTCCATTGACACTTGAATGTTCTATGCATTGAAATAAATAAAACGTGATGGATTCCTACAGAAGGTGCTTTAGAGGTTATCTACAAGCAATTTTAGGGGACTACCATCCATTATGATCTTTCGTTCCATTGGGTCTGCTGCTCCTGCTCTATGTGTGAAAAATTAGCGTACCTGCCTCGTTCCTTTCTGGTTTTCAAATTTGGACCATGTCAAGGCGAAATATCAGGTAGGGGCTGACACCGGCTGTGCCAGGCTCAACATTAAAGACGTTTGAATGAGATATGTAAATAGTTAATTCTCTCTCGTCTTCTTTCAGAAACAATTCTCCTGGGCTCACCCCCTACGTTGGCGTAATTCACCCTACGAATGCGGCCTCTATTTGGCAGATTGGACCTTGGGCATCTTTGTACATCAGGCGCCTTTGTTTTTCCATGCCTTCACAGCCTCATAAAAGCCCTCTTTGCATTTCATCTCTCTTGCCTCTTAATAACTAACACATCTCACCAGCTCCTTGATAAATATCCATCATAATTCATATTCTACTACATTTCACATACTACTACAATGATTTATGGTTATCAGCTGTTAAGAAGAGGCCATCTTTTAAACAAGACAGGAGGGATGTGGCGGCCTCCGAAATGCTCAAGGTAAAAGCCCACGCCATATGTTCTTCACATAAGGACTAGATGCGCCTCGTTGGTTAGTCGAATCGCGGAAAAGTAACATACTGGGCCCGACACCGTCTTGCTGCCCAGGCTATCGTGGCGTTGATAATGAGGGTGTCCTTCGTTTCAAGACGGGCGACCCGGTGGGGAGATCGGTGAGGAGATCGGATTAATGAGGTCCGTCGGATCATTCATGAGAATCTTAAGAGGATGAGCCTTCAAGCTGGACATGGTTAGCGGGAAAACTTGGCTCTTTGTTGTTTATTACATTGTACGTCGATACGCAGGCAGTTCTCCGTCTACTAATTATAGGTAGTTAATAGTTCCCTTTACGCAGCTCATCGTCGGATCCTCAACACTATTATACTTCTACCCAACCCTAGTCAACAGTTTGGGCTACCAATCCACAGCCGCCCAATACATGACGACCCCAATCTTCGGCATCGACTTCGTCTCCACTTGCTGTCACGCGTTGCGTCACCGACAAACACTCCCAGCGGCGCGGCCTGATCCTCGGCGCCTGAGTGACTACCGCCGAGTTCTGCGCTGTCGTCACCTGCGTCATCTACGACTTCAAGGCCTGAGATGCGCTCCTGGTCATCATGGCGTCCGGTCTCTGGGCCTCCAACTGATTAGCCCTGCTGTACGCGTTCGTAAGCTTCGGGTCCATACCCGGCGAGACGCAGGCCATCTCCCTGGCCCTCGTCGACGTTATAGGCAACTTCGTGCAGATCTATGAGGCGAACCTATTCCCCTCAATGGACGGCCCCAAGCATCTGATGGGTTTCGGTGTCGTTAGCGGTCTCTGCTTTACAGGGACTGCGTCATAAGTTATGCTCTATGTCTTTTTGAGAAAAGAGATTAGGGCTTCATAATTGGTTTTACGTAGACTAGTCCGCAATCTTACAGTAATTGAAACTCGTCTGATAACGCATTATGTCTTTAGAACTATCTATAGAACCAAGGAACTGGTTTAGAGTTTGACGTCACATGTAGATAACTGGAGGTGTCCGGATTGAAATAGAATCACGCCACGATAAGACATCAAACAACAAAGCTGACCTACAGGATGCGAGACACTCTGGTCCTTACTCTAATCGTCAAACCTCAAAGACAAATGCATTCCACAATGTGCCAAGATGTCCACCCACATTGCCTCCTTGGAACTTGCTTCCATGCTAATATAAACTGAGCACATGATTTTTCAGCCTTGTACGAACCGTAGCGAAGCATAGACTGAGTCTGCAATGGCAACTTTAATATAAGACAAACGCGGTTGAAGTGGACAGAAGCATAGAGGAAAATATCACTTCCCATTTCAAAGTCTTTATGAACCTAGCGTTCATAGTCTCAATATGTATAGCTACCTATTGCAGACTCCAATTCCCGATGCAACTTGACCTCCAAACGAATCTTACTTGGACATTCTCAGTTCCTCCATCGCCAGCTTCAAGTTCTCGGTATCTCTCGTGAGGATATCGCGTCTATTCCGCGTCGCCACATCCTCTCCGGCAATCATCTGCAGCTGCTTGTTATCCAAGCCCATGACCAGGTCAGGTGTGAAGATCTTGAGAGGTCCCGTCTTGGCATCGAGCAAGAAGTGAAATACGGCCTGCTGCAGTACGACATCAACAAAGCGCTCGCGAGCGATCTTGTAGTAGCTGTGAAGGGTGTCATGGATATCCTCTCTGACCTGCTCGACATTGGATCGACCCGTTGTAAGCTTGGGCAGCATGGACTTTGATACCCACCAGCCTGCAGCTCTGAGAGACTCAGTGCCTTTTAATGTAGTAAACTCGAAGGGATTTCCGTTGTTTTCCGCTGCCTGCACCTCAGCCCCTCTGGAAGCGGTATTTCCGATGACCAATCCCGACTTACTGCTCGGACTGCTCAAGCAGAGAGTATGGCCGTGGTCATTGCGTATCGCTGCTGGACCAATGGCCTTGTTGATCGCTTCCTTGAGTCTGATAGCCCGGGACTTTTGGGGATTGATGTTGAAGTAGTGATTCATGGTGTAGGGTTGTCCGCTAAGCTCGACATTGATGAGGAATTGGGCGTGTTCTAAAGCTCGTTGATACGAAGCACGGAGCTTGGGCAACAGGAAGTGGTCGTGCAACTCATCGAAAGTGTTGGCGTCGGTACACTTGAGTCGCAGTGCAGCACCGATGAACTCGTGGACAATCATGATCGCCTGGCTAACATGTTTCAGGACCAGCGGCTCCCACTTCTTGGTCTGCTCCTTGAAGACTTGCGCTAACATTGAGCCCGGAAACTAATGTTCTGTCAGCGTCGAACTCAGTCTTGGTTTCGTACCAGTAGTAGACTTACTGAACCAAGTTCGGCATTACGGGATTCATAAAAAACACTTTCAATATTGCTCAGAAGCGAGGTCTTTGCCGGCTCGTGGCATTGGAACTTCACACATTACAGAATTCCGCCGAGAGCCTCGTCTGGGTTGGTGATTGTATCGACATTCAACGGAGTATTTGGGCCGAACTCCGTCTCGGCTGGTCCCTCAAACTTTCTCGTGTGACCACGCAGGACAAAGACCTTGTTGAATTGCTCATTGTGATTGACAATGGATGTGATGAGTCGTAGTTTCGGATTCTGATCGAAAATATCCATTCCGCTATAATGACCGTCGCGTGCTCGAAGATCAGCCTCCTGGAAGTCAGATGCAATCTGCCCAAGGTACCGTCGCTGGGCATCCGGCCGAGCCCGTGAAGGACCCATGCGCTTGAATTCGGCCTCGTTCTGGTTGAGCATACTGTAGATCTCAGCTTTGACGTTCTTGAACTCTTTATTGGAAATGTCGCGCAGCAAGTCGCGAAGACGGACGGCGAGGCTGTTGACTCCCACCCGATTGGATGATCTGAGTCTCGCCCAAGGACTGGCAGAAAAGAACGACTTCTCTGATGAGTTCCGATCAGTCATTGTCGAAAAATCGTCATCTGCGCTGCGGTTCTTCACTACGCAGTATCCGAGGCGGAGAGAATGGCGTTTACCCTCCACGAGCTCGCATACAATCTGCTGAGTGGCGCGCTCGGTGGCTAGATCGGGCTTGGTGAGAACACTCATGGTTCGAAGTCCCTCTGGGTCGACTTGTTTCGCGAGGGTAAGAACCTCCTGAGTTGCGACATCCACATTGCAAGGGATGACTGACAGGATGATAGTGCGCTGGTCTTTGATATATCTGTTCACCATGTTTCTGACCAGCACGATATCATTGTCGGTAGTCAGGCCCTTCGTAGCAGTGCGGAAAATACCCGGGACATCGATGACGGTCAAATGATGTTGCTGATGTGTAAGGGTCAGCAGGATTTGCGAACGGTTCAAGTTGAATTTGAACGTACATCTGGACCACTGATTTCAATCTTGAGAACGTCTTCGGCGAAGGTCGAAAGCTTGCAATCATCTCCACCACCGACACCGCGAAGTCCCATGGCTTCGTTTGCCTAAGGAAGGCAGCAATCATCAGCATCACAATTGTAGCATCCCAAGGCGTCGTCCGCTTACCTGTGCAAAGACATCCGCCAACGCGAGGTCGTCCTTCTCGACAGAATACATGAATTTCTTTAGACGCTCCTTCCGACCTCCTTGGAGTCCTGGCTCGGAATGATGGAGATCTGGATACTCTCGAAATCATCACGGCGGCAAGTGATCTGGGTGGCGTAACGGGTGCAGAGCTCGGGAGCACGAGGGAACGCGAAGCCTGTCACGCTCTCCAGAACGGAGCTCTTGCCCGACGACTGGTCGCCAACCACGACAAGCTACGGAAGGGGAACTAGATCGGCGATGCCGAGCTCGCGAAGCTTGTCGATAGTCTGCGAGAAGACATCGTCGCCAAGCGACTCGTTGGCAGTGTCACCGTCGTTGTTATTGCCTCTCATATTCACTTTATCCTAGATGGTCTATCACACTAATGATTTTGGTTAGCAAGTATTCGAAAGTAGATGGGCTGAATTGATGGAAAAGAACGAGGGGACGAAAAACAGACAATAGGCGCTTAGCAAAGGAGAGACGGCAGAGATGTCGTGGTTGACGAAGATAAGGTGGATTTCTTGGAAGTCATAGTGGGCAAAATGATTACAATCACCTGAGGGAAGGTGAGTAAGAGATCTAGCAGTTGAAGAGAAGGAGGCAGTCAGGCCGTCCCTGCCTCTTTAGGCGTTTTCAATAATTGGATAAAAACAAACGACGAATGCCTCCAGAAGACCAGTCACAGATGCTGGCAAAGGTGACAGAAAGGTGTCAAGATGAGTACCTCACCTTACCTTAGTCACCTTAATTGAAGGCTTCGGAACGGTCGGTCATCTTCGACTGGACGCCTTTCAACGTTTAGTAGAGCCTAAGCGGCTTTTCCTAGCCCCGGTGAAGTCACTCTGCCCGTAAGTCAAGGAACTCCGTCATCTCCATAGTCGCTATACCGCATACGCGTACGTCGAGAAAAAGACTGCTCCTTTGCACGACGGAATGCCAAATACCAGGCGTAGCTGGTAGAAGCCAGTGCCTTCTTACATGATGTCTTAGAGAATATGCCAGTCAGTGCTGGAGTGTTTGTGGCAAAGCTTTGATGGGAGAGTGAAATAAGAATAGCCCAGAGAATTTTGATTTGAGGTCTGTCGCAAGACCGAGACAAATGTCACCTCTGTAGGTTCGTAGTCCCAGGAAGGAGGCATCGAGGCGCTTTATATCGTAGCTTCTACTTCGACACGCAACCTCGAAAAAGGGCTGTGGTGCAAGTTGTCGATACAGGATGACATTGCTGATGCTAATCTACTCAAGCCCTGATTGCTCGTTGGCATCGCTACTGAATATGCTACATAATAAAACATAGAAATGAGAAGACACGTTGTGTCGTGCCGTAACCTGACTTGCTGCACTTTTCCGCCTCCCGTTCCTACGTGGGGTATTTCCTCAACCGGATGTTGGCTTCTTCTTGTCCATGACGCCCTTCAACACCTTAAGCTTCTCCTCCGTCACCTTGATCGCCTCTTCGATCTCCCTCTCATTCATACGGTCCTCTCTGACCCTCTCCTCCACAGTGTTTGGCTCCATTGCTCGCTTCCGCATGGGCAAATTGCCCTCGTGCAAGCGCTCCAAACCAACCCTCTCCTCCAGCCACTCCCAAAGTTCGCTCTCTTCGCGTCTCCACATCTCGTCATAAGCAGCAAGACGATCTGGATAACCATACATACGCATGTCTCCAGGTGCTTGTCTGCCAGGCAGACCAAAACCAAACCATGTCGCTACGAGAAGGCCAACTAACAGGCCATACATCATATTGCCTGTCAGGAGCGGTTTGGCAATGTCGAGAACTGGCTCGAGAATGCCTCGCACAGGCTCCAGTGGACCCCAATCCGTCTTGGGAACATGCCTGGGCCGGACCTGCTCGTCCTCGGCATCCGTCGTGGAGCCTGCTGCCTTGCTCTTCTTACTCTTCTTCTTGCCCTTGGAAGCGGAGCCCGCTCCTGCACCGCCAGCGCGGGGTTTGGAGGATACAGCTGTTTTCAAGCTGGCGAAGAGGTCTTTGCAGTACTGTGTTTGGCCGTCGTTTGCTCCCTTTTCAATAGGGCCTTCATCATGTTAGCTCAGGTCAATGATGCAAGCCAAGTGGTCAATAATCACCCTTCAACCAACTCTTGCCCGTCCACTCAATAGTGCAGTTGGACTGTACTCTGGTGGAGTTGTTGTCTGCCCACGACAAGCAATACTTTGTCTTCACGCTGAAAATGTTGCCGTTCGGCACATCGGGAGTTTGCGTGGTAACGCTGAAGTTGATGGCCTTCTCAAAGTCAAGGGAATCCAAAGTCTCCGTCACGAGACACTTTGTCTGCTTGGGGCCGATGGCGCCATTGAGAGGCTTGATATAGGTGAAATACCGAGACTTATTGTCGAGGGTGAGCCCCTTTTTGTCTTCCATGGTCAATTCTGTGCACTTTGCCTCGACAGTGAGCCATTTGGTCATCCAAGTGACCGAGGCTGGGCCAAAGAGTAAGTTGTACACTTTGCCTAGAGGTGCAGGGATAACATCATCGCCGACAACTCTGTCGTAATGCGTATCGGAGTCTCCGCAGTCGGTCGGGGCATGAGCAGCCGGGCCAGGGAAGTCGTTGCCGCCAGTGGCAGCACCGACAGCCTCCTTGACGATGTCGGCGAAAGCGCCATTAGCACCTGCGCCAGATACCTTTCGGGATACGGTCTTTCCGCCTTCGGGCTCGGCGTTGACTTCTGACAATTGCGTGACATCCTGCAAATCTTCCGCGTCATCATCTTCGTCGTAGACATCGTCGTCGTCGCCAGAGTCACTCTCTTCATCGGTGCCGGACAAACTACCATCATCAACATCTGCTACCACAGCACTATTCGCGTCAACCTTTTCTGTTTTGTCACCGCCCGTTCCCTCGAGCTGCACTCCATTGAGCGAGCTTTGCAAAGTCGGATGTCCAAGTTTCCAAATATTGACGATCAGATCGTAAGTCGAATCTCGGCTGGTGAAACTGGCAAAGATGTGCTTGGCGTGGAGGGTCGAAATCATGAGTCCGTTCTTGAAGACAAGGGCTGTGCTTCGCTTCTCGACGCTCACTATTTCGTCAAAGCTCATGACAAGCGTGGTCGACCAGCCGAGGATGTTGCTGCTAAAGCACAAGTGGCCTTCGGATACGTACAGGCGGCCGTGCGCCAGGATCTCACGCTGCAGCGCACAGCTGTAGTCTTCGATGAGGTAATCGTCGTCAGGCACGCTCTTAAAAAATCCATGGAAGTCGCGGTTACGCTTCTTGCTTGCAACCGCGAATCCCGTAAGTTTCGGCACGCTCGCGTTGGCTTGAGGATGAGCGAGAGACGCGTTAGCCGCAGCAATGGCAGCGCCAATAGTAGTAGCCGTACCTCCCGACACAGCTGAGCTTCCTCGCTTGCGATGGCGTCCAATGGCGCTTCGAATACTTCCACTGCGCTGGACACCAGAAATCTTGTCCTCGTGGATGCTGCCTTGCGGAGGGGTGCGGTCTCCTCCGTTTCCTGGATCGTATAGTGACTGGGGTCTTGCCGCGTTTCGGCCGTCGTCTACTCCGAGGTCGCGCGTGGCAGCGGCATAGGCGGCGTCGGTGGGAGCTGATTCGCTTCTAGCTCGTGCGTCCGATTCGGGGAATTTGGCTGTAATAGGAGTTCCTGCACTGCTGGCTGTGTCCGTTATACCTAATTGACTGAGACTCAGCTCGCCGGACCCCATGGTCTTGACTGCAGGCTCTTTCTCCATGGTCGAACCTGTTGCGGAAGGAGGCGGGGGTTCGACCTCGGGTTGCTCGTCGATTTTGATATCGGGGGGTTTGGCTACGTTCTTGTTCTTAGGAGGAGTTGGTCCTATTCCGGTATTCTGGATGGTACTTGTGAGCGAGGTCGCGGCGTTTTGCGCAGCCGAAAAGACGGATGAGAAGAAGCCGCCAGATGGAGTGCCCGGGTTGCTTGCGGTACCGTTCTCGGGAGTGGGCGTCAAGGGCGCGAGGGTTATGTTGGACAGTTTGCTAGGCCCTAAACTCCCAGATCCTGATCTACCCCTGCGGTGAGCAAGCATAGTACCCGTGGCAGAACCACCATTCGTGTTGCCTGAGGCAATGGCAGTGGCGGGAGCCTCGGGAGCGGGTTGCGGAGCTGGCGCCGGCGGAGGAGACTGAGCGTAGGGTGCGTTGTGATCGGTCGGGGTCGGAGGGGTATTGACAATGACGGGCGTCTTGTCGGTGTTGGGCGGGGTTTGGGGTACGAAGGAGGTGTCGATTCGGGATGTGTTCGTAGAGGCCCTGGAGCGACGTCGCTCAGGTGAATGCGTTGTTGATTGTTTTACACGGGATGCATCCGCATTGCTCGTCGCATTCGGTTGTGGCGCGGTCGAATTGTCTAGAAACGGCTTTGTGGTTGTGGTGAGGTCAGAGGTGGACGCGGAAGCAGTGGCTCTGCCTCGGTCTCTTGTTCTCCGCGTGTCTCGGTCGAGGTCGGGGGTTTCGTCACCGCCCAGGGACCGGTCAGGGCTTGTGGCAGCACTGGGAGTCTTTTTGGACTTTGTAAAAACACCTTTGAGACGGCCAACGGGGGATGGAGACCTCGTGGTGTTTTTCTTGGGTGGCACAAGGCTTGTAAAACTGCGTTTGGAGCGCAGGGACGAATCTGTCGACGACTCGACGGATTGCGTCCGCTTGGCTGAGGAGAGAGTGGATCGCGCCGAGGCGATCTGGGAGAGTTGTTCGTCCAGTATCTGCGCTTGGGGTTCAGGCAAATGGGTTGCCTGAACGATAGGAGAAGAAGTTGTCAAGTAACCTATTTGTGAAGGATGTGTCGATACGACACTTGGTCGAGATTGAAAAGGAAATCTAATGAGAGGGGGCGGGAATCGTCGAGGTTAGATACTTGGTACTGTATGGTTGATTACATGGAGAGACGAAACGGCAGAGGTGGCCGGGGAGACATGGACGACCCTGACCCCCGTTTGTTCGCACTCGCTTCAAATGGAACATTCGTCAGGGACACGAGTTAAATGTGCTGAAGGGACCCCCGGGCAGCTGTCATACGGCGATTGCCGCAGAGAGTGGACGAGGGGGAGCTGAGACCCATGGAGCAGAGAGGAGAGTGCATCAGCCCCCTCCCCAGTCTCCCAGTCCCAGAACCCCCCGGACCAGACAGCAGACCAGTAAGAATTGTCAGACCAAGGATGGCCAGCAGCCTACTACGGACGCTAAGCCAAGCCCGCTGTCCTCTCTGTCTCTCCACTTGATATGCACAAAAGAGAGACGGCGCCGTTGCGGGTTGTGCCAGCAGACTTGGGCCGAGTTGCGTAGCCATTCGTAGCTCGCCTCGCCATTCAATGGAGATGCCAGTAACGACTTTGAACACTGGGGGGGACGCGCCACGCGAAAAGACGTGGCCTTGCGCTTGCGAGGTGATGAAGAGCGCAGAACAAGTGCGCTCGGATGCATACACATGTAAGATGGTTGGAAGACTGAAATATGAGGGTGCGGAGAGGGCCAGTCGTGTGCATTGGGTAGGTAGGTAAGACGGGATAGAGAATAAGTAGGAAATGAAGCAACGAATAGAGACGAATAGAGACAAAGGTGCGGACTCACTGATGATCGCCAATATCGGGGTCCTCCAGCGACGCAATGCTAATGGCTTCGGTGCTGGCTTCGTCCGCGTCGCGGGTGTCGTGGCCGTGCTCGCGGTAGTGGTTGTAGTCGTAGTCGGGAAACCCTGTCGAGCCGTCCTTTCCAAATCCAAAGCTGTCCGTGTCATGGACGTAAGAGCCGCTGTCGCGTTTGTTGGACAGATGGCTGGCGTAGTCGTCTCTGAGTGGTGCAGGCGTAACAGCTGGAGCTGTGACATCTTCCCCCTTGACCCCTATCAGCAAAGCGGCCGTTGCGGCAGCGGCTTCGTCGTCTTGGGCTTCTTGCTTTTTGCGGCGTCGTTTGGCGGCGATTGACTTTGGCAGCAATTTGCTTAGACCTCCTCCGCTTTCAGTGGCGCCGTCCATGGCTTCCCGGGTTGGTTTCCTGGGATTGTGAAGCTCGTATTTATCGTACTCTTTCCGAGCGGTATATTTGCAGTTTGGCAGGTCGGTGCTGTCAAAGGGAATACGCGTATTGGTTGCGAAGAGTGGACAGGATGATCATGGTCCACGGGTGCAGGGAATTGGCAGTATGGAAATTAAGGTCGAGACGACAAGCTTGGAGGTATCCGTAGGGAAGTGCGATGCGAGGTACCTATGCCCCGGGGAGAGGGGCCGCAGATTGGACCTGGCAAATTGTTTTTGTATGACGGGGAATTATTTGGAAAAGAACCCGCGGGTGCTGTATTGTTTTTCGAGTTTGAGCGATGCAGCCGGGGGCTCCGTTTAATGTTGTTTCTTGCTTGCGAGGTGGTGCAAATTGGAAGTGCAAACTAGAAGTGCAAACATGAAAAGAGGAATGGACTAGACCATGGGGTGACTGTGGGCGATTCGGGTCACGGAAGAAGGAAAGTTTGCACCTTCGTTGCAGATGCAGTCGGAGCCGAGGACCCAAATGAAAACTCGGGAGGAAGGAGCTATACGGTTTACTTCGCCAGTTCCCAGCTTAGCCAAGGCAAGAACCCCAAGCCGGAGCTCTCTTTCCACGAAGAGCGTCATCGTCACTGGAGGCGAGGCAAGCCGCAAGGAAGTTCGTGGGCGAGGCCGGGCCTGCTAGATCGTACGGGGAGAATCCTCCTTCCTCCTTCTAGAGGGGAGAGGGGGAGAAGCGAGGTACCTCGTTTTGTTAGCGTATCTCTACCTACCTAGGTACACCAAATCGCTTCTCACATCTATCGTCTCCGCCCTCCTCTCCCCATACCTATCCGTACAGTAGAGTAAACCTCAAATTAACCGTATTCACTCACTTTAGCATAAATACCGAATGCATATTTCTGCCCGCTTCCCGACAGCGGTCCATTATTACGAGCAGCCTGGAATCGCTAAGAATCGGGAATCTGGGGCCGTCCATCTGGCCAGCCCCAATTGGCAATGGAGCCGTCCATGTTGCATTACAATGTAGGTATTTGACGCCCGCCACCCGTAAATTGTAATCCGGGAAAGATAACCAGCGCTGCTATTTTTGATCAGTATCCCAACAGTAGCATCTCTCTTTTTCTGGTCCTATTGTGGCTGCGCAATCCCAAATTTCCATTCCCACGTCTGCCAGCCCATGGCCTTTTCCATCTTGGAATTGCAACTGGTATCTGCATCAGGATGATTCCGCTAGATGCTCCATAGACAATCTCCCGGGGAGGCTGTAGGTAAGAGCCTGTGACTGACTGCTGAGCTGCTCACGCCACTGTTAACAGGAACAAGTATCATCTCCCGCCTCGGCTCAGATCACATCTCATTACGGTCGGTCAGCTCCATTCCATTCTAGCCGGATGCATTGGCACCACATGGTCTGTCGAGCCAGAAACCTGCAGATCCTAAGCAGCGTGAGGTATGTGAGGTATCAACGGCTGGCCCGGAGCCTTTCATCCCACCTTTCTTACCCACGCAGCTCGCGCGCCTCCTCCAGGCGATGCATGCACGTCTGGCAGATTCGCAGATGGAATTCACAGCCAGGTTTCGATGGCTGGCCCGATTCGGGACGTCCACAGCCGTTGGGTTGCCCGTTTGGATCAGCTGCTGGCTCGGCGGACCCCATACCTACGTCAGGGGGGTCTGCAAGTGCGAGTTGTGTCTTGCGGCTTGCGGTAGTGATAGGCTCGTCTCTGGAGCGACGAGACAACGCGCAACTGGGTATTGGACAATGTCCTTCTCGCCCCAATAGGGCAGGGACAGTTTGCAGTAGTTACACCCAGCACACCCAGCACACCCAGCACATGATGTCCAAGTTCCTGGGCATATTTTGATCTGCATTTTGCGTCACCCAGAAGCCTCTCTAGCTGTTGGTCTGTCTCAGTTGCGCCGCTTGCTGTCATCGTTACAGTCTCGACCAACTGATTACTTGCTGCCTAACAGACGTCGCGCTCCTGATTCTTTACTTTTTGTCAAAATGTCGAATTTGATATTGGAAGTGATGAATGGTGGCTTGGATGCAATCTGATCATGTAAATTGCAAACGTGGTCATCGTACCTTAGTCTGTCTGCTTAATTGTTTTAGTGCCTTGTATACTAGAGTATAGCGGAACTGGTTGACTAGCTAGTCAAAAGCCGTCCTCCGTCTCTTTTGAATTCTCTGGCAACATCATCACGATGTCATTCGTTGGAGCTGACTTCCGCCAAGTCACTTGAGCCTTGAGGTAATTGCTAGCAGCTGGTGACGTGGGATCGGTCTTTTAGCTTCTTTCTACCTTGACATTTGTGGTGAGGTGGGTGGGTGGGTGGCCGGCGACGGGAAGATAACACTTTGACGAGTGGAAAGCTTACGTACTCTATCCGGCCAATCTAGGCCGTGGCCCCTTCCAACAAGCGTTCTAAGCATCGTCCCGCGTGCTCCTGCACGGTGCATCGCTCCCACCTGACTGCAACCGGAGAGAAGAACAAGCGGGGGGCAGCTTTTAGCGATTCTGGGGAAACCTCCGCGACCGCTACACCAAACCCCCGACCCAACTACCGTTCACCGGACATCTAAGGCCGGTTTGTTGGAACTCCTCCGAACCTCCATCGGCGCATGCGTTCCTCCACCTTCCTTCCTGCCACCATCTGCATCGACCTACGGCGGGCGCGTGATTCAGAAAGAAACGTCCGGGTAGCCAATCTAGAGTAGGAACCCCCCAACGTACTCCAATCCGGCATCGGCATCATCCCTCGACCCAAAACTGGCAGCCGACCAGCTGCGGCTCTTTGCGATGGACGAGTCGTCGTTAGTCAAGGTACGTTAACTCTCAAGAGCCTGTGAAACATGTCTAGGACCTGCTCTAACGATAATCCATCAGGCGCATGACCATGCCAAAGCAGCTTCAAATGCCCAGCACCAGTCCGAAACCACAGTAGCCATCAACGAACACGCCCTCGCCGCCGGCGAGTTCGCCAACGCGGCCCGCGCGACGTCAAGTATCGAGGCTTTGCGCACCCTGAAGCTCCTCGAAGAGCATCACCAACGCCTTTCAGAACTCCTCAAGATACCCTTTGACCGTCGCGGAAACCATCACATCTCCGAGACCATCGACGAGAAGCAAGAATCACAGTCCTCCGCTGTGAGCAACCTCTCCTCGCCGGACGATGGCCGTACCAAGTTCGGATCGGGCCAGCCCGCCGGCAGCCCGGTCGCCACCGCAAAGACTGTGCCGTCGCTGGCGCAGCAGCGCCGGTACCCCAGCCGTGAGATGACGTCCTCCATCGCGAGCAACCTTGCTTCGGCGCGAGGCATCCGCGGAAGTAGGAGCCGGAGCCAGCCCATCCCGCCGAGCGTTACAAACGACCAGGCGCCAGGGAACATGGAGGTCCAGGCGCGGAGGGATGGATCGAGGACCAAGATGCAAAATGTCCTCGACCAGTCAGGCAAACCGGGATGGATACCGCCAACCGGCAACAGCGAGTCCTCACGAAGGGAGGCCGAGCCCAAAAAGGTCGAAGAGGCTGTCTCGCCGGCCAGCGACGACGGATATTCTCGCTTCTACAGCACCTTTGGCAGCATCATCAACCGTCTCTCTGCGCCCCTCGCCTTCGCCGGCCTGCCGCTCATTACCGAAGAATCCTCTTCCTCCTCGGTTCCCGAACCCGCCGAGACGCCACCAGAAGCGGCCCCGATAAAGCGCAACAGGCTCAAACCGTCTCCGGCAGCCCCCGCCGAACCGGACCTCTCCAAGATCTACTCCCGCGCGACCCTCCGCGCCATCTCGGCAAACAATCCCAACGACTCCTTCTACGTCGTCCCCACGAGCGGCCATACAATGTCCTACGCCAACATCCTCAACTTCGCCGACAAGGAGAAGCGCCGCCTCGAGGCCTCGCTCCACAGCGGCGGCGGCGGCGGCGGTGATAGCCTCATCGAGGACGACGAGGACGACTTTGTCGACGCTCGCGAATCTCCGTCAGTAGCACCGACGTCTCCTGGAGCGAGGCGCCGCGGTGCCAAGCCGCGTCCCGAGCAAAACCTCAAAAATACCGTCGAGGAGCTCTACCTCGAGAACAGGGGCCTCAAGGACATGCTCGACAAGCTCAGCCGGCGGCTCCACGCCTTCGAGGCCACGGCGCAGAACTCGAGCCTCGCACTGGCGGAGAGTATTCGTCTGCGGCGGCCCGGATCGCCGGCGTCCGCCGGGGGTGCGGGTTCCTCTACCAGCGGTGGCGGCACGTCGGGGAGCGAGGCCGTATTGAGGGCGCGGAACAAGGAGCTGGAGGAGCAGATGGCCACGGCGATGCAGCGCATGGAGGCGCTGGAAAAGGAAAACAGGTCGATGGCGCGGACGCTGGAGAAGTATCGCGAGAAGTGGGAGAAGCTAAAAGCCGGCGCAAAGGCGCGGCGTCAGGCGCAGGGGACGGCGGAGAGCGCAGAGGCGGATGAGGCCGCGGCGGGTGCGAGCTGATGGGTGTCGCTCCATGATGAAATTTGTTCCACGTTGAAAAAAAAAACCTTGAAACAATGAAGCATGACCTGAGGCCCCTGTGTCTATTTCACGATAGAGCATCTTTTCGCAAGCTATGGAAGTAAACCATCTAAACTACCTCCCCCCAAAGTGTCGTATCAATCATCTGCCTTGTCCTCCGGCCCAACATAATGATCCCCGTTCCACCAAAAGCTCACGCTGAAACTCACACTCAGGCTGCGGACGTAGTGCCACCACCCGATGGGTATATACAACACGTCCCCGGCCTCGAGCACGCAGTCCCAGTACCGCAACCCGCGAAACTCCTCCAGCTCCATCGCGTCCCGCCCCTCCGTGTCGGGGTCCCAGCCCTCCACGGCGCCGACGTCAAATGCGCTCGTGTTACTCATGTCCACCTTTTTGACTCTCCCGTCTCCTTCATGTTTCCCTTCGACATCGTCATCGTCATCGTCATCATCATCATACTCAACCCCCCTTGGACACATTGCCTCCGAATCCCGCGGCGCGTACAACCGCACATACTTTGCCCCGACAACTTGGCAGAGCAAATTATGATACCCGTCCGTATGCAACGGCGTAATCGTCCCCGCGGGGCCGAACCACGCGTTCACCAGCGGCACGTCCAGCTCCGGCTTGTCAGCATCCCGGTTCAGCGGGTGCGGCGGCGGCGTCGTGAAGCAGTGGTCCGGCGTGAGGATGTCGTTTTGCAGGTGCGGGAGCTGCGCGAAGAGCTCGTGCTGGGCGAGGTACGTCGTCCCTGTTGTACTTCCCTGCCCATCCTCCTCCTCTCCCTCGCCGTCTTGTTCTCGTGCTTCGGGGCCATTGTGCGTCGTCGTTGCTGGAGAAGCGGACGACAAGCCAGGTGGCGCAACTACGCGAGCCAGCAGCTCCCGGAACGGAATCAGCTCCTGCGTCCACCCCTCGTCGACGTAGCTCCGCCCGACCTCCACCGGCACCAACCGCCGCCCGCCGTGTGTCCTCGAGAGCAGGTAGCCCGGCGAAGACCAAGGCCTTGTCGAGAGTGCGGGCCAGCGCGTCATGAGCGACGTCAGGACCAGCGGCTCCGGTCCCAGGTCCAAGTCTGCATCGCCGTCGTCCGCCTTTCTCCCTGGATAATGGCGGCGGTCCAGGTAGGATTGGAACGCCGACATTGACATGGAGTCCACGACGCGAATGGGGTTGCACACGGCCGGCGTAAAGGGGCGTGACGACGGGAATGTTCCTGGGAGGGGGGGACGAGTAGATCGTCGTAACGAAGATGACGATGATGAATTCTGTGACGACGACGGCGCATCATCCAAGTAACCAAGCAATCTCGAAGTCGTCCTCCTCCCACGCGCAAGTCCCGCTCCCCCAGCAAGTATGAGCGCCTTGTCTAGGACCGCGACAAGCTCATCCAGCAGCCTCTCCTCCTCCTCCTCCGCCGCCGCCGCCGCCCTATTCCCCCCATTACCCTTCCCTCCTCCCTTCACGCCCTCCCATACTCTCTTCGTCTCGTGCAAAAACACCAGAGCCGAAAACTTGAGAAGGCTTAGATCAGTGTACAGCTGCCTCCAATGATATGGCAAATCCGCGTACACAAAGTCGTAGAACCTTCGGTACGTCCGCTCAATCTCTCCGTCGAGGCGATCAGTAAGGAGCGACGGGTGTTGGTCCCGATCGTGGCCTGACGCGTGCACACCCAAGACCGCAGAGGACAGCTCCTCCAACAATCTCAGAATCTCCGGCCCGACGGGACCAAGGCCGCGTTCCGCATCGCTCCCGAATCGGCGCTGCGGAGAACCACTGGCAGGGCCGGCGGTGTGGTGGACAGCGTCCGCGTGTATCGACGCCGTCGTCTTGACGCATTCTTCGATGAAGGCGGGGTTATCAAAGACTGACATCTTTTTCCCCGCTCCCTTTCCCCCCTTTAATCCTCTTTCTTTATTTGCGGCCAGAAGACGAAGGATACGCCCTAATTACCAGACAGATCTAGGCTTTGTTGTAGTCATAACTCGTGCAAGCTGGGCGATGGGAGAGTTTGGCGGTTTGGGCATTAGTTGAAGAGCGCGGACTGTCGGAAGGCAAAAAAAAGTTGGAGCGGGTCCGTCTGATGAAAGCAATTCCTTTGTGCATATTTAGCTCATGTGAGGTCGGATGAACAAACACTTCTATGCACATTACTTCAATCGGTCGGGTCACTCAAGTCAAAACAGAAATCTTAGACTTTGACACTATCACGTCCATACCAAAGATGGCCATCTCTATAGCGTTCTTTTGAGACGTCGTCTTCGCGACCTTAGCTTGTGTCATAATCGCGTTGATTCGCTCTGTTGAAAGGGGTTCTGTATACTCTAACATGTCCATACTCCTACAATACCGTCCTGTCGTCCCTCAACCAGGTAGCCGTCCTTAACACGTACACGCTCCACGACGGCAGGCGTCTTGCCCTCTTCGGCCTCGGAGATGCCCGCGCCGCAATCCCATTGGCGGCCCTCCACCTTATCGTACACTTTCACCACGTCCTCGCCTGCTGCGCTGACGATTCTCCGCTCATCGAACATCATGCTCGTGATGGCATTGTCGTACGCATAGGCGTCATAAATAGACCCTGTACGGAGATCCCAGATCTGGTGATGATTAGCGACGCCTTGGTTCGGACGAGAAGGTCAAACTCACTCTAATGCTTCTGTCCATGCTACCAGTCACGAGGTGAACATCATCGAATTGCAAGCATGTCACCGGCCCAGTGTGTCCCACTAAGCTTCGGTGAACCTGTCCGCTGCGCAAATCCCACAACCGAACCATGCCGTCAGCAGTACCGCACGCAAGAGCTGTCTCGAATACTTGGAGAGCACCAATGAAATCAGCTTGCTGCGCGGGGGCTCGATTCGTCTGTCTCCAAGAGCTTTCACTGCCGAGAGATGCGGATGCCTGCGCTGCAGCCCACATAACGTCCAGAGTCTGGACGCATCGGCCCTTTTCAAGATCCCATTGTCGCAAGGTCTTGTCTGCCGAGCCAGATACGAGCGTGTCATTTCTGAAGTGGAGTGCCGTGATTTCGTCGACGTGGGATTGCAGGGTATAGAGGTGGCAGTCTCTCATGCTTCCTTCGGGAGGCTCGACCGGTCCGTCGTCGGGGTTCTCAAATGCGATACCGTCTTCATCTTCGTCTCTTCCATATTGGCTGCCGTGCGGGTCGTAGTGTGCCTTGCTCAAGTCCCAGAGTCGAATCGTAGCATCCATGCCTCCGGTCGCGAGGAAGTTGTCGTCCACTTGTAATGTGCGAACTGAGGCCGTGTGTCCATCCAGCAAACCGATGCACCGTCCAGCGTTAAGATCCCAGACCCTGATCGAGTCGTCCATGGCTGAAGTTACCAGTGTTCCAAAGGGTGCGTCGAAGTCGAGAGCCGTAATCGTGTCCTGGTGCGCGCGGATTTCCCTGATGGCGGTGCCTGCCTCAAAATGCTCGTGCAAAATCGGCATAGACTTCCTGCGGACCACCCTTTTCTTTGCCTTGGATGCCGGCGTGCCAGCTGTTGTTGGGAGCTTCTCATACACCGACTGTGACATGAATCCAGAGTCGTCCTCGCCAGCCAGATCTTCCTCTGTTTTCGTGGGTGTGTTTATCGCGATCGACTCGGCTTCGTCGGCAAGCTCCTGGGCGTCTTCTAACCGTGTCTCGACATCCATGACTGAGTTTAGTTAGTATCAAACGGACCACGCGAGAGCCCAGGTGGTAATGCAACTGACGGTCATGTTCCAGCAATGTTTCCTCCTGCTCCAAGTTGGCCAATCTGTCCAGTATGATCCGGCGCATACCGTGCAAATTTGTAATTTTGTTGTCAATATCACGAATCTCACTACTTGCCATGTTCTTACGAACACCCAGCATCTCCAACTCGTGCATCATCGAGGCCTTGTCTTTCTTCAGGTTCTGCAACGCCTGCGGGCTGCCGGCGGTGCTTTCCGTATCCTCCAAAAGTTTCCTGCCCCTCGACACCCGCCGTCGGTGCTTTCTGCCTTCTTCAGTGAGGTCGGGAAAGCTCGCTTTGAAGCCCTGGAAAAGAGAATAGGAATTGTCGCTCTCGGGAATGTTCGCTAGCAGTTCGTCGGGTAAATACGTCAGGGCGCGGTGCTGGATCTCTGTCGTGGACAACTTGGACCGGACTATGTCTGTCGGTGTCGTTTTTGCCATGGAAAACATGCTCCGCTGGATGATCGGCCGCCGGAGCTGCTTGTGGACTTCGGCCAGGGCGCCATGGTAGTGGTGATGAGTATTGTTCCCTTGCTCGGACAGAGGCCCCATCAAATGGCTCGCTGTCGATGTGACCTTGCGCCCGAATGCTTCTATACCGCGCGTCTACGAGTAAAACACTTTTGATCAGCCATCAGGTCACGACGAACAAGAGATCACGCAAGTGGCAAAGGCGGCTTACAGACAAGACGGATTGGTCGTCTCCGGCGGCCGCATCGTCGTGGAAGCCATACTGGTCGTGATCCGAGGCGGCCATGCGTACGTGTGCTCCGTCCAATGCGCGCGACGATGAGTGGCACAAAGGGGGAGGTGAGGAAGGGGAAAGGGGGAAGGGAGGAAAAGGAGAGGGTGGTTCGTGGTTGGAGTTGTGGGAACAGCTCGCTACAAGTTTGTGCCTCTTTTCGACCGGGTCGAGTTTTGTCGTCTCGGTCGAGAATCAGTTACGTATCCACACTCCAAGCACTGATCCCGGCAAGAACCCGGTTGGGGACGCCTCCTGTCTGGATGACGCGCTAAACACCCGAAGCTCCCTGCACGGGACACCTGGGCGCGCTAGCAATGTGCAAGGCTGCAAGATTAGGACACCCCGTGTGTCCCGACTGCAAAGGATGGCAGGGGACACTGATTGGTGCCCGCTTAAGGGTCCCGCCCCCTTCGGGGCAGCGACCTGCAGGGCCAGTGCACGGGGGGCCGAGATTGGCAGCCTCGCGCTTGCGCTGCGTTGGGACGAGATTTTTTTGGGACTTGTCTCTTTTCGCTGCGAGCGTCATCGGCCTCGGTTGTCACCCGCACCCAGCCAAATCTCTCGACCATCAAGCTTTTTATGATCCGACGATAAGCAGTCCGAATGCGTTACCCACTCCAACCCGACGTCCGAACTCCCACTGCGCACCAGCTTAACATCCAAGGACTAGTCTACCACTATCCAGCCGGTGTTCAATCAATTGACGACGAAATGGACTCTCTCATTGACCTGTCGGACCCCTCCAAGGCATTGGATTTGTCCCGCATTCGATACCAGTTGATGTCGGTTCCCCCTCCAACCTCTAACGCTGTTTGTTGACTTTTTGTCGCGTCTAACACCAATTGCGAAACAGTCGTCTCGAAGATACCATTACTTTCCACCTGATTGAGCGGGCCCAGTTCGCGCGCAACAAAACGATTTACGTCCCCGGCGCGCTGAACATACCCAACAGCGAGCTGAGCTTCATGGACTGGTACCTCTGCGAACAGGAGAAGCTGCAGTCCATCATCCGCCGCTACGATTCTCCCGACGAGTACCCCTTCTTCCCCGGGGCCGTTCAGAAGCAGATCCTCAAACCCCTGCACTACCCGCGCATCCTGCACCCCAACGACGTCAATGTCAACAACCAGATCAAGGACTTTTACGTGGACAAGTTCCTCCCCGCACTCTGTCCCGATTTCGGCCGAGAGGACCGCGGCGAGTCCCAGGAGAACTACGGCTCCTCGGCCACCTGCGACATCGCCTGCCTCCAGGCTCTCTCGCGCAGAATACACTTTGGCAAGTTTGTTGCCGAGTCCAAGTTCCAGTCGGATCCGGAAAAGTACACAAAGCTTATCAAGGCCGAGGACCGCGAGGGCATCGCCGACGCCATCACGAACGCCGCGGTGGAGAAGAAGGTCCTCGAGCGGCTCAGGCTCAAGGTGCTCACCTACGGCACCGACCCGTCCATCGGAGCAGGCCCGGAAAACCAGGCCAAGATTGACGCGGACGCCGTGGTGGCCATGTACAAAGACTTTGTGATACCCCTGACCAAGGATGTCGAGGTTGAATACCTCATGCAGAGACTAGAGCCGGTGGAATAGACTAGAGAGGAAAAGAAATACTCAAAATTGGTGTTGTGATTTTCTTTTTGCTTTTATTGGGAAGCGCTCAGGTATTGCTCTACTGCCTGGACTGCACCTTCCCACTTGCTCGCATCAATCAAGATGAGGTGGCCGTAGGATTTGACCCCCATCTCCTGGAACGCGCGTTTGCTGTCCGCCACCGCCTTCTCCTCGTTCGTGAACTGAAATGAGCCGTGGGCTGTCGCATGCTTCACAAAAACCTCGTCCTCGGGGTGGAAGTGCCACAGGGCCGTGTCTGCCTTGGCCTTCTTCCCCTTCCTCTCCGTCTCGATGAGGGTCGACTCAATCTCCTGATACGTCTTGGACAGGATCAGGTAGTGCGTGAACTCGTAGGGCTCTTTGTCCTCGACCGCGGCCTCGACCTCGTCAATGAGCATGCGGTACATGGGCGGCGCGATCTCCGAGGGCATGTTGATTAGCCTCTCGGACAGCACCAGGCCGACTTGCGCGCTGCTGTTGTTGATGACTTGGGGGATGGCGGCGAGGGCGGCGTTGGTCTGCGACTTGTCGATGATGTACTTGGCAAGCTCCGCCATCGCGGGTTTTTGGCTGTGCTCCTGGATGTTGAGGGCCGTCATGAGCGCGTAGGCGTCGTTCTCCTTGCCGTCGACCTTGACCGTCGAACCGATAGTGGGCTGGGACAGGATGAGGTCGGCGAGGCCTGAGATGTTGAAGAGCGTGGAGTCGACGTCGAGCAGCTGGCGGAGGAGCGTCTTGGTGCCTTGGAAGTCGACCTCGGGGTCAAAATTGAACCACTCAAAGTCGACGTTGACGACGTCAAAGTCCTGTGCGCTCGCGTGAATAGGATGGTCCCCAAGGGGCATAAGCATGAAGACTCGTCTCTCACCTCATCGTCGGAGCTCTCGTCGGCCATCTTGACATCCTCCGCAGGCTTGGCCTCGTCTCTCTCTCTCTTTTTGCCCATCTTGAATTTTTTTTATTTTTGTGACAGAAGGAGGCGTTATGTGATTGGCAAGTGTGTCTTGAAAAGCTCAACAGCTATGAGATCGTCAGAAGCAGGCCTTTTGATTGCGAGACTGTCACTGCACCTAGGTACTATGGACCGCCAGAACCGCATCGGTGAAGATGAAATTTTTGGTGGGGGTACCCCTCACTAGGCTCTTTTGGGGCAGGCCGGCATGACGGCCCCGTCTTTATCGATAACAACGCCGTTGGTGTCCGGGTCGCCGGAGTGGGTCTCCGTTGTCATCACTCAATTCCGTCGACTTACTTCCTGCCAGAGCTCACATGTTGCCACATAACGGGATTTTCTACAACTTCAACCATGCTATTGACTTATTGGTAACTCCTAGCTGAGTTTCCTTCTTCGACGGGCCGCTGAACCTCTAAGAATACCACGCGCAGGCACCTAGAATATCAAGTAAGGTAGGCAGGGCACCTACCTAGGTAGTCAAGGCAGGAGAGCGTCGAGTTTAACTGGAAGTGCTGTAGGCTACCTACCTTACCTCCAGTCAATCAGGGATTCAGGGAGCTCGCGCTTTCACCCGCGCTTCGTTTTTCATTCTCGCCAGGAGCATCCTCCAGCGTCCAAACTGATTTACATCAAAGTCTGGATAACGGGAGTAAAGCCAAACAACAATTCATTGCAGCCTCTCCGGTGCTCGCGATCGTGGTGCGCATGACTATGAGGCGTCTGAAACTAATGCAGTTGAACCATCAGACCATGCCAATGACTTGGATGGAGTCCAGGCGAACCTCTGACGTCTCCCACCCACCTGAATTGCCTGATTGACCAAGTCCCACGCATGGATCCTCCGCCAGATGTTGTTGCCATCTAAGACCCTCCACTGGAGTTTGCTTGACAAGCTACGTCTGGACTGTGGTGTTGAATATCTTCCGGAAAGAGATTTTTTAGAAGATGACGATCCGAAAACCACCGAAAATCCGGTTTCAGTCAAACTAGTTGGCTTTCATGCACATTAACTGATCAACCCAGGTGACTGGAGGCTTGCTTGGCGGGAAGACGGAGACAAACACCATGGCTCAGTGGTTTCTTTATTGCTCAATGTCTCATACGGCGAGATCACGATTCACAACGTCTGCAACAATAAGCAATCCATCACCATGTCGGCCCTGTTGACAAATGCATATCATCCTATTACCGACAAAGCCGCCATATTGCTCGGGCACTTCAATGTCCACCACCATGGCTGGGGAGGGGAAGGATTCAAGCTTCAAGCGGGCCAGATTAAACGAAGAAAGGTCTTCTGCTGCAGAAGTCGGGAGGCAATTGCATGCGTTCGGTCTCCAGCCATCAAATCTCTGACTTCGGACTCGATGCAGTCAGCGGCGGCAAGAGCAATAGTATCAGGTTGCCATGCGGGAAATTAGTCACCTTCTACAGACGCACAACCTAGCTTCATTTCGCGAGAAGATTGCTAGCCAGGCTTTTTTACGACAGGGTCTTCATCGGCTGGTAAGACAGGTTCCGTCGTGGAGCCAGCCGCAACGAAAGGATCACCTGAAGAGGCTTACACGACCAGACGACGATAGCTTGCATTGTTTGAAATACGAGCCACGGGTTCTGCTCCACCATCTCCTGAGACATCAGAGCTAGACCTCAACCGCGCCTAGTTCTCTTCTCCGCAGTCTATCAGCGACTCGGAGCTGTATGAGGGAATCCCTTCTATGGAAGGTGGCAAGGCTACCAGATCTGATGATATTTTCAGCAACGCTCTAAAAATTGGGTAGAAGAAGATTCGCAACTACTACAAGCACCTTTGCGGCGTCAGCTTCAAGAAATGTCACTACCCAACTCGCTTTCATGATGCGACCGCGATTATCTTTCCCAAGCTCGACAGGGCCGACTATCCCCAGTCAAAGGCCTATCGACCCATAACCTTGCTATCTTGCACAGGCAAGCTCTTGGAAAGACTGATGGCAACAGGATTGCAAGTTCTTGCATTTTAGTACAGCCTCATTCCCGACAGACAGTTCTGATGCGTCGGCAGGAGCACCACCAAGTCCTCGGAGCATTTCTTCAACTTTATCTACAAGAGCTGGAGCTTTAAACGCTGCAAAGGAAGGGGAAGGAGGCAAACGAAACTGTACATTTCAGACGTCTCAGGGGTTTAGGACCATCTTGACCGGCAAGACTTCTTGCACAGGCTGAGCAGGCTCGGCTTCCCTAACTGAATTATCAAGTGGATAGCGATTTTTCTGTCCTGCAGGAGGTCTCAGCTCCGCGCACCAGGACAAACTTACCGTCCTCGTCACTTCCGACACTTGGGAAGAGGACTGCAGGATCATCGCACGGATTTTCCAGCCGTTGTTCGAATGGAATAGGAGAGCCGGTAATGATTTCGACCAGGGCAAGTTCTTGGTCATGCATTTCAGATATACTGGTAGCCGAAGACCCCTTTGCATGACTTTCGCTTCCCTTAAAGTCATGCCGTCCTCTTGCGTGAAGCAGGTTGCGCGAATCTTTGGCGTTCATATTGAAGTGGAGCTCAACTCTTCCGCTCATGTCTACCAAGCAAGTGTCTTTCTCACCCATCTTGGGGATTCCCTTCATACCCAGATACTAGTACATTTGCAGATTATTAGCAAGGTGTAGCACCACATGGCGCATTTCCGTCGTATACCCGCTTCCACACGGGGCCCACCGACGTTGGAGACGAGGAGGCACCTGGATTCCGCCAGCGTCAGGGCCATTCTCGTATACGCCTCCGCAGCGTGATTCAATTTCATAGAGAAAGGCTCTAGGTGGTACTTGCAGTCTCGCCTGCTGCCGCTTTCTGATCGTTCGCAGTACACCTGTCTGCGGCAGTATCTGGAGCCATGAGGTTCACGACCGACCTTGTCGTCCACAACGAGATGCAGATCAAGCCCACCAGTTTCCATCTCCAGCGAGTGTCAATGGCACATCACGCCTGTAAGTTCTATACTGTAGAAGGCCAAGCGTTGCGATCGATTCACCACGCGCTTTCTCCCGGCAGAAGATCTTTACCTCTCTAAAATACAGCCCATACGAGATCCAGTACCGCGCCGCTTAGCAAGTCCGCTAACTTGCCAATAACGGACTCTCCGGCTCTGAGGATAAGGCGGCCAAGTGGTTGAGAAGCCGACAGGCGATGGAGAACGGCATCAAAGTCTGGACCAAGACCGCAGCATATGACAAGTTTGCCCAACTTTGGTAAACCTACCGACGACAGAAAGGTGCTGAGGAATCCCGACAATCGCAATTCCAGCGGAGATGAGGGCGGCGTAGGTTGCGTCCTTACCGGTGCCCGTGGTGGAGGAGAAGTTTAGGCCAGAGGCGGCGAGGCTGCCGACGCCGCGGCCGAGGTTGAAGATGATCCAGAAGGCGGCGATGGCACGACCCTTTAGCGACCCGTGGACGTAGGTTGTCATTATAGCGCCTTGGATAATCCACATGGAGGAGGAGCCGATGCCGAGAACGGCACCGTCGGCGATGACAAAGGTTCTGTTTGCATTGTCTTTAGTAACTTGTCGGCGTCCCACAGAAAAAGAGACACTTGTGAGTACCAATGGTTGAAGTTTACAAGACTTTCGCTGTGGATAGCGCACATCCAGCCGCCGATGAGGAAGGCGATCTTGGAGCCCACGAGAGCCAGGATCGGACCTGCGAAGAAGAGTGATGCCACGGCTGTCGTAGAGATGAGAGCGACGGTTGCGTTGGCCGCGACTGTTGAGTCGACTTGACCGGAGCTGTACACCTTGTGTACGTCTCGTCAGCTTTCTGATTCATGCCCACTCTTATGGCAGATACACCATTACCCAGGTGAACAAGAGTAGATGAAGCTGATGAGGATGACTCTGCAGGTATACGTAGCCGGGAGCGATACGGAAGTCGATTTTGGACGGGTCCTACTGTGTGCAGGGTTTTGGGTTCAGCCTCATGAGCTTAGAGCTCTCCCCGCTCTCGAGGTCATCTTGAAGGTCGAATCAGGGGGGTGACAACTCGTCGGCCAGCTGTCGAGGTTTCTCGGCAGTTATCGTGGGTGTCCTGGCACTAGGTAGACAATGTGATGGCTTGCTCCTTTGATCCAGAGCCAGTTGTTCCTTTGTTGTTTCCGTGTGCTTTCATTAGTAGTCTTTGGGGCTCAATATGCTGCAACACATCTCTTACACTCAATCTATTAAGAGGAAATATTGAGATAGGGAAACTTGGCATGAGAACATGATTACGTTGAAGTAGAATCATCACTCTATGGAGCCTGGATACCCCACCCCTATCTTCAAAGGTTTCCCGCAGATCACCGTCAAGTCTTCTTCTTTTCCTCACAAAAAAGCACATGGTAACAAAACGGTCACAGAATGGAGGAACTATGAAACAAGGTAAGCTGAGGTCTCCTCTTCTCCCCATTGTCCAATCTTTTCTTCCTTGGCTTGGGTAAGAAAAGCCAATGTCGATGTTCCCCTTCCCCACAATTACTCTAGAAAACCGGGACTCTGTGTGATCTGTGCGTGATGTGAGGCCGATTCGCTCAAGAACCCTGAAAGGGAGATCCAGAAAATTGGCGACTGGGTCTTCCCCAGCTTTTCGTCCGGCGCCACCCGCAGACCCGATTCTTGACGACTGGGATCTTCCCTGAGGCTCCGCTGTGTTGCTGCAGTGCACCGCGCCGATGTCTCCGATGGAACGTGGTATTGGATCTTGGAGGGAGCAGACAGCTCCGAATTTGACGACCGCTGGCCCGAAGTGTGATCTCATGACGTTTGGAGGTGGTTTGCATCAAGATCTTTAATGACCAATGAGATAGTTTACGACCCATCTTTCTCCTCAGCAATTTGAGATGATGTCTGACTACTAGTTTTTGTGGCCGGGAGGCGAGAGCTACACCTCCTCCTCTCACGATGACTGTGTATTTGCGGCTTTGATTCATTCTCAGACGCCAGAGGTGAAATCCCATTACTTAGGTATTCGACGTTGCGCTTTGTAGGAACTTGACCGGGGGTTTGATTCGGGCTGCATTCACAAGAGACATGACCATGAGAGTAGTCACATTCCTTGTGTCTGGCGGGGTGGGAGAAGGCGACACATAGCAGAAGAGAACATAGCAGAGCCCAGAAACCCTTATCGGATCATGAAGAAAACGTGCCTCATGTCAACGCCGACTGTACTTCTGGATCAGACGGATTACTGGAACGTTACTTTTGGAGGGGCATTGGACAAAGGTCTCATGCAGACACGGTCTCCCTTCAAGAGGGAGTGGGGGAAAAAAGAATGATACAGGTAGCTAGGTTCATGACTCTTACTTTCCCCGTGGGGACATCAACGCCGCACCTTAAAAACCCCCCACATTATGGACATTCAGAGCCGAGCCGCAAGTTATCAATCACGTGAAGTGAGCGCGTTGGAAATTAGAGTCCGTTGCTATGTAAACGTGTTAACTCTCGGACCCGAGACCTCCCTCCGAAGATTTGAATGCAGGTCCTTGAGTCTTCATTTGACGTCAGGTCACGGCGGCCATAACAGGCCCAATGAGACGCCAGGGAACGGCGAAGAAGCGACAGTCACCCAGATCAAACGTGGGCAGATCAAGGTCGCCTGTGCCGTATCTGCAGAGTTCCACGAACCGAACATCTTGTCTACACCCTAAGACGATCATAATCCATTGACTCCCTGTCACATGCCGTAGCAGAAGACATCAAGATCGGCATCAAAGCCACGACGTCATCATGCCCCGGATGCAAGCCTTCACACCCGCGCATCGTCGGGGAAGTCGGAAGTCACCATCAGTTACAATTTCAATGTTCATTCCCTACATGCTCTCAAATCATTCCAAGCAAGACGTGGAAGGCTACCCGAGACAGGGGAAACGTTGACTATTGTCTTGCCGCACGTAGTGTACTCTAGCTGTATAACTCCCCAAGGACGGGTTGGACGCCCGGCGCCGATCAATTTGCAAGTAGGTAGACGAGTCTCCTTTTGATTCAATCTGAACTTCTATTCTGAACCAGCAGATATACGTTCGCGACATCCCCTATCCCAAACTCTCTAGACCTGGGCGGGCCGACGGCCGTCTCGAACCGGCACTGTACCGCGTCGCTTCTTCCGTATTGCCCCTCATTGGTGGGTAAATTAAATGCTCCAGGGGTGACCGCGGCAAGCGACCCCACTCGCTGAGAAGGCAAACAAAATCTTCAGTCTTGCCGTCTTGGGAAGTCTCGGGTCGATCGAACCAAAGGCGCATAACGGAAGCGAAATACGTGCCGGGCCATCGAGAAACAATTCCTCTCGCCGACATATCCGTGGTCGGATTTGAATTTAAGACGTCCAGACTCCAGAGCAGCCACCAATCACCGCGGCAATGTGTTTGGAAGCAATGGACGGTGTAGTTCCGAGGCCCGAAATGGATGTTTTTTTGGGACCAGGAGAGGGTTCACCCTCGCTCTCCTACACGTGGGGAGGTCGCAATGGGTGCCTCGCCAGTTCTGAGCCTCTAACTCTTTATTAACAAAGACAACAAGGCATCGTAATTTTGTGTTTTTCTGTTCAACGTCCAAGTTCTTGAGCTTGAATAAAGAGAATGTACTGCGAATACCTTGCAGAAACCGACTAAACGAAAACAATAAAGAAGACCAACAGGGTTAAAATAAAGCATAAATATGACTGAAGCCAGCAGATCCAGATCCCATGATTCAAACTCACTCAGTAAGAACAAGTAGCCGAAGTCATCATGTGTCAAGGTACTCAGACAACAATGTCATGCGGCCACACCATCCGCTCCCGCCCCAGGGACTGTGGCAAAGGCCGAGAGTGCGAGGGCGAGCGTTGGCAGTCCGCCTTCCTCGATGACAGCTGCGCCGCCTGCCACCGCCCAACGAGCTACCGCCAGATCCGTGCGCGGCACGAGGCCGAGCACGCCGTCCTGATGGGCGACTACATGCGAGCTGAGGCCGACGGTGACGAGGCCGGTATGCGGCGCCTCCGGCGTGATATGCTGGAGCACACGCGGCTACTGCGCCAGCTCAACTTTGCGGTGAGCTTGATTCGAGAAGAGCCATATGGCAATGTCAAGTGGCCCGCGATTAATGATGAGGATACCGGCAGTAGGTGTGAGAGGGATCTTGGAGGCGCGTCTGAATCAGAAAAAGTTGGATAAATTGCAAATCGGGTATAGATACAAACTCAAGATGCCTCCCAAAATATCGTTGCTCAGCCCAGATATTATCTCCCTACAACGACAGATTCTGAGCGAAAATTCTTCTTCCATCACCATAGCGGGGAATACTTCGGTAAAGCCCCGAGTCGGACATCGCTTGGGCCGATAAACTGCGCAACATCCCATGCCGAAGGCATGTAAGGCATCTGATTCGGAGAGTCCTGCCGAGTCTGACCAGGATTGCCTTTCTGCGCTTGCACCTCCTTCTTCGCCTGGGTAAACTCCTTGACCCTTGTTGTGCCCAACTTGCCGGCCCTTCTCTTGTCTGTAGGACAGCGCAGCAGAGGAACCTGGATCACGGCTGAAAATATGTCCCTCACCTTCTGTTCCGGTTGATTATGTCGCTTTGCCACCTCCTGAAATGGGAACATGTTTAGGCAGGTGTCAGCGATATCGACAATGATGTGTTTGGTAGCCGGCTGGGTGTCGATAAGTCTATTTTTCTGGGGTTTCGAGATAGCAGTCGCTGGTTTGGCCGGTTGGGCGGTCGGCTGTTGTGCGGCAAATGCTTGTGCTTGCGGTACTGGAGAAGGGGGTCCAAGATGGAACATATGTCCCGCTGGCTGTTGAGCAGGAAGTGTGGGGCCAAGATGTGGTTGTTGCGAGTGGACAGCAAAGTGACCAGCTGGTCCAGCCATTAAAGATTGTTGTAAGAGTGGGTTATAGATGGCTCCAGCCATCGCGTTGTGATACGGATTGAGTCCTAGGAGGTGTGTCCAAGGTTGCTGAATAGAAGACGGCGGGAGGGGGGTCTGACTGGTTGTGGATGCCTTTGTGCCGTTTGTCAGGCCTGAGTTGGCCGCCATGCTGGCTGCCTGTTGCCTCAACCTCACCTCCACACACTGACGGCAGGGCCCCTTCGCTCCTGACGCAGGGCGATCAGCGCATGCCCCAGTCTGGTTATCCGAAGTGCCATGTATGGTGCTGTAAATCTCAGAAGTCAACGGGCTTGAAACATTTGTGGTTTGGTGCGTATGGGTATGAAAAGGGAAGGGAAAATCGTTGATCTTGGAACTGTGAAGATCTGCCTGCTGGTCCAAGAGATCGCGGGTGGTATTCTTCGACTCCACCTCAGCACAAGGATAGGTCAACATCGGCCCAGATTCAGCGGTTTGGTGCGGGATGGTTTTGCCGTCTGCTACTGATGCGGGCACAGAGTTGGTATTCCCCTGGTCAGTGACGCCAGCTAGAGCGGGAGCTGTTGGCGCTGAGGGTACATCCTTTGCAGTCTCAGTGTGGTTCTCGGTCTCTGGTTGAAACTGACTCGGCGTACCTTGTTCTCCTGACACTTGCGCTTGATATAAATGAGATGAGGCCATAAGCGACGGGACCGGTCCGGGAAAATCAGCCACAGTTTCGTTGGTTCCGCTCATAATACTAGGTGCAGGTCCATGACTGTTCTCAATCCCAAGCACCGAAGGCGAAATAGGTTCTGGGAGCGATTTGGGCGACACTGGCGGCGAGCTCTGTTCTCCAGTACACGGTGAAGTCCAGAATGACTCCGAGTGACAGGACCTCTCTGGAGTCGGCATTGAGCAGCCTCTCATCGGGTCCACATCCGGCAAACGGGCCGTGGGCGAGTGATCGACCATCCCCGTGCTTCCCCGTCTTTCCGGCTGAGAGGTCGGCTTGGCGGCTTCGGATGTCTGATGGCTGATGGGAACGGGTCGCCCCAAGGCCGGTGATTTTGTAGTGGAATGTTGCGTGACCGGCTGATAGTCGTCAATCCTTCTCTTCTTGACGGGATTGGAGGATACAAATTGGACGTCGTCATCCTCTCGTTTCGCTGGTATAACAGGTCGTGGGTATGGTGCAAGCCCTGTTGAATAGGCAGGGGGAAACATGCCTGAGTAATGGTGCGAGCTGTCCATATCGACGATAGAGAGAGAGAGAGAGAGAGAGAGAGAGAGACAGAAGGCGGTAAAGGGAGAAATGGAGTCGTCTTGCAGATGCGGGAGCGGGAGCGGATGCAACATCGACGAGATGGAGAAACGAGACCAGCTGATAAGAACGGCCAAGCATCCATATTTGAACCCTATGCCAACCAACAACAGCTTTGCTGAGTACATGTTGGAATGACGGGGAGCTGAGCACGCCAATTACAGTGAACCATGAACGGCAAAGAAGGAAGCCAAGAGAAGAGTGTTGGCACGTTTGCACGGTTTGCCTTTGAGCCATTTCCCTTTGGTACGGTGGGATCCAGCCTGATGTACCTAGCAGAAAGAAGAGGGAAATCACAACGTTTTGCGTACTGTGACAAGCACCTTGATGCCACTTTTCTCGGGGCCAGGATGCAGATTGCCACTTGGCAGGGAGGGCGGCATGGGGTGTCCAGGTGAGTATTTTGGTCCAAAAAGGTGTGCATAGTTGCCAGCGTCGCCATCAATGCTGCCCATTGCTGAAAGAGAAAATCCGGTCTCCTGCTTGTCTGTAGAGTTACAGGCTTGGACAATGAAAGGGTTCTGATCTGAGGCACTTGCTCTCTTGTGCAGCGATAGACTCATCTCGTGTCTCTGTGGGCTTATCAAAGCAGGGGTCGATGGTGCTGACTGTGGTGCTGACTATGGTGCTCTGCACATCACGGGACACAACTGGGCCCGGTCTAACTACCAGGGGGGATTTTTGCCTCACTATATATCTGAACGGGAGAGCAAAATCGGAATGGGAAATGCTCATTCAATTCAAGAGATGGTGTTGATGAAGAGCAGTAAGGTACATGGCAATGGATGGAAATGAGCACCAGAAGAAAGTTGTGCCCCACCATAGCTTCGAGCTGCTTTGTCATGATTGGCCATAGATGGAGCAAGTCAGCATGTGGCTTGACTGCTGGCTCAGCCCCTTGCCGTGCTTATCCTGCCCGCCTGTCTGTGGCCCGTGACTTCCCCACATCGCGGGGCAGCCAGCCTCAAGACAGCTTCACCTCCACTCTCTAGCCATTCGTACCTACCTTGCCAACGTGCCTATCTTACCCATCTCCAACTGCACGTGCAGCAGCAATAGCAAACACCTCCGACGTCAACCCGAATACCACTTATCGATAGCTCCTCTCTCCAGAGATTGTTTCCTACAACTTCTCACATGGTCTCAACAATCGGGTAGAAAATCCCACATACTGCGGCGACGGCCAGAGAATCGTCAGCCATGGCTTCCTCCGATGTGAATCCGCTCATTTCGAACCAGAAGTCCTCGGAGCTTCAGGCCATTCTCCACCCTCTCGTCCTCCTCACCATCTCCGACTACATAACTCGCCACACTCTGCGCTCGCAGCCGGGACCCATTGTCGGTGCCCTCCTGGGCCAGCAGAATGGTCGCGAAATTACCGTTGAACATGCGTTTGATTGTCATACAAGACCGGTACCAGAGGTGGAAGGGGGATACCTACTGGATTCAGAGCGCTTCGGTGCAAGATTAGAGCAGAGTAAGCCCAACTGACCCTCATTTCTTTGCGTGCTCGGTGGACTGAAATCCCCCAAGTGAAGACAGTCCACAAGGACCGAAGCTTAGACTTGGTTGGCTGGTACACTCTCCTCGCCGTCACTGGCCCGACACCCACCATCCTCCCGATTCACAATCAGCTCCTCTCCGAATTCAACGAGTCGGCCCTCCTCCTTGGATTCCATCCCGAGGAAGTCTTTACTCACTCCGTGGGCGGCAAGCTACCCATGACCATCTACGAGTCCAACTATGAGGTTGACGACCCGAGAGCTGCCGAGGCAGAAGGCGAGGACAAGAAGATGGATGACGGCGAATCCAAGCTCAAGCTACGCTTCCGCGAGCTGCCCTATACTGTTGAGACTGGCGAGGCTGAGATGATCAGCATGGACCATGTTGTGCGCGGTGCTGGCAACGCGACTGCCATTGAGGCTCCGAAGGAGACTGCCAAGCCCAAGGTCCAGCTCGTCGAGTCGGGCGGCAAACGCCGCGCCGTCGTGGCCGACAGTAAAGACGGCGATACCTCTGCAGAGGTTCAGCTGTCCCCAGAAGAGGAAGAGATGGTGGCCGCCCTCACGGCCAAGGCGAACGCCGTCAAGATGCTTCAGGGTCGGATCCGCCTCATCACAACCTACCTCGAACACCTTTCTGGCGCGGAACAATCCGCTGCTGCCGCCACGCCTCCAGGTGCGCAAACAACACCATCTCACACCATCCTCCGCCAGATCCAGGCTCTCGTGAACCGGCTGGATCTCGTCGTCCCCTCCGATACGGAAGGCTTCGAAAAGGAGGTGCTCTGCGAGGAGAACGAGGTCGCCATCACGTCGCGTCTCAACGACCTTATGCAGAGTATTAGCGGCATGCGGGATCTAGGCAAGAAGTTCAGCATCGCCGAGTCCGCACGTGGCAGGAATCGCGGTGCGGCGCCGGCTGATTTCGCCGGCTACGGCCCTTCTGGCTTCAACCTCCCGGGTGCAGGAGACATCATGATGTAGAGGGAACAGTGCCTGGGCAGCGAATGAAGGGTCTTTTGGGGGGTGGTTGCGCATCATCATCAGCCTATCTGGGAATCATGGAGAGGCGTTTCGGGCATAATGTAGATATGACGACACGTGCGAGGAGCATAAATGCTCCAAAAAGAAATCACAAACAACTCTAGTCCAGACACACAGCTTTTACCCTTGAAACTACTTACAGCTCCATGAATGAATTCTTGTAAGACTAGTTTAGGGGACGAACGTGAACCAGTCGTTGCCAGATTGCCCAGGGTGAATGCTGCCTTCTGGGCCTCTAGGCATTTAAAGCCATGGTTTCACGGCACGCAACAGAAACATACTAGCTATAACTAGTTGCATTATTCTTCCCCAGGAAACTTTTCAAACTATCCCTTTCTTGCTTCAACCTGCCAATTCTGCTCTTGTTTTTATGTATTCCTGATGAAAACTCTAGGGAAAAGAAGTGAGATCAATAGAACTATTCCAATCCTCTGCTTCACCTGTTGCTCAAAAGCTAAAAGTAACTAAGCCCAAAATTTTTTGCAAAACCCTTCTGCCCTCTAGGTATCAACTTCGTCATCATAACCACTCGCTAAAACTTTCCAACGCTTGCTTTCTACCCCTTGTTCCCTCCAAAGAAAGTAGAGGAACGGAATCTAACTTGAATGTCTATTATTGGAAAAAGAAAGGTGTAATTGCCAAAAAAAAAAAAAAAGCTAGCTATTGCGCATGAAGAGAGAGAAAGGGGCCCCCCACTCATAATTCAGGCCTCAATAACAACCTTGAGCACGAGCTTCCCCTCATCATCGCATGTCCGACTCGCCAGCTCAAAAGCTTTTGACGCGTTGTGGAGACCCTTGAACCGGTGCGTGACCATGTCGTCGAGGGGCGGGAGCCCCGCGTTGCCCTTGGCGCAGAGCAGACGGACGCCCGTTGGATAGGTATTGGCGTACCGAAAGATGCCCAGGATATCAATCTCCCTCAGGTGTGCGACAGAAAGGGGGAGAGTCTGTACGGGGGTGCCCATGCCCACCATGATCACTTTCCCGCCGGGCCTCGTGGCGTATAGGCTGGTATGCATGCAGACCTCCTTTCCGGTGCACTCAAACGTGACGTCGACACCGTCGTCCTCGGCGTCCGAATCAAGCTCTTCTGGCACCTTGGTGAGTGCGAGGATCTCTGCGGCCAGCGACTTGGCACCGTCGAATTTGCTCTGAACGCTCTGGACTGAGAAGATACTCGCCGGGGTCATGACGCCTGGGTCTGCTGGGGTGGAGGTTCCCGAGTTGGTGTTGACGATGTGGCCGTGGGTGGCGAAGCCCTTCTCGACTGCGTAGTTGACGCGGCCGGCATCAACATCGGTGATGGTGACTTCGGAACACCCAGCCTGGCGCGCCATGGCAGCTGTCAGAAGCCCGACGGTTCCTGCTCCAATGACCAAGGCTGTCGAGCCAGGCTCCGGCGCGGCTCTGTTGACAGCGTGAATGGCAACGGAAAGCGGCTCAAGGAGAGCAGCCGCCTCGTAGGAGACGTGGTCGGGGATCTTGTGGCACCATGCCGCAGGGTGGTTGATCCGTTCTTGTAGAGTTCCCTGGTAATGGGGCACACTCTTGGCGCTGGACCTAAATTTCATCTTCTTGCAGAGGTTGTATCTTCCTTTACGACAGATGGTGCATTGACCACAAGGAACGCCGACCTCGAGAGCGACGCGGTCGCCAAGTTTGAAGCCCGTCACCTGGGGCCCTATGGAAACAACTTCTCCCGATGACTCGTGGCCTAGTGAGAGAGGGTGGCAGGCGCAGAGGTCGCCGTTGGCGAACTTCTTGTAGTAGCTGACATCAGACCCGCAGATACCAGTCCGCTTGATGGCAATTTGCAGCTCCCCGGCGGCCGGGTCTTCTATGCTTCTCGTTTCCTACGAGTGTCGTTAGGATTAACTTGTAGAAGGCGGGGCGGCTTTGACGTTCGGGTGTAGGGAAGCAATAGGATCAACGTGGGGGACTGTGTGACAAAGCCCACATTCTCCACGGCACAATCCATGACCCCAAGAAGTTGTACTTACCAATCGCAAGTCCCGCGGGCCATACAAGACAGACGCAGTGACCGAAGAAGACTTTGACTTGTAGACGGGTAGGTGCATTGGTGCGATCTCACCCGTTGCAACTGGGGCCATGATGAAGCTGTATGACGCCGGCGGCGTGGGGTGAAGCGTGGGATGTTGGGTTAGGGTGTCAAAGGGGGCTTGGCCGAACTTCCTAATAGGGAGCGCTCGATCAGTGGGATTGGCCCAAGTGCCGGATGAGGGGTGCCGACAACCAAAGGTGCTAAGAACACGAGGGCGAGGGTCCTGGGAATGAGGAGGGGACCAGCGCGGGGTGTCTCGAGGAATGATAGGTTCGCTTTGGTATTTGGAGTTTGGGGGTAACGGGGCCACGAGGTAAGAGACAGGGGATTTCGCGGGTGAAGACCAGGCTAAAACGATTCCCGTGCGAAGACTGAGGTGGGCAGATATATGCTCACTTGGCAGAATGAAAGATAACCGGAAGAGCAGGAGACTGCGATAGAGGGAATTTGAAGAAACTTTGGCGCGAAGGGGCCGTTGCCCCCCCACCCCTTAAGTAGGCTTGCGTGCTTGCCCGGCCCTGGACTCAACGTTCTGGTGAATGATGCTCATGGTGGTGTCAATCAGTGATAAACAAAAGTTGCAAGGGCTATCTTGAGTGAATGGGGAGACGGATGGACAATGGGCCTTGAGCATGCCTATCGAAGGCGACCATGATGGGGAGAGTTGGCCAAGGTCGCCCAACCAAACATCGACCAGTTATCGGAGCCAAGCTAAGAGCTTCGTACATGTAATCTCGGGAAACCATATGCAAGAGGCATCTAGCGACGGAGCCACCTCACGGTTCGGCAGCACAAACCTTGGCCGGTATTGTACTGGCTTGCGAGGCCAAGAGATGAAAGGGATACCGCGCAGTACATGGTTTGGCAATGAACAAAGCAGGTTGGGCCATGAGGTGTCCGCATTTGGGCAGCAGCTGTACGCACTGGGCGTGACATCGTCGAGGCATTGGTTGACGATGCCGGACTGGTGGAAAGGGGGAGGGCGGATGGAAGAAACTTTTCGCCTGTTGCGGTGACTAGGCAGGGCCCTGTTGTGCCACTTCCGAAACTCTCCAAGCATGGCACAGATGGAGGGGCCTAGCGAACAAATGGGGAGCTAGCGGCTGGTGATGGGACGGCCTGGATGGCATCAGTGCGGTGACAGATATCGGCATGCATGGGCTCCAACATGATAGCCATGGACGTAGTGCCTCGCCTGCATATGTCGCAGATTGCGGTGACGGACTATTCATGTCTCGGGTTGCTGAGCTATTCGGTTGGTAGAGGGAGCGAGGACGAAGACATGACGATGGCGAATCGCGAGGGGAAAAGTAGGTATTCACGGTATTGCCTCTGTCGTCTCAGTAGAACGGCCACATGCGAGGACTGGGATATTGAGCCAAGTGGACAGTTAAGGTATAGTCGGCGAGGTACCCGGGAGTGAGGGCCCGGAACAGAATGGACCTGAACAGGGATAAACGAGAGGGGTAGGGAGGGGGAGAGCCGGGAGGGGGGCAGTCGTTGCAACGGGGATGCATGGCTGTTGATGGAGGGGGGAAATGAGGAGGTGTGCTGGACAAGGTAGATGCCGTGGGCAATACCGTGATCTGGCTAGCAAGGGTTGCGAGGGGGAGATGGGATGTACGGGACAATCGCGGATGAATTGCGACAGATGATGGACAATCGAGCCCAAGATGAGGCGATGAATGTCCTGGTGAATGAGCGAGAGTTGCAGGAAGAATGGATACGGGGATAGACGGTGAGAGAGAGAGAGGACCAGGGCAGGCCACCGACGGAGAAGCGACGTAGTTGGCTAGTCGAGGTTCGAATTCCACACGGGATTCGCAACGAAGCAACGATTCGTGGCCCTCATTGAATGCGTTGAATCCTCCCAAAGGGGCAGTCGGATGCTCGGCTGTCGAAGAGTTGAGCACGTCTTTGTGGCCAATGGAGCGAGCAGTTCCATCGACATGGGCTCCGTGCAGTTTGACTGAACAAAGAGCTAAGGTAACGAAGGACTGAGTGATATGACGGCTCGGCGTTTGGGATTCGAGTATACGTAACGTGGAGACTATTGCCAGGAGGGTGGATCATGGCTTGATGATGGAGGCAGAAGGAAGTGTACGAAGCAAGGTAAGGTAGGCTCGGTTGGAGAAGCCAAATGACTGAATTTTTAAGGTTTCCCCCCTTGCCTCTCGCGATCCTTGATTGCCTACACATTGCCTACATAGTGGTATTCGTACGTGCTTGCCGTTTTCCGTCTAAGGTACGGATAATTTTGCGTTATAGGAAGAAAGAGCAGGTTCGGATAAGGCACCGTCTTAATTTCCTTAACATTCCATAATCATAAAACAGTTCGGATGGCGGGTTGCCAAGGCAGGGGGGGCTTCCCTGTCTGCGTGATTCCTCTGCTGTATCCATGCCGTACCGCTCGAATTCATCTGTCCATCACCTCTGGCTTTACTCGACGACACGTTCATGCCATTTTGCCAAGTCTCTCGTCCTGAAATGGAACGAATCGGCATCTTCGCAGACTTGAGCTTCTTTCCCTCCGTGTCCGCTCACGGCGCTGGATAGCTTTTGCCTCCTGCATCGCATCTTCATGGCTTAGGTATCCTATCAACCAGCTGTCGGATACGTTCGAGAATTGGAGCCACCCATCCGTCGTCACCCTCTTAGCTGGAGGTTGTGCGGTGCGGCACGGCTGAACTCCATCTACCCTGTCCTGGCCAGCGGTGGCGCACATCCCGTTCGTTCCGCGGAATGAGGACGCTGGCGGTCGTCGACAGCGTTCATCCGTCCGAGCTAATAACGAATCGTCACGGTTCACGATATCGGATCATGTCCTCTGTCGATCGCTTGAGACGAACAGAAAGTCGTCGCCAGAAATATATTGCCAAGTATATTCCGTTGACCAGCTGCTCTCCTCCCCCATGGAAGTAGGAGTTTCGGTTTCGCGCCTTGGTCCAGCTTTGGGAAGCCTGCTTAACGCCAAGTCTCTTCACAGAGCTCAAATTCTCAACCTGAGCTGCGCGCTGCACGTCAGGGCCCGCTGTGATGGCTTGCCCACAAGGTCCCTGGCCGCGGCGGATGGCCCCCGTTGATTCCTCTGAGGGGACATGGAACGACCGCCCCATCTCTTTGGCCCCGGCTCAGTGAATGGGCCCCTACCTTACCTACCCTCATCCTTGCAAGAATGACTTTTCGCAACAGACGACGGCCCAAGAGAGCGAAGCCAAGGTCCTCAACGGCCGAACCAGATCATGTCGGAAGCGATGGGTCCTCCAATAACCTTACCCTTCGTGAAACTGGCCCAAACAAGATGTTCACGTCGTGCCGCCCTCGATGCCAGAAATCGGCTCTCAACTTCAGGTTTAATCTTAGCAGGTTCGCTGCAATTCGTCTTTCGAACAGAATGTTTACACCAGTGTAGATAGTAGGTGCCACCACAGCTCCTCTCTTCCGACTTCCGCCAGCACTTCCGCCTGCACTTCCGCCTGCACGAACCTGGTCGAGACATTGGGCCCAAGGTTTCCAGAGAGCGGACCGACGGACGGTATGCGCCAACACTGCATCTGCACCTCCATTTTACCGGTCCTATAGTAGGGCGCTGCGAGTGACCCGTCCTGGAACCAGCCCTTGTAAGTCTCTGAAAGCCCACTACTCCATCTCATGGGTGGCCTTACCTCATCCTGATCCGCAAATTTTGACGCATCCGCGCGCGCAAGACCCTGCTGGGGATTCTGTCGCTGCAGTTGTCTGCCGAGTATGAGCCCTCCCCGCAGCAAGGATGTAGTTTGGGCCTCCTGACGATGCTGGTGTTGTGCCTTGGGCACGCCGCCTTGCTTCAACATCCGGCAGGGGCACAGGGAAGCATCTACAAAACATGGGTTGACATTGAACAGTTTGCCGACGATGCAAGGGTACTATGTCGAAAAATAGACCCTAATTAAATCCGGCCCGGCCAAAAATGCAATGGCCGTTGCATAAGATCGCTCGAAATCACTCCATTTCGAAGTTGGTGCCGCTCGCAAGCATCTTCGTTCGTAGACGCGGACGCTGCCACCTTGAATAGCAAGGACCAACGAGGTACATCAATGCCATCTTCTGCGCTCTGCAGAAGTCTCACTAACCGTCAAACCTGTTAGATGGAGTTAAGCGCCACTTGTGCTTTTCAATCAATATTTCTGTCGACAACACCAGCATAGACCACGCCCACGCTGATCACTGACGCTCACAAGATATTTCAAGGGACACCCACTACTCTACTCATTCCCAAACGAGTGATCTCCAAGTGCACTATTACACGGACAGCTTGAGCAGATAACGCAACTCTCAAGACGGCAAGATATGCTTCTCTTCCGTCCAATGGACGCGGGATGAATCAGGAGCTGGTGTGTGTGACGACTCAGTCAGTGGTCAACATCGACCGTATCAAGCATATCCGACAGCGCAAGCTGCGTGGACATCCCATTCGCATATATTCTTAAACAAAAATTGGAGACGATTATCCAATTCGGAGAACCCTGCATTGCATGCTCACGCAATCGGAACGCATGGCATCACCCAGGACCCCTGCAATGGATAGTGGAGCTCTTCGTCCTGTCTGCTAGAGAAGAAGCCATGCGGCAAGGCTTGACCTGGCTCTCTGTGATGGGCATGCAGTCCCCCTCTCGGTATACGACAGTAGATTGAAGACGCCCGTCACGTCATCTATTTGGACAGTGTTCGTAAAATAATGCACCCGAAGACGAACGTAGACAGCTTCCCGGACGAAGCATTCGTCAAGTCTCTGATATCAGAAATGACCGACAGCGACTATGAGCAGTACGATTCAAGGGATTACCGCCCTGTCTGCCAATGAAAAACACACTTGTAGAATCAACACCGTGTTCCTCTGATCCGCAAGTGAACAAGTCATCACAGCAACGGCGATGGTCCCTTGCCAGCGGCTAGTAGAACCCATTCCATTACCGGCGATTTTTCTCCTTGCTTCAGCTTCAAGGCAGACGTTTAGCCATTAACGCCTGCCGAAGTAGTTGCCGAGTAAAACCCCTGCGTCCTGACGGCTAATGGTTTGGATTGAATTTTCGTATCCTGAAAGCCGAATTAGACGACTGGGGAAGTATAGCATAATACGACCTCACCAGGCCGCAAAGTCTTTCCGCAGGTACATCATTTGCCTAGGTATGTCAGCGAGGGATCTACCGGATCTCTGGAATCGAGTGGAACACTGCTCGCATCGCTCACACGGATGCCAGATAGATTGGAAAGAGAAAACTGGCTGACGCCTGGTTCCGAACCCGACGCTGACGGCGTCTGGTAAGCCACGCGACTTTCGAGAGAGTTTGAGTGAAAAAGGAGAATAACGTACGTGCGTGCCTAGGAAGGCTGACAACACGGAAACGCTGCGTCTTCTGGGGAGGGGTAGAGCAGTACCGGCGCCAGCACGAGCTGAAAAACAATGTAGGAACGATACCCCAATCATATGCATTGAACCTTCTCGGCGTACTTTTTTAGAGTTTCAACGGTCTACTACTCTACATGTGGATACAACTGGCCGAGGCGGTGATGGTACGACACATCCAAGACATTTCTCAGACCGCTGGAAAGAGCTTCATCCGTCAATCTGGGATTCTTAATACCAGACGGTGATTCGTTCGCTAACAAGCAATTCAAGGAGAAAACCTGGCACTGGCCCAAGAAAACTTTCTAGACAGGTATATAAGGGGGAAAATATGAGGAAGAGGAAAGAAAAGTAAAGCACAGTAAAAGCCATATAGACACCAGCAGAAGCACATGTATTGGTCTACGAATAGACATCTCATTTGAATCACCTTACCTGCAGTCGCGCATGAATGATTGATCAATTATATCAACGGGGGCATGTGAATCTTGCCCCCTTTCAAGTGAGGAATTGACATGTGCATTCCGCCATCTGGCCTCCAACAAGCAGGAGCAGCAGGAGCAGCAGCAGTCACCTACTCTACTACAACCGAGTCCGCGTCCGCATCCACATGCACCGTAGTCCCCCCGGTCCTACACGGCCTACCTTGACTCACACCTCACCGCCAATCGATCAAAACCAAGCCAAGCCGACACAACAACAATGTTTCCTAGGACCAAAACAATGGCAGACACACACAGGGGCCTGAATCCGGGATGAGTGAGGGGAGAGGAAGGGAGAGGGGAACACAGCATCTGCCGCGCATGTCGCAGCGAGAGGACAGGCTGGTACACTCTTGTTTTTCGCCCCCCCTTCTCTGCTTCTCTCATATACTTTTTTTCTTCTTGCTGTGAGCACTACCTACGAGGTGGATGCCAACGATGCAGGAGCGGGGAGAAGCGACTGGGAGTCGGCAAAAAGTTAGTACGCAAATACAACATTCGTCTGGCGCAGTTCAATCGTGGGCAGTTCCGGGGGGTTGGACGGGATGAGATGGAAGACGCTGCAGCAAATGCACTTCATCATTCTATCTCCCTCCCTCCCTCCCTCCCTCCTCACTTGCGTCACAACTCTCTGCACTGGACCTTTTTCCAGCCTACCTTACCTTAGGGTGTCTTAAGGTAGAGGGACGTTCCACCACGTTCCGCCACCGGCACACATGCGCCGAGTCGGCCACTTCAAAGCTCATGGTAATGTTGTCGTTCTTGTTGTCGTCTAGGTCAAACTACACATTCATGAGGTGGGAACAAACCCTGCTCACCCGGGAACGTTCTCTCTCTCACAGGCAGCAGGCGAGTCAAGTCAGTCCCTAGTGCAGCAAGAGTCAAGCGCAGGAAGGAAGAGAAAAGAATTACGAAGAAAAAAAAGGCAAGGCTCATACATTGGGAATCTATGTGTATGGGAGCACAAACAGGACGGATACAACATTACACATCATGCGAGCCTTTGGAAAAGTGCCTGCCCCAAAGCCCCCCATACAAAAGGTCTCGGTCCAAGGCCCCCCTTCCTCCCTGCTAGGGCGGCTTCGCCTATCACCTGCACCTCGCAAACAAAACCATGGCGTCGTTTCGATCAGAAAGTGCTGGTCGCCAATCGGCTTGCCGCGTTTCTGGCATCCACTCGGTCTTCGTCGTCCTCCTCTGCCACACCGGACAGGCTCGCCCGGCCGCCCGCTGCGCCGAGGCCCTTGTTCTGCCCTGCACCTTGACCGTCGTCGCCCTCGCCGTCCTCGGGGACGCCCATAAGACTGCCAGACACGCTGCGGTTAAGCGTGTCAGTGCGTCGTGGAACACCGCTCCATGCATCACCCTTGGGACCTTGGCTGGCTGCCACGCTGGCCCTTCTAACGGGAGGGTGAGCCTCGCGTCCGAGTCGACTCAGACCGCCAGATGCGTCAATGGCGCGTATGTCTGGTCTCACGCTTTCTAGGACGGCGAGGGCACGTCGTTCCGCCTCAATCTCGCGAATGACATATTCTCTGATGCTGAGCCGAAGATCCGCTGCAGTTCTTGCGAACCACTTTCGGCGCTCCTGTACGAGATTTTGCGTAACACGAGTTGTCTTTTGGTACAGGTAGGTCTCGTTCTGACGGGCGTCATCAAGGGCTGTGATGGCCTCATCAACCTTCTCGCGTCTGACATTTGAGCTCGCCTTCAGACGATCGGCGGCATTGAGCTTGCTACGTGTGCTCTCCTGTGCCTGGAGGAATTCGCGGATCAAAATTTGACGATTTGTAAGTGACTCCTTGACAACAAATGAGTCCTGGGAGTGATACTGGAAAGGATCACCAATAGTGGTGGCTTCCGCGGTGGCTTGCGCAGCATGATAGTCACCGACCGTTTGTACGATCTTGCCCAACTTACGATAGGCGTTGGCGAGACCTTGATGGGGCTCTTGGATATGCATGGAGCCGAGCTTGACGCCAAAGTCGGATTCAGCCAATCCCAGACCTGGGTGATATCAGTCCGGCGAACGCGGTGTATTATCGGGATGTTGACGTGGACTTACCTCGACGAGACTTGACGAGCTTATCGACTTTGTGGCCGGCATCCATTGTTCCAAGGTAGAAGAGCTTTACAATCGGCCGAGCCTCCTGGAGCTCCGGAGTGTCGTCCGGCGGGGGGGCAAACTGCTTCAGAATCTTTCTGCGCACGCCCGTCGCCGGCTGCTTCATCTTCACCATGGGGCTGTACCCAAAATCGCTCTCCACGAAGAGCACCATCTCGTCGTCCCTCATGAGGACTTCATTGCTACACACGTAGTTGAACCACCGTTGTAATAAGGCCTTGACGCGGGCTTCGTCCTCGTCCGTGCCAGCACCAGCCGACGTCACGGCGGGCGGCACGGTAGGTACCAGGCATTCGGGGTTCGCAGAGATCAGGTGCTCCGCAAGCTTGACGAATTCCGAATGGAAGCGGCGTACGTCGCGGTACTGAGTGGTGCGGAATCTCGGGAGGTTGGTCTGTGGTCTGTTAGATATTCACTTTCCATCGCATGACGGCGAGAGGGGTTACTGCTTACATGGACATCGAATCGCAAGATGGGGTCCTTCTTCCCAGTGCGCTCAAGACCAGTAATCTTGGCCTGCAGCCTCAACTGAGGCTGCTGAGGCTTGCGCGGCTGTTCTTGACGAGCCTGGCCACCCGCGACCGCGGGTCCTCCTTGCTCTTGAGACTTTTGAGGCAGCTCAGGTCCCGGACCATCGCCGCTGGACCGGGCCTCTGAGCCTATTTCGGTCCTCGACCCCTGTGTTTCCACCTCGGTCGCCGACTGGGTGCTGCTCGCGGTGTCCGGTCGTCTGTACTGCTCGCCGCCGAAGCCTTCCTGATGATCCTGCGGGGTAGCGATGCCAGGGCTCGGTGAGTAGCGGAAGGGGGAGCCGGAAGGGTCGCCGCCGGGGTCAGCACCGAGAGACGAGAAGTTGGTCTGGTTGGGCCGGGGCGAGGAGCCCGGGGAGTTACCCCAGGGCGATGCGCCGCTCTCTTCGTGAATGGAAGCGCTGTAGTCCATGGTTGCGGCAGCGTGCTTGTCGTTGTCCGTCGTCGTCTGCCAAGGGTGCGTTCGATGATGTCGTCGGGTTGCGTGGACGGATCACAACTGGCCGACAAAGCCGATGCGGGGAAGAGGGAAAGGGTGTAGATGGTTATTTGGAGATTCGTCACGTAAGCCCATCCATTGACCAGTGTTGAAAGGCACAATACTTGTCGTGGGCCGGGCGAGAGTGGTCCAGGTGGGTAGATGATGGTCCGTATAATCGCTCTCGTGTCGTTCGCGAGCTGAGCGGGATGCGAACGTGATGTCCAGAGGGCCGGGGAACCTTTTCTCCACGCAGCTGCCTTGAATTGGTTCGTAGCCACGGGCTGAGTTCAAAGCCTCAGGTACGCCGGAAAGCCTACCTAAAGCCCGCGAAGCAGGACGTGGGGACGCTAAGCCGAAGCGGAGGATAAGTGGGGCTGCGCTGGCCACAACCTGGGAGAAGAAGCTCGGGCCAACCCAAGCCTCCAGTTGTTTTCGGCCGGGTTGTGTCTCGACTTGCAAGAGTGACGACACACGCGCGACAGACATCGCGCCTAACTTACCCTGACAGCTCTCAGCTTCGACCAATAAGGGCATCGGATTCTCAGTGGCCTCGAAACCTCGACGCTCTTCTCAGGCTCGCGACAACGATTATTTGGTGCTGGCTTGACCCTTTTCGAGGCGCGAAACTCCCAAAGCGACGACAGATCGAGGGCGCAAATCATGGCGCATATGGCCAACACTCTGGCCACGGCCGAGCAGCTCTACAAGCGCAATTCCTTCAGCTCACTGCCTGCCGATCTACAGGATGTCATATTCTACGCCACGCAGTGTTTGACACAAGCCGCCGGTGTTCTGCTCGATTTGCCGCAGTCGACAACCGCACAGGCAAATGTTTTACTGGCGCGGTACTGGCTCGTCGAGTCGCCAATGGCGGGTGAATTCAGCGTGAGTCGCAATCCATTGACGCTCTACAGAATCAGGTCAACTAACAAGGAGTGTCTCTCCCATCCAGGATGTCTCCGCCGCAGCCCTCTACCTAGTCTCCAAAATGGGATCCTTGCCACGCTCGACGCGAGACGTCTCAAACATATACGCCTACCTCCTCTCCCCGGCCTCCTCGCTGTTCCGCGGCGAGCCACCAGACCCCAAGCGCGCCCGCCCGGACCCGACGACGTACTACCAGACGGACGGCGAGTACGCCGCCTTCCAGACGCGGATGCTGGCGGCCGAGGCGCGGATTCTCTGGGCGCTGGGCTTCGACACGGCCGTTGCGCTGCCGCACGCATTGGCGGTGACGTACCTCCAGGCGCTGGATTTTGTCGGGAAGCCCAAGGGCAACATGGCGGGGCGGGTGGTTGCGCACCTCAACACGGCGCTGCTGAGCCCGCAGATGCTGTACCTGACGCACCAGCCCAACGCGCTCGCGACGGCGGCGGTGTACATTGCGGCTAGAGAGGCAGGGGCCAAGATGCCCGAGGTGGCGTGGTGGGAGGTTTTCGATGTCGAGCGGGAGGAGCTGGGGTTTCTCGTGGTGGGCATGAGGAGTCTCGAGGGATGGGTTAAGGGGGTCAAGGAGACTGGGATGCTTACCGGTGGGATGATCATGAGGGATGGGATCGAGAGAGAAGCGAGGAGGCGGGCTGGAGAGGGAGACGAAGAAGACGAGATCATGGCGCTGATGGATCAGAAGGCTGCATAGGAGTTGAGGGCTGTACAGTGCTGAACTGTTGGCGGCCCCGAGAAGAGAAGATTGATACCCAAACAAAAATCTGATGTAACGCGTCTTCTTTCGATCAATATCTTGGCTCAACTCAAGCGTGACTTGATGGTGTTGAGGGTGGACAAAGTGCCTTACTAATTGGCAGTAGACGGTCATTGTAGAAACTTTTCATACGCAGGTTGATGAGCTGAGAAGCTTCTGTCTCGGAGCCTAGATTAAACTACGGTAGTTATCAAGTCTTCTTACTAATATTCCAAGCTTAAATCGTAGCTGGCAGGCGACTGAAACTAACAGGTAGGTATCAATACTTCTCTGACAGAGAGTAGGGCTTCTAGTGTGTGGATAAGGTGGCATTTTCTTTAATTACTACCTTTAAACCAGCAATATTTGGCTTACAATGCACACATTGATCGTTTTGCTAGGATATGTTCCTAAGGGATCTTCTACCTACCTAGTGGAAATAAACTGTAGATAGTTTCTTAATCACAAGGAATGAGAGATCCTGATAACAAACTAGGAAGGCGCTCGCCAAATAAGCTATGACTGACGGTCATCATCCTGCCTTCCCCCAATGATAGACAAACCCCCTTATCCAACTCCTAAAACTACCACTTCCTTCCCGCTTTCTCTTTTCCTCACCCCCCTCCCACTTCTCACGCCACCAACCCCATCACCATTCGTAACAACCAAGCAAAACCACCTTCGCTCACAATGGCCAACATCACCGAGCTCGCCCAGATCACCAATCAGACCATCGACGGCATCGAACCTCGCCTGGCTCTACCGCATCTTGGATTTATACTTTGGCGGGCAGATCTTCGACTTCGTCTCCTTCCTCGTCAAGTTCGCTTGGGTCAAGATCATCGCGGTCTACCGCCTCTACAAAGCCAAGACCAAGCTCGCCGAGCGCGGAAAAAAATATTAGTGAGTTACTTTTACTTCCTGTTGCCCTCAATTTTTTTTTGGGGGTATATACCCCCCTCCACCCCTTTACTTTCATGCCAACTTCTGTGACCTGCCTGCTCTCATTCAATCAGTCCTCGATCCTCACCAAGAATTCCATCCTATGTCCTTTTATGCGCTTCCCTTCATATGAATTAGAAACATGAAACGGGGGTAAACAATTAAGTGACATCAAAAACCCACACACCAGAAAAAGTCATCGCCTGAGTACATCATGTGGCTGAGCTTCCGCCGCCGGCGAAAAGCTTCTGCGTTTGTGAGAAATAGCTTTTCCAAGGATGTTTCCAACGATGATGGCAAAGGTCTTTTCTTGCAAATGGCGCAGCGAGGCTCTTTGCCTCGGTTGCCTGAATTTTCGAGCATGTTTAGAGGCCTAGGTGCTTGACTTCCTGTAATGAGGCAAAGACGGTGCCTGGACACTGGATTGGGTGGATGGGGATTGCCTTGGGGACTTGTAGATCACCAACACGGCTTCTGCAAACGCCTCATAATAGCTGGTGTTGATATGAACAAGGAGGGGAGGCGTGAAGGCCCAATGATGTTCATAAGAAATCGCTATTTTGTGCCATGACAAATTGAGACAACCTAAGATGTGTCTCTGCCCTGAATGACCCGTTTCCATACCATGTGCGCCAGATCTAGATCCCTTTAGTGCCGGGTATTGCCCATATGACCCCATCCAAGCCTAGTAAAACCAACCAACTCCGTTTCGTTTTGCGTCGCTAGACATTCTTTCCAAGCCCACGCCGCTCTCGACACTTTTTCCCACTCTGGCTCTTCTGCTCTCGGCCTTGAGAGCTACTAGCTGGGCTTTCATAGCCGTCCCGCCATGACTTCCTTCTTGAAGATGCGGACGTCCCAAACATCGTAAAAGTGGACGCCTTCGACAGTTTCCAGCTTGGTGTTCGCCACTATATCGGTGTCTTCGTCGTCACTGTCGCTATCCGTCTCCCATCCCGGCATAGGCAAAGGTGGAAAAACACCCGGAGCACCCGAGCCAGTAGAGGTGCCTGGGCCACCAAAAGCTCCAAAGGAAGAACCAGCAGGCTTCTTTCCCTTCTTGTTTCTCTTCTCTTCGGCTTTGGCGGCTGGTGTCTGCGGCGGTGGGCGGATAATGCGCTCAACCCGGTCATCATCGATCGAGATCCACTCGAGTTTCATGTTAGGGTGGTGGCTTAGGTTATCGACGAGGAATTTCCGCGTCTCGCGCATAACCCAGACGCAAGTATCGTCGTTCCTGAACGAGATAACGTTCAAAGCTCGGAGGTTGGCCAGCCCTCCAAGGTGTTGCATGAAAGTGTGCTAGGATGTTGGTCAGCTTAGAACATGATCAGACACATCTCAAGACGGCTTACCATGGCGCGAATACCAAGCGCGGCCGCAAGCTCTTCGAGTTGTTTTCCGCGGTTGCAGATTAGCAGCATGGCCTTTTCGTCTACATCCCACGCCATTGTAGCATCGTTCTTGATCATCAGCCGAGTCAGGGTCGGCATATGCTTCTTGAGAACAAGACGGCGGATCTGGTCCATGATGACATTTGTCTTGGGCGCGAAGCTCTCCGGCTTGTATTTGGCTGATCGCTCAAGCATGAACAATTCTGTGATTTGCTCCAGTTGTGATGCAAATGTCAGGAAAGAGATGGAAACGTTGTCTGTGAAGATCTTGCGCAGAGGGAGCGGCTGTGCCTTGTTTTCCTTGGCAAGCATGGTCCAAATGGGAGCTTGACTGCCAACATTTAGCAATGTCAGCCTTTTCAACACTCGCACGTCAATGGCTGCTTTGAATACAGAGGCCTTGACTGGGATCAGGTGGACACTGAAAGATCGCAGGGCGACGCCTCTTGTAGACCGGATATATTCGCTGATTTTCTCGTCCTCGCTGTGTGCCGTCGTGGCTATGCCATGGACTTGCTTCTCCACGTCACGGATTTCAGCTTCAGTCGCATTCAACTCAGTCCTGACATTTTCGATATCGCGGTAGAATCCTTGCAACTGATTCTCGGCATATCGAATGTGGTCCCGGTCGAATGCAGTAGTAGTAGTTCGCAAGTCCTCTAGCTTCTCTTGGAGACTAGTGGCTTCGGATAGCAGGTGCTGTAGACGAAGAACAAGTGTTTCAAAGTTTGCCTTTTGAGCTTCCAACGCGGCCTTGGCTCTCACCGTGGTATGTGATTCTGATATGGGTTCTTGGCGCGAAGCGATTGCCGAAGTCGTCTCGGGAGCAGCTGTAGGCTGCTCCTGATTCTGTTCGATCTTACCATCCGACTGCTCCTCAGCCTCGTCGGCAGCCATGGGCTCTTCCACATTGATGTCCTCGGGGTTGGAATCGGCCCCCGTGGTCGCCTTGGATTTACTGCTGATATCTCCACCGGCAGCAGAAGCACCGCAAACCTCGACAGTAGTAGCCGGCTGAGTGCCAGTGTTCACCGTGGAAGTCGCAGCAGCGGTTGATGATCCTTCGCCAGCGGAAGTCCCCGATTCAGCTTCTGTCGTCTTGTCTTTCGCCTTTGTGGCTGCTTCAGCCGCCGTTTTCGCCTCCTCTGCTTCGAGATATCTCCGGCTAGCCTTCTCAATCATCTCTAGAATCTCTTGCTTTGATCCGTCATCCGCATCACCATCCGCCACGCTTGCCATGAGTTTACTGGAGACCTCCCGCAGTCTGCTCATGAAGGCCTCGGCAGGTGAGCCGGCCTCTTGGGTATGAGTAGGTGTATCGATCTTTGCTTTTCCTTTGAGGCTCTTGCGATGCTGTGCCTTCTTTACGAGGAATGGTTCCACGTCAAAGATCCTACCCAAAACCGACTCCTGGCTTTTCCTCTCCTCTTGCGCGCGGAATGCTTTTGCGGGCCCACTCGCCTCATCCCAGCCGGGCGCCGATGGCAGGGGAACAACTTCAAACTCGTCGTCCTGGTCCGAATCGTCAGGATCGGTATCCGGAGGCGGCTTCCGAGATTGCAAAGCGAGATAGGCAGAGAAGGATAATTTCAGTTTCGTCAAGGTGGACGCCGAATTGCGTACACATGACTTGATCTCCGCAATGGTGTCCAAGGTATCGATGTCGAGAACAACCAAGGAATTCAGCTTTCGGAACCCACCCAGCGTTGCGGGGTCGTTGGCGGCTACCCTACGCCTATTTCTGGGCGTAGGCTTCAATGCGGGAGGCAGCGGAGGGTGGGAACCGAGTGAAGAAGGGTTGTACGGCGGCGGGACATTCAACGACATACTTGCGAAGGGAGGAGGAGGCGCCGAGACCGCCGAAAATACCGGCAACGGATCCCAATGACCTTGAGTCGATGTAGGCGGCGGCAAATTCGTCGAATACGGTAGTGGAGGAGGGATCTCGAAGAGGGAAGGCCCGGCTTGCATTCGAACGTGTAGGTTCTTGAGGGTCGCAATCTGATGTAACGCCTTGTACACCGGCCGGCTGAGCTCGACTCGGATGTTCCACCTTGTGTTGGACCTGTCAGTGACGAGGATGTGGAATTGGAGGCATGTCCCACGTACCTGAAGGTCTCGAGTGACTTGGCATTCTTGAGGGTCAGGGACAGCAGTGTATTCATGAACTTGCCGCAGCTGGCGCTATACAAGTACGGTTTATAGGCAGCCTCGGCCTTGTCGCCAGCACTAAGAGTGTCGAGGGAGATGTCCCTGAGATGCTGGGCATAGTCGTATTCACTCGACACGAAGGTTTCGAGGCCACCGGCGAGGCTGTCGATGGGTGAATCGAAGGATGGATCATCTTCGTCAGGAAAGACGATGTGGAAATTGCGGTACAACTGAGCGGCAGCGAGTTCGCGGAAGTGTCTGGAGACGAGAGAGAGGCAAATCAGGTCGCTTTGGGAGCACTAGAAGGGGTCAGTTGCCTTGCGACATGACATATTGGCGCATGGAGGACGTACATGGCTGAAAATGTCCTTTTGGGTTTCGGGAGGAAGGTCGAGGAAGCTGAGTCGTTTGGTTGCGGGCTCGGAGGCCGAAGCCGTAGCCTTGTCGCAAGACTGGGCTGAATCCATCGTGGGCAAAGTGTGGCGCATAGGAAGGGGAGGACGCCAACTCGGTTCGCGATGGGTGGAACTTTAGATGTTCGGCGGAAGCGCAGTGGAAAGGATGGCAGCGACTGGAATTAAATGTGATTTGAAAGAGAAACAAGCGAGTTGGAGAAAATGAACAGAAAGAAGCAACGGCTCTGCGTCTGTCCTTGACCTCACGTTGGGTAAGGTATCGGGCCTGCCTTGCGTTGGGGAGGGCGAAGAGACAGACACCCTTGGAGACATGGAGACAACGAACGACGGAGAATGGCAATGGAAGTGGAGGAACTTGGGAAGGCAAGGCGCGGGCGTCAACGGGCAGGGGCAGACCGTTGCGACTTGCAGGAGGGGAGGAGGGGCGTCTCCGGAGGCGGAGGGTGCAGCGGCCAACGTCACGGTCGAGGCGAGAGGTGACGGGCAGGAGAGGACTCGTTCTTACGACCTGACCTTTGCGGCTTGCCAGCCAGCCAGCCAACCAGCCAGCGAACGATGCGCCCGCCCTCGGCCCACCGTCAGCGCAAAGGGATGGCTCCGAGGTGGTTAGCAAGCACTGGCACTAGCACTGGCACTGGCACTGGCAGAAAAGATGAGGTGCATTACACCTTGGAACCTGCAGATGGTCAATGACCTCCCCGGGGTCCTTTCCCTGTGCACGGGGCGGGAGGTCGCAGCCACTCTCCAATGGCGGGCGAGCAGCTTCCCTCAGGTAGAATCTCGACGGATGGGTACACTACGAATACAGCAGCGTACCTACTGTCCTGACTTAAGGGAAGGCAAGGTACCTAAGGCAGGTTCGCCATCTTCTCAGGCGCTTCGCTGGTTGACGAGTGGGAGAAAAAGGGGTTAGCGTCTCGCCTACCATCCTGGCATTCGAGGACCAGCGCGGCACCGTCACCCGTGGACCTCGAGGATGGCTCGCAGCACGCGGAGCCCACAGCACTCTACCTTAATCCGGCTCCACCTCCATGCCGTTGCAACTCCCGTTCAGAGTCACCGTCCCGGTCTTTCACCTCGCAGCTTCTTTGAAGAGTCTCCACTGCTTGTATCCATACCTTATGTACGGATACAAATACCTACCTTATCTTACACAGACTTTATTCGTCCCTCACATCTAACGACGGGCCTCTCCTCCCCACGAACGTGCTCCAGTGTTCCAGCTTTCGTCTTCTATTTCTGCGTCACCCGCAGGACAACTCTGAAAGACGACTGTCCGCTGTGTGCGGTATGCTCGTCGCATACAATGCCGACTGCTCTGCGCGAACCGATTGTATCAAACTCATGCCCTGGTCTTTACAGCTTGGGAGAGCCTCTTGCTCTGCATCTGCCCGGCTTCCTAACTTTGGCCAATGAGACGGTCATTCGGCCATCATCTCACACGCAGACAATGGAAGACTTTTGGCGAACTTGCAGGGATGTCACCTGAGGTAGACATGCTCATCGACAGGATCTTGATTGAATAACTCATAGTCTTAGGACGAGATCAGACGGCTACTTCACTTGAAGTCGTGGCTCTAGTATTCTTGTCTAAATATGTGTGGCAGAAGTGTCTCCCTCATGCACACATGGAGACATCCCACTGCAGATACAAGCAGAGGTTGAGAGAGACCCTGTGAATGTGTTCTTGGCTACTGTAAGTTTACGGCAGCTTAGGTACGTTTGCCGTCTGCTAAGGTAGTGTCGCATTTCCGCGGTAGACATGGTTCTTTACGGGGCGCAATGACGCCCATGTGGAGAAGGAGGACAACCGGGAACCATCAATCCTTTGGGTACTCACTTTTTCTCAGTCGCTGCTTGCAGCTACCCGGAATTTGACTATGAAACGGCCTTTTCAACGGCATGTCTCCCAGACGCCCCTTTCTGGAAACCCTCCAGCAGCATCTCTATTCATAGATGCTCATGATAGTAGCAAAGAATCCAACACCAGGCAGCCGTCATTCGAGACATTTGGAGCGCTAGGCATGGCGCAAGCCGGCAAGCATGAGGCGACGATCGGCCTTAGCGCATCCGCTCCCAAGGGGAAATCCCCACATTGTCCCACTAGGAAGGCACCAAGGCTGGGCTGTGCCGACTGATCCAGGCCTGTCGTGCCCGTATCCGTAGGTATGGATAGTTCGTACAGACGAGGCCGGACCAACAAGGTACAAACGGATACTGGGCTGGGCAAAGTATAGTAGGTACAGATAAATCCCCGTTTTTTAGACAAGAGTTGCAATTTTCAGACGGGGCCAGGCATGGATGATGGATGAGAGTGACCGTGCCTGGCGTCCCCATGCTCCTTTGTCTTTCCAATGATCCATCCTCTCTATTTTAAATCAAGCAGATACCCATCCATCGCCCCCTCCCTCAACCCCTTGCAACCTTACTTTCTGGTCAGAGTTTGCCCACTTGTGCTCTTTGCAAAGTCACATACCCATCCGTATAGTTACTTCGTCGTGCGACCAACCCTCGAGTTCGACTTTGGCGGCTTGGCCCGGGTCCTGCAAACCTTGTTGGGGCCTCACACCTTTCCTTCCCTCCAGTTGCCCCTCGTTCCTCCTCCTCCTCCTCCTCCTCCTCCTCCACCTCTTCATCGATTTGTCCTTCGTATCTGCTCCTCCTCCTCCTGTCCACTCTTCTTCCCGTTCCCTGTCACGGCTAAGCTTCTCGCGTCCCGCCCCTGCCAGTCTCCGACGTCCGAGCCCGGTGGGCCTATCACACGGCCCCGATCCTGTTGCCTGCCTGGCCTTCACTGCCTGAGGCGACCTTGCGTTCCCTTCCTCGCCTTGTTTGCAACGGCAATCAACCCGAAGGCTGACAGCATCGCCACAATCCAACCTGTCTCTGTCACTCCCCCCCCACCCAATTTTGTATCATCACCAACACCAGCTGGGCACACAGGTACGGATACTCTGCACACGTGTTGATGGTCGAGCCATCAATCAGCCAGTCCTTCGCTTGATTAGCATTCGTTTCCGCCCCAGGGCCACACCAATAGCCACATATTCGGTTTGCCCTCTTTCGTGGCTGCCATTAGGATACAGCAACCATATTTATACAAAGGCTGTCTTCCATACCCCTCCAACCCCCATCTATGTCTTCGGCCCCTTGGTCGATTGCTCGATACGCACGCCCAGTCTCTACAGATCTTGCTCAGCAGCGATACCATTACTGCACTCTTAACAACCCCGCCACGCAAAAGTTCCGACCGCCTCTGAGGCTCCTTGACTCAGCCGCAAAAGCCTGCCTGCTGCCTATTGCTCAACTGGGACATCGCGCCGCGACCAATACGAATTCCATTGGTGGGCAAACCCCAATAATCAAATCGTCCGCTTTATCCATCATTTATACAAACCACCTGTTTGCACCTCTCCTGCACTCGAGCTGCGACACGCCAACTCTCGCCTATTGCTCCATTTTCTTCACTCAAGTCCCGGCACTCCACCATGGCCGACGTCGAGGAGCCCAAGTTCAACACCTTGGCCGAACGAATCGCCGCCCTCAATCAGCAAAAGAACTTTCAAGCACCAGAGCCCAAGTCCAAGAGGCCCCCTCCTCCGCCTCCGCCAACAAATCGTCCTGGTCCGCGCAGCCAGACACTCCCAGTCGTCCAGACGAGTGGACTTCCCACCCCCCAGAAAAGTCCCTCGATCCCTCCTCGGCCGAACAAGTCCGTACCGGCAAAGGCCGCCCCACCACCGCTGCCGCGACGAACCACCGATTCATCCCAAGTCGAAACGTCGTTTTCGCCAACTCCCAGGGATCGCATTGCACCTCCACCCCTGCCAACTCGCTCCTCTACCCAGCAAATCTCACCAGCTCTACCCCCTCGGAGGCCATCCACGCAGCAATTGACGGTGCGCCGTAACTCGAACGCGTCCGAGATTTCTAATCTGTCGTCCCTATCGTTGAACCAGACCGTATCGTCGGCTACCAGCGTTCATTCAATTGACGGCCCAACGCGAAAGCTGCCTCCAACCCTAGATCAGGCAAAGCTACCACCATTGCCACCAACTAAGAGGGAACGAGAAGCTCAAGCAAAAGAAGCCGCCGCTCAACAACAGCCCAAGTTTCCTCTCGTTTCGGTCAAGTCTTCGCCTGCAATTCGACAGATTGAACCCCCTCAGAGACCGGTGCTACCCCCACGACTAACCTCGAAGTCGACCAACCAGCAAGTTCACCCACAGACGCTGGAAGAAGAACCACCGACGAACCCGCGAAGACTACCTCCGCCCCCCACAGCGTACATCAAGGCCCAGCCGCAGACAAACGGCCATGGTACCCAGGAACAAGCTAGCGACCGACCACCACTGCCGGGAAGACGACCAACTACCAATGATGACGCACCTCCTCCTGTTCCCCTCAGCTCCCGGCCCAGCGCCGCGCAAATCGAGGCGGTCTCGGCCAGAGCTATTGAACATGTAAACGACTGTCTCATTTGCCGCGACTTTTCAGGACCAGATGGCGTCGCAGCCCAATATCCCGTACACAGCCTCCCGAGGAATGATCCTGTAGGCTATCTAGCTCAAGTCCTCTGCGGGCCTTTCACGTCACACACAAACAAGGCGCGGGCAATTTTCACTTGGTTTCACCACAATATCGCGTATGACTGCGCAGCCTTTTTCGGCAACAATATCAGGGGTCGTTCGGGAGCTGAAACGATACTCATGGGCAAAGCGGTCTGCTCGGGATATGCTGATACCTACAGAGAAATCGCTAATCGCGCGGGTCTTGAGTGTATCACAGTGACGGGCCACGGCAAAGGATATGGATACACAGCGCTGAAAAAGGGGGAGCGTCCGCCGCCCAAAAAGGCCGACGGCCATGCTTGGAATGCGGTACGAATCGACGGCGGGGAGTGGAAATTGCTCGACGCCTGCTGGGGCGCCGGCAACGTTTCTGATGTGACCAAAGAGTTCACTGCCGATTTCAAGCCGCACGAGTTTACTCGGAGGAACGACATATTTGGACTGTCGCACTACCCAGCCGATGACCGACACTTCTTCCGGCCCGATGGCAGGGTACCGTCCTGGGAAGAATACTACATTGGCACGGTACATGGCGACAAACCCATCGTCTACACCCACGCGTACGAAGAAGGCGTTTGGGACCACACCGTCGAACCCAAAGAGCTTCAGATTCCCGTCTACAGCGGCCAGATCGTGCGCTTCCAGTGGTCCAATACATGCGAGCACTGGACTTCGGAGAAACACGGAAAGGGAAAGCCCCCGTTGCTATTCCTGAGTATCAAGGGGCGAGACGGCCGCAAGGACAACATGGTGCCCATTGAAACGGACGGCTTTTGGCATTGGGCCGATGTCAACGCGATAGACCTGGGCGCGCCGGGCCAGAGCGTCAGTGTGGCCATGATCACCACAATTGACGGGCAGGACGCCAGGGGTATGACGGCCAAGGACTACTTTGCGAAGAAGGGGAGATGTGGGATGAGTTGGACGTTCCTGATGAAATGGGAGCTCATTTGAGGGGAGGAGGACAGACACGCACGCACGCACATACACCAAATGACGGGGCTTTCTACTGACGATTTTGACGGCCGAAACTTATATCGTTTATCAATAATGATAATGGGACTCTTTGGATCATACCTGGTGGTCCTGGTGGCTTTCTGGGTTTACACTTTCATCTCATCTACCTCACTTGAGTGACTATGTGCGTTGCTAATGTCGTCGATCTTATTCAGGGAAAGGGTAGAAAAGCCAGTTGGAAGCTGAAGCTAGCACCAAAAGAATAGACTTGAGACTGCCCCTATAGCTCGGCATCGCCCAATTATCAGACGAAATACCACGATAGTCGGGCGACGTGTATGAAACAAAAGCTTTATCGATTGCGTAGAAACTCTAAATCTAATGGGTATCTTGCAATTTATCATGTCCTCTCAAAGAGAACCATTTCAACACTACTAATCCTTCTTCGCCTTAAAGTTCCAAGTTTTGCCACTTGCGCAACCGCCCTCCATACCGATAAATCAGCGCCGGCACGGGGATGAGCGCAATGGCAATGAAGCCCAGCAGACTGTTTCCCCACCCGAAGCCGAGGGCATCGTACATGGACGGCCCCGCCATTGGCAAAAACGCCGCGACGACGCTGCGAAAGACGGTGAAGGCCGCCATCCCGGAAGCGGCGTACGCGGGGTACGCGTCAATGACATAAGCCTGGATGGGCTGCCAGATGCCGATGATGGAAATTCCAAAAGGTAGGAAGCCGACGACGGGCGCGGCCCAGTGAGTGTGGAACTGAGCCGTCCAACCGTACCAGAAGAACGTGACGGGGAGGAGGGCGGCGAAGTAGATGCAGTCCGGGAGGCGCATCTCGGGCTCATAGACGCCCTTGTTGGCTTTTGTCATGCGGACGACGGTGCGGTCTGAGAGGAGGGTGAAGCTGGCCATGCCAATGAGGTAGCCTAGCCCGAGGGGAATGTAGACGAGACCCGTGCTGCCAACGGAGAAGCCGTAGGTGGAGGTGAAGACGAGGGGAATGGTGCTGAAGAGGAGGTAGAGGACGCCGTAAGCGAAGGCGCAGTAGAGGCTAACGCTGAAGAGGATGGGCGAGAGGAAGAGCATCTTGATGGGGCGGATGAGACCGCGGAGGAGGACCTGGGAGGTGGATTTGGGCGCCGTTCCGGGCGAGGTGTTGTCGTCGTAGGCGCTGCGGAGCTCGGGCCGGTTGAGTTCCTTGCGCAGGCGGGCGACTTTGCGGTCGATGAGCACGCGGGGGTTGGTCTCCTGGTTGAAGACGGCGATGACGAGGGCCATGGGCGTGGCGGCGATGAAGGCGATCCACGAGCACCAGCGCCAACCGACGTCCTGGGCGACGAAGGCGCCGACGATGGGGGCGACCGTTGGCCCAATCAGGGGCCCGACCATCCATATGGAGATGGCCGTGCCACGCTCGGCGACTGGGACCATATCTGCGATGACGCCGCCGCCGATGGCGAGGCAGCCAGAGCCGCCCATTCCCGTCAGGAAGCGGAAGACAATGAGGGAGTCGAGCGAGGGCGCGAGGGCGCAGCCTATGAGCCAGGTGCAGAAGAAGAAGTTTGCGGCGGTGAGGATGGGGCGGCGGCCGTACATCTCGGAGAGCGGCGCCAGGATGAGGGGCCCGACGGCGTAGCCTAAGAGATAGATGCTCACGGGTAGGGTTCCCAGCGTCAGGTCGGCGTTGCCGTAGTCCTCGTTGAGGTACTCGATAGCCGGGGCGAGGATCGAGGAGGCGAAGGGGGTCATGAAGGTGATGCCGGCGAGGAACCAGATGATGATCCACTTGCGGCGGCGGGGGAAGTTCATGGGCATGTCCGGGTCGTCTTGAGAGTCCCAGCCCACGACGCCATTATCGAGGTCGGAAACAGGGTGAATCGTGGGAGGGGGATGATCCTTTTCTTTTTTTCGGCGCGAGGAGGCTAGACTTGCTATGCGAGAGAGGCGACTTCGTGCGCTGGCGTGTGAGCGTCCTGTGTGTATTCGCTCGATGACGATGTCCTGGAGGGAGTAAGCACAGAACGAGTGTCTTGTGACGGCGTAGGCTTCCGATTTGAGTACTTCCAGAGAGGTCAAACCTCCCCCCCCCCCAAAAAAAAATCAAGTGCGAAAGGTGATCTCTCGAGCCCTGTCGCACTCTTGAACAGGCGCAAGACAGGCGCAAGAGTTTGCGAAGAACTCTTGAAGAGAAAGCTGGAACTCACCTCCTGGTACGGTTCGCTGTCCGGCGTGTCTTCGAGATCTTCGAAGCTCTTTCTCTCCTCCACCTCAGTCTTTTCACCCTTTTCCAAATCATCTGAAGTGGTGAGGTTTTGTTGACGCTCCCGTTCCGTCAGCGTGCCCTGCTCCGAGGAGGATCCTCGGAGGCCGTGGGCGCCGGCCGGCGTCTCCACGTCCTTTTCGGACGTCATGCTTGGGATCAAAAGTGAATTTTTCTTTGATGAGCAAGTTCAAAAGTTGGAAGCGATAAGATTTGGCTTGAGATGTAGGAAGGAAGGGAATTTATAGGAGAGAAGGAATTAGAAAGGAGAACGAGAAGCAGCAAAGGGCCGGATCCAGCAGCCGGGAGGAGGGCAAGCAAGCACGTATCTGCGTGCCTGGCGTATCTACCTACCTAATAATCCGCAATCACGCGCCGCGAATCCACGGCAGCAGCTGTGAGCGAAACTGCTTTAGTAATTCTAGCCCGAGACCCCTCTTCCTTCTTCACCCAGTTGCCGCATCTACCCCTGGTAGGCAAAGGCAAGGGCGACGATCATTGAGGTAAACGGTGTAACGTTGTTCGACAGGCGCTCCCCAAAGTCCCATTCCATCATGCTCGGCAAACCCGCCCTTGCGACTTGCAGGCTGACTGACCTGCAGGAAAGTGCGTCTAGCCTCACTTCCGCCGCCGGGTTTTTCGCTCCCCTCAGAGTCGGGGCTCATAACTCCATATTTTATCTCCGCTATCCGCTTCTAGACGGGCAGTGTTGGGGTGTTTGTAGGGCGATCCGGGATTGGAGGGGCATATAGAGAATGGAAAGAAAGCACCTAATATTTTGGGGTAAGGTATGGTGTGGTGGACCTCTCGGACTAAGGTACACTAAGTAGAGCCAACCTCGGAATCTTGTTTCTCAATGATAGGCGGTGACGGCAACGGGAGAGAGTCAAGACGCGGGGTTCGTTGGAGACGGGACCGTGGATTAACCATGGAGATCAGCGAAGGACAGTCTATTGGGGCTAACTACCTCTACGGCAACTCGGCAGTGTTGGGGTTTCGGTCGTCTCTTTGCCGTGGCATTATTAAATCCGCAATTTCTGTTCGAGTTCCCGATGTCGTGCTGGACACTCATGGCCATTGGCTGGAAGCTGGAATGTGCTTTGTAATTCTTTCGCATGTCCAATTGAGGCTGCTGAACAAAAGGTTATATTGCATGCACGTGCAGTTGCAGTGTTAGTACCTACGCTGACTTGACTGACATTACTAGAGATCCAATCTGTAATTCCAATTGCCAATGCAACAAGAGCCTTAGAGTTTGTAGTCAACCAACTACAGAGATAGAGTTCTTTTGCAACTGCTATCCGTTGACTCAACCGCTGGTCAATGCGCCATTGCATCAACTTTCCAGTCGCCGAGAGCCAAGTCTCGCACAGACCAGAAGCTGGAAGCTGGAACAGCTGCAAGTTCCAGCAACAGGTCCCCGGCTCCACTTCGGCTGTCAATTCGTCCCCTTCCAAGGTACCCACCCTCCACAGCCCACTGCATGTCTGCCCCGCAGCCTCCCGGTGCCACATGGGAAAGTTCAGCGTGGTTTCCACACTCTCTCCAAAAAAAGAAGACTGGAAGAGGGACAGCCACCATCGATAACGCGGCCCCCCCTGGAGGATAGTGGGGACATATTTCTCCAAACTGACGAAGCCCTCCTGCAACTGTGTCCCATCGCAAAACCTCAAACTTTGGGTTGCGACTCCTTTTCTTTCCATTGCGAGAGCTCCAACTACTCTTTCCTGACAACAAAACCCCTGGTGCACCTGTCAATCCACCCTGCGCACAGAAATACAATGAAATTGCACCGCAGCCGAGCTTAGGTTCCACAAGTAGCAAAGGAAACAGCAAAAGAGCCGAGAGAGCTGCAGGTACTACAACACCCCTGCGGGCGCGTTCTTGCCTGCAGAAACGACAATATCTCGAACCAAAGATGGCCTCCTCCTCCTCGACATCGTCCCCCACGCTCACCCGGACTGAGACCCTGAGCCTGGGCTCCCTCTCCTTCGCGGCAGTTGCGGTCCTCCTCAACGCCTTCCAGGGCGAGGGCGAGCCCCTGATAGCGTCACTCGCCCTCTCCGCCTTGGCCTTTGCGCTGGCCTACTCCATGATCCGATGGCTCGGTCCGGTCTTCAAGCACGCCGGCTTCAAGGGTCGCGACCTCTCCAAACACCACCGCCCGGAGCTGCCCGAGTGCATGGGCGCCGTCTGCGCTGCCGTCTACCTCCTCGTCGTCATCATCTTCATCCCCTTCCCCTTCTACAAGGACATCGTTGCCGCCACTAGCGGTGGTGGTAACAGGGACGTTGTTTTCCAGGTCGAGCATGTCCAGCAGGGACGGTTCCTGCATCGGTTCCCCCATAGCAAGGTCAGTGTAACTTACCTCAACCACCAGGGCGCGGTACCACGCGGAAACCCTTACTGACTTGCGACAAACCATAGCTCGCCTCCTATCTCTCCGCAATCATCTCCCTCCAGACGACAGCCCTCCTCGGCATCGGCGACGACCTCTTCGACATTCGATGGCGCCACAAGTGGTGGATTCCAGGCCTGGCTTCGGTCCCGATCCTCGTAATCTACTTTGTCGACTTTGGCGTCACCTCCATCGTCATCCCGATCCCCCTCCAGCCCTACCTCGGCGAGCTCTTCGACCTCGGCGTTCTCTACTACATTTACATGTCCTGCATCGCAATGTTCTGCCCGCAGTCCATCAACATGCTCGCCGGCATCAACGGCATCGAGGTCTCCCAGTGCATCGTCGTCTCCCTCCTCCTCGTCCTCAACGACTGCCTCTACCTCTTCACGCCCTATCCCCACCCGGCCACGGACTCCCACCTCTTCTCCCTCTACCTCCTCCTCCCCTGGCTCGGCGTCTCCTTCGCCCTCCTCCTGCACAACTGGTATCCCGCCAAGGTCTTCGTCGGCGATACGTACTGCTACTTCTCGGGAATGGTCTTCGCGACGGTCGGAATCCTCGGCCACTTCTCAAAGACGCTCGGCCTCCTCCTCGTCCCCCAGCTCTTCAACTTCCTCTATTCGACGCCCCAGATCTTTGGCCTGATTCCCTGCCCTCGCCACCGCCTGCCCCGATTCAATGCTCGCACCGGCCTCCTCGAACCGAGTAAGACTCCCTGGAGCCCCGAACGGCAACCTCGCCCCCTCGTCGCGCAGGGGCTGCACCTGCTCGCAAAGTTGCGTCTGCTGCAGGTCACGGTTGACGAAAAGGGCCGCTTCGTCGAGACGAGCAACTTCACTCTCCTCAACCTCTGGCTCGTCTGGCGAGGTCCTCTAAGAGAGGACCGCCTCGCGTGGGAGGTCACCTTTCTCCAGCTCTTCGTCGGTCTGTTCGGCCTCTTCGTCCGACATCGCCTCGCTCTACTCATCTTTAAGGAGGATAACTGGGGTATGACGACTCAGAGATATTGATTGACCCTTTTCGTGTCTTGGGCTTGGGCGGAACCCGAGAGACTGGTCCTTTTTTTTGGCCTCGCACTTCATTATTGTTCAACAAATCCGGTTTTGCTTGTATCCGGAGGTTTTTTTTTCTTCTTTTTTGCTTCATTTCAATCTGTCTGGATTCGCATCGCAAGGGACGTCAAGGCTCGTAAGGCCGCCTGTATTATACCAATATGGATTGAAGTTTGAGATTGAGATACCCTGTAAGAGACCATGTAGAGTACCTGGCGGGTCATGGCCCAAGATTGGCTCATTTGAAAATTGGTGAAAACCAAGACGAAAAAGATTCAAATCACAATCTTGGTTTCAAATGGAGAAGTGGTGTGTGAGCCAGAAGTAGGCAGCCTCGCAGCTGCGCAAAAAAAAAAAGAACATCCATTTGTCATGGGAGGGGTGTGGTAGTCCTGCGCCGAGCAACTTTGCGTCGTCGGCACAGCCAATGAGACTAGATTTACACACAAAAACATGCCGCTCATGGCAAGAGTGGTTGGAATCTCTCCGTCTTTTCATCTCGTACCAGCCAGTATCAGCCGATCCCCGGCCCCGGGCCACGTCCGTCCGTTTCCTTACTTTGCGCCGTAGACCCATCGAAAAGATTCAGCGTCATGCCAGACGACAAAAGTTGTCGAAATGAGCAATTGTTTTTCGTTAAGACGTGCATTTTTAGCAGCCCCTCCAAATAAAAATAAAACACAATTCACCTGAAGACATCCCGAAAAAGCGCTGACCGAGACCGAGATTCCCTCCGCCCTTCCCATTCCTATTGTCCGTCGCTGCCCAAACGCCAAAGTCATTCACCAGACTGTCGCCGCCCCAAAATGGTTTGATAATATTTAGAGGAGAATGATGAAAGCCGCCGTGCCGTCTTCAGAACTCGCGAACCCCGATCTATTTTACAAGGTGGTAGCAGCCGCAGCTGCAGGGTTCGCGTTGATCGTATTACCCGTGACGGGTGTAAGAACATCCGTACTCTTCTCGACTACTGGGGAATCGACAATCGCATCGAGTGTTGACTTCGCCTCCTCAGTGCCAGGCAATGGCGTCTTCAAAGCACCGGCGGGCTTGGCCTTGTTCATCCTGCTCTTGGTGTAGTCGCTGAGGCTCAGCTTCTTTTTGACTGGACTCGGGTGTGCTGCGACACCGTTGACTGCCGTCGGAGCAAAAGGGCCTGATAGACTGCTTGCGGAGAATGGGGACTGAACCGTCGATGGCGTTGTGGCACTTGGGGTCGCCGATGTTGGCCCGTTAAAGGCCGGAACCGGGGGCATCGTCACGCGCAATTCCGGTGACCTCATCTTCAAGGGACTGCTTGCGCCGTTCGCTAGTCCATCTGGAATATTGTCCTTCTGCAAAGGCGATTTCGCCATGCCTGGTGAGCTTGTCGGAGCATCCGACATCACTACATCACCAGCTGGGGGAGCAACAGGCGATGTCTCATACCCTTGCACCTTGGAAAGCGGTGGAGAGTCTACAGCAAGCTTGGGCTCAGCCGGTTGGTCAACGTCCATCGGTATTGGCTCCAGGGTGGAAAGCGAAGGGAGTGATTTGCGTCTCTCGACCTCGTCACAGCGTAATCGATGCCGATTGTTGAGCAAGCGTTGTGAGAGAGAAATGATGCGTCGTCGTGGCCGTGGTGTCTGGACAGGCTCACTGTACCACTCGCCCTCCACAGGGTCAGTTTGTACGGATGCATCGGAGTAGATGGGACGAGGTGCTGACGAAGCTCGTCCGGATTGAGCACCGACCGAATCGGCCCTAGAGGCGGGTGCCTTGAAAGGATTCTGTGCCGTTGGCGACACACCACTTGAGGGAGAGTTCGACTTGCTTCGAGATGTTCCCGCGTCGACATAATGTGTAGTGCCGCTGGATGCGTTACTCGCTGAGTTGCGTGGTTTCGTCTTGGAAGACCCGGGATTGGATCCTGTACCATCGGATGTTCGCTTCTTCTTGCGTGGGGGTTGTTGCTGCTGCTCCATCCGTCGAAATGAGTCCTCAACCATTTGAACCTTGCGCTTGTCCCTGTCAGTAGGTTCTGTGAGAATACCCGGTCTATCCAATGAGCCCTGGCGCACAGGCGTACGATCGCGACTAGGCGGTTTGCTACGCTCAGATGCGGATCGACCGTCGTTGTCGGCGTCATCTTGATGACCTTCACTGGCTGCGCGACTGTTTGTTGCGTGTCCAGTACTGGTGGGTGAGATGGTATTGGTTTTTGGCTTTCGTTGCTTCTTCTTCGCTGGAGGTCGGGACTGTACCTTCGCTTGATGATGTCTGTGGAAGCGAGCGAAGGCACAGTTTGCCCCCAAGTCACATGCACAGCCGCCGTACTCTGACAATATCCGATGAATCCAGTCGGACAGTGTCTTGTACTCGGTCTCGTCCAATTCAGACTCGTTCTGCGTAGTGGTATCATCGTCGGCGAGGCCCAGAAGATGGACCAAACGCGCCTGTAACTTTTTGGGTAGCCTGAAGTCCCATGGGAGTGTGATTTGCTCGTTTGCAGCGACGTATCTGTCACTCATCAGCCAGAAGTGATACTCGGACTGGCCTGACAGATAAGTATCCAGCAGGGCGTTGGGCTTGCAACTCCTTCGAACGAAGCGAGCCATGGATCCTTCTTTCCTAGTATCAATGTACAACGGAAGCATCGGGTGGAAGAAAACGAAGGGCAACGGAGAAGAGAGTTCTTCCCAAAGGTTTTCGGGGTCTGCGCAGTAATCCTTCTGGAATCCAATCACACCGTTGAGTTCAATCAGAGGCACATCTTTCTCGATGGCAGCTGGAGTAGCAAGGTATTGCCATCTTAGTGTCGTGTCGGGTGAAACAGGAATCTTCTTGCTCTCAACATGAAGCTGACGCTTTCGAGCGTCAATGTCTTTTGGCAGTTTCGCAAACACGTCGTTGATTTCCTCGCCGGTCTCCTTCCTCATACGATCCGGTTCACGAAGCCAAACCGATAGGGTGTTCGAAACACCAAGACTGGCGAACGAGTTGATTTGAGTCATGGGAATGTCTGTTTCTTTGCTCATGGACAGGAATCCATCCGAGTAATTGTGTATTTGAAAATCGCTCGGAAGGTCCGGGGGAGTAGTTGCCGGACTCGGAGGATGGCCGTTGGGCTGAGACCGCCCGCCATTTCCGTAGGACGGACTTCGCTTTGCATTCTGTGAACTGATCGAGTGAGATGGCCGATGGGATGATTTGACCTTCTTGGTCGGGTGAGGGTGGTCGCTCGGACTTCCGTGCTTTGCGTTCTCCTGGCCCACAGGGTGGCCATTCAACTGTAAGTCCGTGGGCTTCAGCTTCTTCTTGTGGGATTTTGATGGCGGGCGTTTGGCCTTCTTATCCGGTATGGTTTCTGTCGTGGGAACATTCTTCAGTCGTCGGGTTCGCTCGATGGCCTTTTGTCGATCTAAGGGACGCGGCTTGCAATCAGCGCATGAGTGGGCAAAGTCTTCGCGGAGGGCCTCCTCGCGGCTGTGAGGGTAGAAGCAGTCGATGTGCTGCCATGTGTCGCACGTATCGCAGTAGATCGTGTTTCCATCATCGTCAGTGAAGTTGCAGATACACTTGATTGTGTAAGGCTCCTCTTCCTCAACCGTTTCTACTTTGCGTGGCACATTGTTGGTTGAGACTGGTACGCTCGGAGCGAAGAGGGTCTGACTAGGAGTCGCGGTCTGCGTCGACAGCGGCTGGGGCTTTTCGGTCATAATCTAAGTTTGCCTCGTGGTGCGAATTGGAGTCGAGGTATTGCGTAAGGTGATTACTGTTGCGGCCTGGGTAGCATGACGACGCCTGTCTAGACGCACTGGAACAAGCCGTCGAATGAACCACAGAAGCAGCAGGATGTAAGGCCGTCGTCATCCGTCGGCGAGTAATATCAAGTCGAGCCGAAGAATCTCGACAAAGTCGGGGGGTAGAACTCGGTGAGATCGTCGAGTCTGGCTCACAAAGGACAGGTCGTCGCAGAGGCGAGGAACAGCCCAAACAAATCGCTTTCCCAGTCACCACAGTTGGCCTGAATCTAGCAAAATGCTGCCAGAACGTCACGAGCGTGTCTTGTGGGCGTCGTGCAGTGGAAAAGTTTTCGAGTTGTGATCGCGAAGAGCGTGTCCACGAACCGATCGATGCCAAAGGGCAGACGAGGTCGGAGAAAGCGTAGAGCGGTTGCGCCTCGTTGACGGGGAGGAACAGAGCGATTCGAAAAGCTGGACCGGGTCGAGCGGACGGAGTATGAGGAGGAAATCGAGTGTTCAGGACCAGAGGTGAGGGAGAGTAGGGTGTTTCGGGTCGAGAAATGAGGGTGGGAAAGAGATTGAAAGAGAAGAAGAGAGGGGGGCACGACACGAAGGAGAGAAAGACGGATGGGTCCCCCAAAGGAGCGTAGCAGAGGTAGCGGTGGTGGCAGCAGCAGTAGCAGTGCTGGTGCGGTGCGGTGCGGTGCGGTGCAGTGCGAGTTGAGCGAGACAGGTCCCAGTGCAGGAGCGTGCAGGCCGGAGCCCAGACCAAGCCGAAAAGAGAGAGAGGGCGAACGAGTAGGAACAGTAACTGCACTGCTAGGTTGGGGACTTGGACTGCGGCTTAAGGTAGGGACTGGCTGGCACCTTGTGCTTCGGTGCGCCGATTGTGGACTGGATGGGGGAAGGGAAGGGGGGGGCGTCGTCGTCGAAGATGGGATTTTTGGGGGAAAGTGCGATGAGGACGGGTTGCTGAGTGCTGGGATGCTTGGGGAGCGTCGCACCTGCTCAGCTCGAGGTGTCCTGGTCCGTTGCCCACTGCCGGGGAGCACTGGCTACCACCAAACAGCCCGCCAGCCGTCACAGCCTAGTACAGTCGGACATACGCTGGAGGGGAAGGGGGACGGCGACAGTAGTAGACGACGACGGGAAGAGAGACGAGAGAGGGAGACGGCAGACGAGAGACGAGGGCAGAAAAGCCAAAGCCCGTGGGTAAGGAGCAGGGTACGCAGGTACCAGTACTTACCTGAAGCTAAACCCGAAAGGCGGTGGACACGCTGATATGAGTGGCTCCGGTGGTCCCATCAGCCCTCTAGCGTAGATTCCTGATGCCTCAGGCAGGAAGGGTTTCAGGCCGCAACCAGACACAGAGAGAGTGTGTGGTGGTTCCCGTCTGATGAAGGACTGGCGAGTGCCTTGTTAGCCCTCCGCACCAGACGCCTGGAAGGTCGGCTCGGCCAGGCAAAGAAGAAGGTGGGAAAAAATCAAACTGAGTAGGAAAAGAAGCAAAATGTTGGAGGGATAGTGGGGTGATGACACTTTTCGCGGCAAGTGTAGAGAAAACAAAATGAGAAGATATTCGACTAGAACGGATTCTCATCATCTTGATGAGAGCAGCTGGCGGCCACGGGTCGTCGGTTTGATGTGAACAAAAGCAAGAGGCAGACTCGTTGGGCGGGAGTGGAGGGACAAGAGGCGGCATGCAAAGATTTAATGAGTAATAGGAGAGAAAGAAATGGGCAGGCAGCGTGGTGTTGGTGTTTGGTGGGAGCTGGGTGGTTGACCCTCTCTGGCCCTAGCAGAAACGGCAGGCGGATGTGACGGGAGGAGTGCGAGGTGGAACGACGGAGGGCGAGGGGCGACGACAGACTGGCCGAGGACAAGTCAAAAGAGGGGTGACCCGCGCAACGGGAGGGACTCTGCGTACGCCGTATGGACGGATGGTTCATGGATGCCTTGCTTCGCTGGTTTCTGCTTGCTAATAAGAAGGCATCCGTGTGCGGTATGCGGTGTGCGGTGTGCGGTGTGCGGAGACGACTAGAAGAGGGCGTGGGCGGAAGTCAGGGTGAGCACCGAGTTGTCATGAGCTAGAAGGGAGACTTGACGCCAGAGACACGGAGGGCATGGTATGTGACAGTATCTGGCCTACTAGGCATAAGATGAGGGAGGGTTTTTGATTTTGTGAGCTCATACCATGCGCGGGAGAATGCCGGCGCCGTGTTGATCTCGTCGTCGAGTTCCAGTGCAATAAGCGTAATAGAAGCTTTCAATCAAGGTAGCGCGTCCTTTGGAAACCAAACCAGCAAAATCTGTGACTGCGAATCGGGGATGACCATGGCTTTCATCCCATCCCGAGGGCGACGTGAGGCCTGGCCAATTATGCGCAATCCTTTTTTTTTTTTTGTCTTAAAATAGGAGGCCTTCGAGTGACTTGCCTTCGCTGGGTCGTTTCGCCTCATGCCTTTGTACCTAGGTTGCCCCCCTTTAATGCCACCGCACCGACTCACTTGTGAAAGTCGGTCGCTTTCCTCTGATTTGTGCTAACGTAGGCAGGCTGGGCGGGTGGCAAAAGTCACTTTCCGGTTGAGGGCAATCCAAGTCCAATGCGCCAGTGGGCCAGGGGTAGAAGAGGCCAAAGAGACCGGAGAGACACTCGGAGGACCCTCCAGGTCGTGACTGTAAGAGAGGACCTGCAAGACGATCCAATGGGAGTCCATGGGCCGACTCCAAGGCGCGGCCCCTCACATCCACTGCTTTGAAGCTCTTCAGAGTTCGCCGTGACACCATCATCTTCACTGCCAACAACTCCACCCAAGTCCCGGCGCACCGTGAAGAGAGCTTTTGGTTCTTGGTCGCAGGAATGCCTGCCCGGTCGAAGGCGAAGGGGTGCGAATACGGTGGTCGAGAGCTCATCGCGTCGAGGGCCATGGAACCGGAGCGGAGGCTACGCCAAAGTCGGCCACCCACAAATTGGCCACCCGCTATTACACCGTAAGATTCGGATAAGGTACCTAAGTATGGATAGGCCAAGGTGCCTTGAGAGTCTTGGGAACTTAAAAGGAAGCAAAAGGAAGAAAAGGAACCTCTGGGCATGTACCTGGCTGGGTGACTTCTCGGCTGCGGTGGAATTGGATTGGATTGGATTTGCCATTGGGTGGGGCAGACCGGCCAAGGGCAGCATTTCTCATGTTCCTTCCAACCCCCAAAAGAGCGAAGTCCCCCCCAAGTCGCAAGATCCAAGTCCTACGGCGCAGCGTCGCGTCGTGCCGATTCCCACTTGTCTCGACTCTCGAGTCTCAAGTCTCAACTCAACCTCGCGCCGCCCCCGTCTCATTGGTTGGCGGGATCGTAGGGAATGGGGGACCGGGTCTTACTGCCAGGGCCTAGTATTATCGTGCATGGAGCCGGTCTATCGCTCCCTGCAACAGGTCGCTTCTGCCCTGGTCAGGCTGGAGACCTGCAGTTTTGCATGCGACTTTGCGTTGTAGTTTTGGAGGTGACAAAGAGCTTCGACTCAGATGCGCAAATGTTGACTCTCAGTCTACCCACCACGGCTGACGGTATCTTTGATGCTCACTCATATCTGTATTACATATTTGCCATGAGGTCAACCGCCTGCAGAGATTGTTCTGATGACTGCAGCTGGAGCTCTTCCACCATCACCGTTTTCGTGAAGCGTCATGCATCGCCCGCCAAACCAAGGCGACAACGGCATGCAGCTTGAAGTCATCATCACTGCAGGCTGAAGCGATGTGTCCCCTCGACACTGGGACCTCAAACCACCATTCCTCTGCTCAGCACTGCAGCAGACACACTCTCGCCTCCAGTTGCTCTCCTTCTCTCCAAAGCCCTACGCCGTCACCCGATGCGCCTTCAACCTTCTGCACAAGATGGCTCGACCCCTCCCCAAGACAGACTAGGTTGGCCTCCAGGAGATCGGTACATGGGAGGCTGCGTTGACTTCGACGCCGACACGGAGGCATGGGGGCGCGGCCTTTTCGCTGGTGAGGTGTCATTCATCTGCCTCACCAAGTCATAGTTGCAGAAGTATCGGTACTTTGACCACCATCAGTCAATGCTCCCCACGCCCAGCACATTTGCGCGCCCTCAAATGAGACCACGCGCGGCGCCTTTGCGAGCAGTGGTGGCTGTTATTGCCCTTGAAGTGGACGGTTGCCCTGAGCGCTCGTGTAGTCCAAGAACAGTACGACGTGAGGAAGACATCGGTACCCGCTGTGGTCTCGACGGCTTATCCAGCCTGTTACCTTTAATTATCCTCGCTGACGGGATCAACGTGTCACTTCTTGCCCCCCTTCATCATCCCCTCCCCAACTCCTTGCCCACTGGAAATAGACAAACAAAACAAAGAGTCGCGGTTTTCCGTCGTTCATAGGCACCCAGCAGGCATAAGAGCCCCCGGCATGATTCGCGGCCGGCGTCCTTTTGACTAGGATCTCCCTGTCGTACAATCGCGTCCTCGAGACTTGCCAAAAGTTTGCGACACTGATAGCCAGGGCTGCAGCTGAGGTGTCGTCGTGTCGAGGTGTCCGGTACTTGAGGACCACGGTCCCCAATCATTGTCCACGCAGGGTGGCCACACTCTCCGGCTCACTCGAGCACTTGTTTGCGCCAGCTCCCTGCACTTGACGCGGGGCTGATTGGTTCAAGCCGACGGATCCGTGCACAACAGTTTCCCACCATGAAAGACGCATGAGATGGTGTGGCTCCTGCTGTGGCTACCTTTTCCCTCAGGTCATCATCCATGCCGTAGCACGACTTCTTAAGTCGCGGACAGGTTGGTCCAATCACGAAACCTGCGCAGTCGAGACTTGAAGATGCTTTGATCGGAGAGCGCACCATGCAGTTCTAGCCCTGCCACTGAGGAGCTTGGAGGAGTCAGCGGTTTGTGATGATGGAGAATCCCTGAACGACATAGCGGGCACTGGGCCTTGGATGCTGAGGTTGGCGTCCATCTGCTTCGGTTCTGTCCACGGGACCATGATTCCAGGGATCTTCCAACGAAAGCTGGACCGTCGAAACAGCCCAGCAGCTCTCCGTGACAGGGCTCCAGCCGACGCATAGAAGCGAGCACGAGCGGAGGCGAAAAAGTCAAGCCCATCATTGTGGCCAGAATGCTGGCAGCTTCTTCTTGTATGGCGCGCCATCTTGTTTGAGCATGGACGGCTTCTCCAATGCACAAATGATGACAGGGCACCCGCATCGCAAGTCGACGGTCGCAGCTCGTAGTGACTCGGCCGGTTCAATCTCCAAAAGACGAAGGCGGGAGGCAATCTGGAGCTGGGAAGTTGATAACGAAAGTGGGATCTTGGAGGGGAACGACATAAAAGAGTGGGAATTTACGATGGCCCGTGCACCGACGACAACAGAACAGAATGTACCTTTTTGGCCAACCTCGATATTACTCTGACGTTATTCACTCGCAGTATGAAAAAAAAAAAAAAAAAAAAAAAAAAAAAAAAAAAAAATAAACGTGAAACACAGCGAGGCCAAAAAGGAAAACAAAAAAAAAAAAAAATTTAAACTTTTGGACAACCAAAATATATAAATAAAAAAAAAAAAAAAAAAAAAAAAAAAAAAAAAAAAAAAAAAAAAAAAAAAAAGATTCTTCGTCCAGGAACGGTTTCTGTCCATTTAATATGTTATATCAATCGAGAGAAGAAAAAACTATTTTTTTCAATTATGCAAATCATCGTAGGAAACGGCCTGATTCACAATCAAAGACATAGTCAATGAAAGGTACGGATACTTCACCTTCAATGTCGCCATGGTCGCTGGGGAAGGAAAGGCGCTTGTCCCAAGCAAGGTCCACCTAGCTCCACCCAATCAGAGGAATCTTTGGTTGTCCCCATGACGTTCTCCCTCCGAACCCAGCCCCGTTCGTTGCACCTACCAACCAAAGCCACTCGTAGGAACCACTTCTCAACCACCTCCCATCATCTTCACGCTAAACATCGAACATCGGACGCCGACGATTACACACCAAGCATCAACCACGTCGAGACCGCCGTTGTTCGAAATCCCGATTCCCATCTCCCTAATCGCACCAAATCACGTCGAAGATGAGGTTCGCCACAGCTGTCATCGCCTTTCTCTCCGCCGGTCTTACCCCGGCTGGTGCCAGCGTTCTGGTCCAGAGAGACCAGTCCGTCATTGTCAACGAAGACCTCAAAGTCCCTGGCGACTCACCCTTGGAGCTATGCCCCAAGTCCCACGACGAGGATATCGTCACAATCGATAGCGTAGACCTCTCTCCCAACCCTCCTCAGGCGTAAGTTGTTTGCAGCCCAATCTATGATGAAGCATATCGCATCCTCGTGAAAGGGCGTCAGCTAACATGATGTTCCAGTGGCAAGGAGCTTGTCATCAAGGCTTCCGGCACCGTCAAGCAGAACATTGAGAGTGGCGCATATGTCCTTCTCCAGGTCAAGTACGGCCTGATCCGCCTTATCAGCACCAAGGCGGATCTGTGCGAGCAAATCGAGAACGTCGACCTCGAGTGCCCTATCGAGAAGGGTGTTCTTACCGTGACCAAGTCCGTTGAGCTTCCTAACGAGATTCCCTCCGTAAGTCCGGTCCGTCTGCGCGAATTACTGTCGGATTGCTGACTGTATTTGTAGGGCAAATACACTGTCTTTGCTGACGTCTACACCGCCGATGACGTCCCCATCACTTGCTTGACCGCTCAAGTCGTCTTCTCGCGCAACACCAAGAGCTTCTTCAGCTTGGAGCTTTAAATTAATTACAAGCACACGAAGGTTTACGATGATGGGGCATGGGTTACAGTCACACGTAGCGATACATCCAAATTGTTGGTGGGGTTTCTCTTCATCTCATAACACTGGTAGCATCAGGAATTTGGCATACCGCACTTCAATTTCCCCGTAAGATGAATTCGTTTGAAGGTCCTTTTTGAGTGTTTATTCTGCGTAGGAGTATTGGCATAATGATGCGAACGTACATAGGGTAGCGGTGCTAGGCATGCAGCTCGCAATTTATTCCTGATAGGCCAGTATGGCCCATCCAAAACCAGAATACGCTACCAACGTACCACTTTTTGCCTCTCAGTTCTCACCAGTTCCAGAATACTATGGGTGACAAGCTTATTCGCCAAACAGCCGGCGCACTCTGCGCAGAACGCTGTCCTTCTCGGGGTCGTAAGGGTGGTCCTTGCTCGGAATCTCGAGAACGGTCGGGAAAGCAGCTGTGTACGTATCGACGCGATGTCTTATGCGATCGGCAATCTGTTCCTTCAATCAGCCTTTGTTCTGTAACCAAACGTCTTCCTCCCCTCGATCGTTACTGACGTGCTGGTTGATGAGGATGATGCCGATGTCCTTCCGCGATGTGAAGGATTCAAAGGCAGACTCGATCGCAGAGGTGTCTGTCTTGCCATCCACCACGAGGAAGTTCTTTTCTTGGTCGGCGCCCGTGCTGACGTGCTGTACACTTGTCAGTTATCTCGAGCCGCAGTCGGATCCATTGTTCGGTCGAAAGAGCGCACCCCAATGCCAGCGAGGAGGAGGCCGGTGACCGAGTCCTAGCTGGTTGTCAGCAATTGCAATCGCCCGGAATATCGAATGCAATAGTCCCTACCTCGTCGCCGATGACGGCGAGGAACTGTCGGTCCTTCATATCTGCTTGCGAAGCCATCTTGGATGACTTGTGCGGTTGTAGGAGAACCTGCGACGCCCAGGAGGTCGGCGGACGGATTGACGTACTGCCCTTAATTACCTGTACTGCAGCCGGACTGGCACAGCTCCACTCCAGCACCTCACTGTGGCTGAATTGTTAGCGCTCTCGTGCCAGGCACTGCTTGCTGGAGCCGAACTGCTAACAGGCTCGGATGACCAGACCCCACCCACCTTAGGTAATGCATTTCTGTACGTATCTCCAAGGTGCGCGAATGAATTTACGGTCCATGCACATGTGGATGGTATCCCTGTCGAAAGCTCCTCCTAGCAGCGGGACAATGGCCAAAAATCAATAGGCCCAAACTTCTTTGTAAACAATTCCACCTAGCGACGAAATCGACGACGACAACGACGACAAACGACAACGACACGCCACCCGACCCCGTCGACCACGAAGCCATCGCCACCGAGGCCGCCATAACCCTATCCGTCCAGAAGCGCCTGCTGATGAGAAGAAGCGCAGTCCAACAAGATGCCGCGTCTGGTGCGAAAGAAGCCACTCTCTGAGCGCCTGAAGGCCATGCTGAACCCCATGGACTTCTTGCTTTGGCTGTCGGAAGAACTGGAGACAAGAGATTGGGATTCGAAAGCACTGGGGACACAGCTCGGGCTCGGCTGCAACTTTGTGTTCCTTCTCGCTAGAGCTAATTGCGTAGCATCGGAGATTGAGGATGATGTGTTCAGCGATGGAAGTTCCGGGAGCATCGTCGCCTTCATTGTCAGTAGCATCGCGTGATTTGAATTGCGCATCATATTGGCTAACAGACTGTTAGGTGCGGCCTCTTGTTTGGATGCTTGGCCTCCTATCCGTCGCCAACGCCTTCTATGTCATGACGAGGACAAGGCAGTACCGATTATTTCAAGTCAACGTCGAAGACAAACCACACACCCCGTCAGCCCAGCGAGTCAAAGCAAGGTCCGATCCGGCCGTCTCTTCGCCCCTCCGACTGTTGAACAACCTCTTGTCCTCCGAGACTGCTGAGTCGCGAGCTCATCCCGACAGATCACACGATGTTTGGGAGTTGAGCGTCTGGGACCCTCTTCCGGTCTCCTTGCAGCTTTTCTGCCTCTTCAGCCCTGGCCACGTCCTCGTCTACATGATGTTCCTCCCTCTGGTCCCCTTGGATCCCAGACCCAGTGTTACAATCTTCAACTGCATCGTGTTGCAACTCATTCTTTCTGTTCAGCTGGTCTTCGTCCAAACTCGGTATGCTCAGCAGATCAAAGATACGGCCATCATCCACAAGGAAGTCCTCCACGAGTACGACACCAAGTTCGTGCGGCCGCGCCTTCACCCAGTTGTTCGCGATGTCGGTACGCAGTGTTCCCCCGAAGAAGCTGAGGATGAGGAGTCCTTCGTTGAACTTGGAACGCCTACAACGGTTATAAAGAAGGAGTTCGTGGTTACGCCCAATCCTCACGTGAAGCAGGAGGACCCAGTCCACACTCCTCCAATTAGCAGCTTCGCCTCTCGTCTCTTTACGCCAACCTCGAACCGGCGGTCCGAGTCTTACACACCAGTGCCCAGTACTCGTTCGGTCCGTCAAAGCCTTCCTCCAGCACCTATGTACCAGTCCACTTCAACATCCACCGCAAACGCTGGAGCAACAAGCTTTGGCGGGAATTTGGGTGTATTCAACCACGCGAACTCGCCGCTCAAGAAGACGTCTAGTCTCAATGAGATGAATCAGGGCTTCATGTCGCCCCGGAATTCGAGAGAAATGGCTGCTCGGGAACAGCGTCGGGGAAGCCCGCTGAAGCAGTCAGAGACTAGGAGGTCGACTGGTTCAGATGCCCTTGACCACACGGGTGCTCCGGATTACAACCCATTTGCCAGCGCGAGGAGAAACAGAAGTGCTCAACAAGGGGAACGGTACCCCTCCAGGTGGTCGGGCTTTCATTGAGCGGTGACGTAGTTACCTCAAAAGATGGGTGGAATTGCTCTGGTGGAACATTTGCTTGATGGCTTCAAACTTATTTACAGCAGCATATGGCGGCGTTAGGCTGATTTGGGCGGATGGTCAACTCTGGGCCGGCGTTCTCCTTTGTTAATCGACTCTTCAAGTCCCAGACTGACTTCGTATTCCTGAAACAATATTTCTTTCAAATGTGCATTCATTCGGTGTCATCGTATAAATCCGGTTATCACGGTCAAGGAAGTCAGGCACGGCTGAACTAAGTTCAGGGAAAGGCGGCAAAGATATTAAGGTTCCGGGCATTGTTATAAACGGAGCAACTGCAACACACCGGACTGTATCCGAATTTTAGAAGATTCAGCGCCACCCAATCGTGACAGTACACGATGTCTGGGTAGCTGGAGGCTGAGTCTTCTGATGGGGATGTTGCACTTGCCTTCCGCACAAAAGCGAAATTCGATTCCCCTCGCCTTAGAATTCTGGGCGAGGTGGTGGGAGTCTTGGCAGACTTGCATGAGAACAGAGAAGGCAGTGAAGACTATATCCCTTGACGAAGACGTGACCACACATACTTCCGATTCGTCAGGTAGTATGACCTTCCAGATGACCTGCCGGAGCTCGATGGGCAGTTGAGGGCGCTATTTGGAAGAAGCCATGGTTGGTGATAACTACGATGTTTTGTGGAAGCGAGGCGTCCGGACCAAGCGAAGGTGGTGTGAATCGATGAGCGGTCTAGGGTGGAGAGAGTGAAGATGTCGATTCCGAAGGCTGAATATAGGAAAGGAGGTAAAGAGAATGACTAATAGAGAGGGCGAAGGATATATCAGAGCCAAGACAAAAAAAAGGATGATTCTTGATGTTGAGATGGTAAAAGGGAAGGAAGGAATTCAGAGGGAGCTCATGGAAATAACTCAAGAAAATAAGGCAGAAAGGCATCGCTCAATGCTCAAAAAAATCTTGAGAGAAGGCAAGTACGCCGAAAGCGTTGCACCTGCCTCCTTTGAAAAGATAATTAGATGAAGAAAGATCTTGGCGCATTCATAGCCGTATACGTTAAGTGATTGATACATTTGGTTCTTTCCAAGGGACCCTGTTGATGATACCTATCTGTATGTTTATTCATCTATTGTCATCCCGAACTTCATTGACCGTCTCATGCTATGATAATGCTCTTTCCAAATGTACCCTCTGCTTTGTACTCGATAAATGTCTGTGTCAAGTATTGAACCCTCCTGAAAGTCTTCGCTTCACGCTTCCACCACCGATGAGCCTTTCGCAATCTTCTATCCATACTGTCGAAACACTCCTCGATGATCTTTTCGAGCTCTTGTGTGTACTCCCTCATGCATTCTGAGAGGCGTGATAGATCGCAAGTTCCAATTTCGTCAAATCTTTTTTCTTCAACGGTGTATATCTGTGCATCTGCAGCAGATATCCGGAGTAGCTTGCATCGTGTCTTTGGTGCGTCGAAGTAGGATCCAAAGCAAGACTTAAGAGAGGGATTCCCAACGACCACCGACAGAGTCTCCAGTTTCGGAAAGTAGAATGTGAGTACCCATGCTACCAGGTCCAAGTATTCCTTCTCGCCAGTGATGGCTAAATGACGTGTTTCTTGAAGAACGTGCTCGAATTTGTCTTCGCTGAGATGTCTTCCAGAGATGCCGGGCCCTGATTTTGGCAGAAGAGGGTATCCAAATCTGGCTGGTAAGGTCGAAATGGCACAGAGAAATTGACCGTGTCAATGGCCGAGTCCGGACGCTTGAATTCAATTCCACTCAGCATGGAGTTCTGAACGAATTGCCGAGACTCGTGGCAAACATGCATGAGCACCGGAAACGCAGTATATACCAGCAACGATTGCGGTGTGTCGCATCCGGATGAAACAATGCAAACTTCTGGCTCAACTTGAGGAAGTGACAATTTCCAAATTTCAGCCCGAACTTCCAGAGGCAACTCGCCAAAGAGGTGGAAATCCATTGCGCAGGCGTCGACAACTGGCGATACGGTTCAACGCCGACAAGAGGAGGAAGAGGGCGAAGCACGAAGGGATAGGGGAAGGGGAAGAAAGAACACCATTGAGTTGATTAAAATTCTGGGGAAGGAGCGTTGCCAACTTACAAGCAGCTGCCTTGTACCTCGAGTCAGGGGTTGATAGCAACTGCTGCTCATCGAGCCGTTGCGCCTTGGTGAGGTTGGCTGCTCAAATCTGTCGTCCCTTACTCAGCAAGGATGTTCCTTTCCCAACTGCAACCCATCATTTCCGATCTTTGAAAATCGCCGCACACACCTGGCAACGGGTTCGTGGGTTCTCTTGGTGTCAAAACTGTTTGTTTACTGTCTATCTGTCTGACTACGCAGCATTTCTATCCCCGCATCTCCTCGAATTGAATTATGTCGACCCGTTCAGCTCCAGCCACCGGTCGACCGCCCGACAGACCATCATTTCGAGTCTTATCCCGGCGCCCTGGACAGCAAGTCTCCGAAGGGTTTGGTCGGGGGCCAACTCTAAGCGCGCGTCTTAGGGCCGTCTTTCCAAGCCGCCGGGCTGAGAAGGGTAGCACCCATCGGAATCAAGGGTACTAGGAAACCGCCGAGAAAACCCGGTCAAGATCTAGTCACTCTCCCACAAGTCCTCCTCAAGTAGGGCGGAGCTCTGACCGCATCACTCGTTGGAATACGGCAAAGGAACTGGGTCGTTCTCGGAAAGGCCAATCTTCTGAACCTGAAGCTCTCCTCCGGAGAGCTAACACGATTGCCCACACACCAGCAACTGGATCTTCGAGAGAAGAGCGAACACTGGAAGAACGTCGTTTGGTTCAGCTGGAGCGCAGAACTCTGAAGGAGAGTGGAGATTACCTTGGCGTCACAGGAATCAACCCCCTCACTGGAGAACTGGACGTTCTGACACCATCCACGACCAGCTTCAGCTCCGCTTCCTTGGCCTTCGACCAAAAGCTGGAATCTCGACACAAGTCTGACTCTCGACGTACGCGCCGAGGAGCCGAATTGCTTACACAGGAGGTGACTAAAAAGCTTCAGCAACGAGAAGAACAAAGATTTGCCCAGAAAGATCGAGAAAAGGAGGCCATACGACAAGCACAGCGCAAGGTTCAGTGGCAACGCCATAGGCAGCAGTGGTCTTCTGCAAAAGAGCCAATTCTTAGCCCAATTGCGCAGTCAACCAAGAGCATATCCACCCGTGGTAAGCTGTGCTAGTGTCTACATTTTGCTAGCTCTGGCAGTTGATGTACTGACCATTGAATCAGGGTCTGAAGCGAAAGAAACCCGAAATCTGCCCGAGCAACAAGCAACCCATCGTTTGGGAATGAGCCACACTGATCCCAAATCTCATCTGCCCAAGCATCTAATCTCGGAGGAAAGTGATGCCGATTCGTCCGACACGGTTTTACGAAACCCCCAAAGCAGGCGATCATCCTTTGCATCCACCACGGTCCCGGAGCTCGGGAGAAACGGCCGCAGTCTGAGCAAAGGCCGAGGACCTGAACACATACAGCTCCTGGTTAGCGACGTGACCCCGCCTCGAGATATCAGTGCGAAAAGCCGGCCAGGCCACATAAGGCCCCCAAATCCCATCACCAAAGAGAAGCCCTCGAAAAGGGAAACCATGGAAAAGGATCTACCCCCATTACCTCAAGGGCCTCAAAAGACAGTGTCTTTTTTAGACAAGCGGTGCCCAGAGATAGAGCCGGGAGGCCGGAAAGCTCTCCGGGCCGTTTCCAGCCCAATGGCTCTGCGGAAAGTAGACAATCAGGACATGCTGGGGAACAACATCAATGGGTCCTCAAAAGTACCATGTCTAACTTCAGCCAAAATCCCTACTCGTCGTTCGACAATAGTACTAGCAAGCGTATACATGATGTCAACGACCTCCTTGAGAGGTCATACCCTGCGGGAAACAATAAATCCATGGGAGGAAAAACAGATTATCCCACTGGTTCGAGATCCGGAAGCCCTGAACAGCGAAGAGCACTCGGCAGCAGCGCCACCAGTAGCGGCTTGTCTTTCTTTGACCAAGCAAATGCAAGAGTTCAAAAGCCAGCAGGCAGCCAAGACTCATGGCCTACCAATCATAGCGAACATATCCCCATTCGCGTCATCGTTGATATACCAGAGCGATCTCAAAAGCCCGCTCAAAGGGAACCCGTTGACCAGAAATTCTATCAACGCGCTGGGGGACATCCGCTCCAGGGTGACTCACGAGCCGTCAAGCCTGAAAAGTCTGACTTTCGAGGACCGAGTACCAACTCCAAGAAGGACGGAGATCCACGAGGACATGATATACCAGCGAGAGGTAAGAAAGACGGAGGCTCTGAAGACAGAGACTGCCACCATACCCATCACCACCACTATTGGCTCCGGCCAAGGTCTTTTGCAATCGAGCCCATGCCAAAATCTACCCAAGAGGAAAGTCAGCGAAAGCTGGAGCATGTTGCAGAATCGACGCATGAGTCGAAGATGCGACGAACAAATGTCAACATCGACAGAGAACATCGCGACCGAAAATGTCCGACATCTGAAAAGCGTCAAGAAAAGGATCAGGGCTTTGGTACCAAAAGCAAACCAAACGCTGGCCTTCCAGCACCAAAACGATGCGATCCACAAGGGGGCCGGGAAATACTCTGCGAGAAATTTGGCAGACAGCGGCAGACAGGAGAACCAAGCCGAGGACCCTGTCACATCACACATGTCCATGTCTACATCACACCTAACCGCGTTAGAGCAAGTCAACCAGCAGGACCAGAGCAAGATCGCATCGACGGGGGCGGCGCGGGCCGCAGTGGCCGAGTCGGGCAAAAAGACGGTGGAAACTCAGAAACGGAGCCTCCCAGCGGGAGGAACGCCCAGAGTGCTGCCTCTCAGTCTCAGGAAGCCTCTCCCAGACTGTGTCCCGAGTAGGAGATTGCGGAACAAGTTCAAAATCATGAGGTTCTCGGGCAAAAGCCCGTCGAAGCCAAGCGACAGAGCAGCGGACGTCATAGAATCGGACAACAGCCGCAAGAGTTCGAAGGCGTTTTATGTCATGATAGGGAGAGACGGCAATCGGCAAGACACACCAACGGAGAACGAGAAATTGTCAGCAGCCAGCCAAGCCAGCTGGAAGGCTGGCTGCAGCACGTCAACGACCCTGGTGAACAGCGACTCCGAAGGCGGCGACACCGGAAGTCGTTTGAGAGAAGACATGTTGAATAAGTGTGTGCTAAAGTGCGCCACCCACGGCAAGCAGATCGCGGGGAGCTTGGCTCGATGGTACTGGAAAGCCATATCACCTTGCTTTGATCCGACATCGCCTGCCAGAAAGCGACTTGATGCCAACGAGTCAAACTGGAGGGACGTTGGACTGTTTCTAGTCGCGCTGAGTAGTATCTTCATCCTATTGGCGGTAGCGGTCCGCAGCGCGCAGGGGATTGCGTGGGTGATCCAGATGGTGCAAGGCTTGCTGGGGAGGTTGATTACGATTCTCGGTTGTTAACAGCCGGTGGGTAACGAGAAAGGGAGGTTGTGGAGGAAAGCTTGGCGTTGGAGCCCGAACAACCGCCGATCGGCGCTGTAGGGACCAGGTCGGCTGGGTGAGGCGCTGCGGAGGCCGCACATCGGCTGGGTAGGGGGAAAGAAATGTTTGATAAGACGGAGGCCGAAAGCGCAGCGTCAAATGCACATGATACGAGTTGAACGGGCGCTGTTTGAGCTTATGTGGGGTAGAGGCAGGCCAAGGGGCAGGCCAAGAGTGCAGCGCCAAGAGGAACCTCTTCAGACTTGATTGCCTTGGGTGCTTGGACGGGGTTGGCAGCGCGATGGCAGACGGCCGGGTTGTTGACAGGTTGACAAAATATTGATACCGGTATGCCTGTATGGCTATTTTCATTCATCAAATAAAGTTGCACCGCAGATCGAGCTGCCGGGTTCGCTTTCGCGATGCATGATGAAGTCGGCACCTCGGGCTGGTGGTGGCCTCCGGATTAGCTTGGGACGCTTGTTGGGATGACCATAGGAGGACCGGCCGATGCGGTGAAGCTGCCTCATGCTGAACATTGCGTGGCGACAGCAGTAGCCCGGGCAGTAGCAGCGGCGATCCAGGCCCTATCGTGTTATCGCGCAGTTCTGCAGCGTCATCATCGAGTAAGCCTCGGCGGGCGGATGTTGCATCCAGCTCCAGGATGGGATTCAGGGATTGTTGGTTCACTGCCACGGCTGCTTGAACGGACGGGCGACACTCCGTGGTACGTACTCCTCTTCTCAGTCTTGGGACGGAGCTGAGTACTACTATGTAAGGTACTTCGTAAGGCACTTTGTAAGGTAGAGTTATTAGTGCACAAAAAGTGCCGGGGGCCTGGAATAAGATCGGGACCGTTGAGAGGCAGAAAGTAAGTGAGGTGCTGCAATGCAGCATCGGCATCGCGTCAATCACGTACAGGAGGGGTACAAATGAAACCTGCGCCAGTGTCGATCCTCTTCTACTATCTAGTCTCGCTGGCGCATGTACTGGAGAGAATCTGGCATGTATATATCCGGATCCTTCCTACTAATTACTTAGCCAGAGCGAACAAATAAACGCTTTGAGAGTGAGAGCAAGAGAAGAAAAAAAAGTCAGCAACGGCAAACGACGGAACAAAACGGAGACGTTGCTGGGCCCAGAGGTACAAGTCGGACACATCAGAATTCAACGAGTTGCTGTTTCGGGCGGCGCTGAGCCCATTGGAGCCCACATTACTGGTCAGATTGCGGGCTCTTTGCGTCTCACGTGCGGGACGTGTAGTCAAGCAGTGGAGTTGACAAAGTGCCGAACATGGTCATTGATGGTATGTATCGGGTATCCTCATGGAGAGATTTTTCAAGCATCAAAAGAGTCGTACTTGACATGGTGGCCCACGGTGCCCTATGATGGTGTACGGTGGATGCCCGTGTGGCTCCGTTGCTTCGCGCCCCCTTTTAAGCCTTTAAAAAAGACGTTTCCAGTCTTGCCCGTCTCTCCCACTCCTTAACGCTCCGGGGATAATTGCTGTACCTTATGTGGCGTGTGTTGAGTCTTGAGAAACCCGGGTACTACAAAATGCCCGAGTTCATGGCCGCACCTGAAAGGTTCTCTGGCGTCAAGTGGAATGCGGGACCCCCGGGCCAGGGCACCTTGTGGCGGCGGGCCAATCCGTGGGCGTCATTTGCAAATCAGGGCGCTGTACCCCGCGTTCGCAGGTCTTCCGTCGACCGGACCCGCCTCTGGCTGGAGCTGGCGCCTCCGATAATCGGAACTGGAATCTTTTCGTCCCAGAGCTTCAGTCATCGTTGCTTGTTCCGTTAGCTACCTCACCTCAATACCTGGGTAGGTACCTCATATATGGGACTCTGGGTGCATTGGCGCAGTGGGAAAGGGTCGAAGTACCTGCGGTTTGCGGGCACTTTTGCAGAGGGGCGGGCGGACGGGCGTGCGTGCCTCTTGTTGTCGCCCTTGCACGTCTCTGTCTCTCGCTCCGATTTCGTATCCCTTTTTTTTTTTTTTTTTTTTTTTTTTTTTTTTTTTGGGTATCTATTTATTTTTCAATAAATTCTTCTATTCTCCCGTTTCCGGCAGGAAATGGAAAACAAGAGCGGAAGAGCCCCCGCCCGCCCGCCAGTCACCATGTAAGCTCTCACCCCCCCCCCCCCCTCCCACCCTGCCCCCCCTGGGCCCACCCGGCCCCAGCTACGCATCGGCGCAAGCAAAGCAGACAGAGAGGGACGAAGGCCTCCCGGTCCGGCAGATACATATTGAGCTGCTCTTCCCCCACACCCTGCCACACCCTCCTCCTACCCAAGATATTTCCTACGTTTTCTAATATTTTTCCCGTTCTCCATTTCCAACGTCCTCCCCTCTCACCATCCCTCCCTTGTTTCATCCACTAAATTACAATCGCATACAAACTCACAGCCCCCATCGACACCTCTCACACACAGATTTGATTTGGCATCAGCTTGGGAAACCCCTCACACCAAACAGTTCTCTACAATTGAGGCCGTCTTGACCTGCTTTTGAACTTGTTCCCTCCCGTCCCGAGTTGCACAAAATGCCTGTTGCCGAAGGCACCCCGCAGACTCTCTACGACAAGGTCCTTCAGGCCCATGTCGTAGACGAGAAGCTGGACGGCACTATCCTGCTGTACATTGGTAAGTCTGCGCCTGCTTCCTATGAGCTTTCGCGGAGAATTCATATGCTGACAATGGTTGAAACGCAGACCGACATCTCGTGCATGAGGTCACCTCTCCTGTACGTTGACGCTGCTCCCTTTCCCCCCAAACAGCTTCCTCGTTTGCTGTTTTCGTCCTTCAGCTCGGATGACGTCGGTTTAGCGACCCCACCGTGACACCTCGCTAACAAAGGGCTGCAGCAAGCTTTTGAGGGCCTGAAGAATGCTGGCCGTAAGGTCCGGCGACCGGACTGCACCCTCGCGACGACCGATCACGTAAGTCCCCACCCAAACGCGCGCATGCGAAGACATCGCCGCCCCTCAGTCCCGCAGCGGCGCCCTTTCCAATCGCTAACATATGGCTGGCCAGAATGTCCCCACCTCATCGCGGAAAGGCATGAAGGACATCGGCTCCTTCATCGCCGAGGATGACTCCAGAATCCAGTGCATGACCCTCGAGGAGAACGTCAAGGACTTTGGCCTCACATACTTTGGGCTCGGTGACAAGCGCCAGGGTATCGTCCACGTTATTGGCCCCGAGCAAGGCTTCACCCTTCCCGGCACCACTGTTGTCTGTGGTGACAGTCACACCTCGACCCACGGCGCCTTCGGTGCGCTGGCCTTCGGTATCGGTACCAGCGAAGTCGAGCACGTCCTCGCCACCCAGTGCTTGATCACCAAGAGGAGCAAGAACATGCGGATACAGGTCGACGGAGAGTTGGGCCCGGGCGTCAGCTCCAAGGATGTTGTCTTGCACGCCATTGGCAAGATCGGAACGGCTGGCGGCACCGGCGCTGTCATCGAGTTCTGCGGTTCCGTCATCCGCAACCTCAGCATGGAAGCCCGCATGTCCATCTGCAACATGTCCATCGAGGGCGGTGCAAGATCCGGCATGGTCGCTCCCGACGAGGTCACCTTCGAGTATCTTAAGAACCGTCCCCTGGCTCCCAAGTACAACTCGGATGAGTGGCACAAGGCCGTCAAGTACTGGAAGTCTCTCCAGTCCGACGCTGACGCCAAGTACGATATTGACGTCTTCATTGACGGCAAGGACATCATCCCCACCATCACCTGGGGCACGAGTCCCGAGGACGTTATCCCCATCACCGGCGTTGTCCCCGACCCTGAGACCTTCTCCACCGAGAACAAGAAGGCCGCCGGCCGCAGAATGCTCGAGTACATGGGCCTTACCCCTGGAACCCCCATGGAGGACATCCCTATCGACAAGGTCTTCATCGGGTCCTGCACAAATTCTCGTATCGAGGATTTGCGCGCTGCGGCCCACATCGTCAAGGGCAAGAAGATTGCGGCGAACATCAAGCGCGCCATGGTCGTACCCGGCTCTGGTCTCATCAAGACTCAAGCCGAGGCTGAGGGCTTGGACAAAATCTTTGAGGCCGCTGGCTTCGAGTGGCGTGAGGCCGGCTGCAGTATGTGCTTGGGCATGAACCCCGATATCCTTGCCGCCAAGGAGAGATGCGCTTCAACCAGCAACAGAAACTTTGAGGGTCGCCAGGGTGCCGGTTCCCGCACTCACCTCATGTCCCCCGTCATGGCCGCAGCCGCCGGGATCGTTGGCAAGCTGGCTGATGTCAGAAAGTTGGAGGGATACCAGACCAGCCCTAAGCTTCAGGCTACCATTACTCCCGACAGCGAACCCCACGTCGACGAGCGGGTCGAGGAGAGTGACTCGGAGAAGGACGCCCTTGCGGATCGACCGGAAGACAACGAACCCCATACCAACACCATCTCTGCTGGAACCTCCCTGGGCCTCCCCAAGTTCACCAGCCTCAAGGGTATCGCCGCCCCTCTGGAGAGGTCCAACGTCGACACCGACGCCATCATCCCCAAGCAGTTCCTAAAGACCATCAAGCGCACTGGTCTCGGCAACGCCCTCTTCTACGCCCTCCGTTTCAACGAGGACGGCTCCGAAAACCCCAACTTCGTCCTAAACAAGGAACCCTACCGCAGCTCCAAGATCCTCGTCGTCACCGGCCCCAATTTTGGCTGCGGTTCCTCAAGAGAGCACGCCCCTTGGGCCCTCAATGACTTTGGCATTCGCTGCGTCCTCGCGCCGTCTTACGCCGACATCTTCTTCAACAACACCTTCAAGAACGGCATGCTGCCCATCATCATGCCTGACAAGGAGAAGCTCGAGAAGATTGCCGACGAGGCGCGTGCCGGCCGGGAGGTCGAGATCGACCTGCCCAACCAGCTTATCAAGGACGCCGACGGCAACACCCTCGCCTCCTTTGACGTGGAGGAGTTCCGGAAACACTGCCTCGTCAACGGCCTCGACGACATTGGCCTCACCATGCAGCAGAACGACAAGATCGCCGACTACGAGCGTCGCATGTCCCAGCTCACACCCTGGCTCGACGGCACAAACTACCTCAAGAGGGATCCCAAGACTGGTCGTCTCCTTGCCAAGGCCGTCCCCGTCCCCAAGACGAATCGGGGCGAGACCAAGAAGGAGCCTCTCGAGTGGTAGGTGATCCAAGGAAGACAAAAAAAAAGAGCAGACGAAAACACAAAAAAAATGAATTGGCTTGTTTCAAACAAAGGGAGTTTTGTCATGTAACGTGTCTACGATACGAATGTGGGTTATGGCTTTTTGGGGACATTCATCTGTCCATAGATGACAACCTATCATCACACTGGCGGCGATTTGGGGATATTCAAAGAATATGGTATAAGTGGCTTTTCATTCACAAGAAGCTGCGAAAAAAGTTTTGAAACGAATTAGATGCGCAGTTCGTCACAGAACAGAGTTTTCGCAAACTTCATCTTCCAATCTCCAGGCCCCCAGTGAAATGACTCTTGTATATCTTCAAAGGCCATCGTACCTGGTGGTGGATGTTGATACGCTGCATATTTTGGACCTACGGGGTTTCAGACATCAACTTCAGGTTCCCTCAAGATGCCGACGTGAACAACGAAGCCAGACTCGATCCTCAATCCCGCAGGGAGCAACTCATCCGGCACGCGCCAGATACGAAAGTCGCGATGGAAGGCGCCGATCCATTCCTCAAAGACGTCGGGGCTGCGGAGCTGCTGCGCCACGATGCAGACGCACGGCTCGGGCCGGTCCGGCGTCGTCGTTGCCGAGGAGGAGGACGGGAAGTTGTCAGCCTTGTCGTCCTGCTGGGCGCGGAGGCGGAGGCGGGCGAGGTCGGCGGTGGTGGAGACGAGGGGTTCGACGAGGGCCTCGTTGTAGATGCAGTCGCAGCAGACGACGGCGTCGAAACTGCGGGCGAGGGCGGAGCCCGTTAGGGAGGCGTCTGGGGTGTCGAGTTCCCAGTCCAGGGGGCGGAAGTCGATTGTTCCCGGGGTTTGCGACGACGGTGTTGTCGTTGATGATGAGGCGTAAGAGGAGGTTGCTGTGTTTGCTGCTTTTCGTGAACGGCGTGAGGACGGGGACTTTGGGAGGGGGTTCGCCTCGAGGTTTTGGTGGATCATGCGCGCGACGTAGGGCTGGTCTGTCAGGACGTAGCGGGCGATGCGTGGGGCGAGGAGGAGGGCTGTCAGCGGGGAGATGCCGCAGCCTAGTTCGAGGACTGTGGAGGACGGGGTGAAGATTGGCGAGAAGGGGGAGGTTGGGGAGGAGAGGTAGGTTGCGAAGAGGGGGGTTATTTTCCAAAGGACTGTTTGCGGGTTGTTGCTTTTAGTCAGACTGGAAAATTGAATGGCATCGGCATCTTGGGATAAGAAACTAGAGTGAGGTTGAAATTGAGGTTGAGAGCAGGTTTGACTAAAATGACAAGGGGGTGATGGAGAATGGGTCTGTGATGATTTGACTTTAACGTCGAGGGGGGAGAAGGATAGAAGTACTGACCGGCCCCGGTCGTGCCTCCGGCGCGGGTCGATGAGAGGACCGTAGGGGACTGGTGGATCGTGAAGTCTCTGCCCGCTAGTGTCAAGGAAAGTTCTGTGGCTTTTGGGTCGATGAAGCCCAGATTCGAGGATGGGATGTTGTGGGAGAAGAGGAAGAAGGTTTCTGTAGCACATCGCGACGCTCCCGTGTAAGTGGTTGCTGTGGTTAGGTGATCTATTTCATTCGATGGGATGACCTACCCTCTTCGGGATCAAGGATTTCATCCTCGAGGGTGGAGATGAGAGCTTTTACGGCCATTGCTGCTAGCTGTCATTGAGCGAGACGAGAAGCACGAGATGGGAATTGAATAAGTATACTAGTTTATTGAAAAAGTGGACACAAATGTTAGCACGCTTGCGGCTTCATCTTGGCGTGTCTGTAAGTAAGGTGATGTGCGGTGGTGGGTGGTGAGGAGGCAGGAGTAAGGCGCGCGGCATCCTGTGCGGAGGACGGACGCACAGGAGGGCGGGTGTGGGGAAATGGGGGCCATTTTTCGGCGATAAAAACCGGAGCAAAATTCGACGACGAGACGTGGGGCTTGGGTCTCCGGCTCGCTGAAAACCCTCGCCAGACGTCAATCCGGTCAGCCGAACCTCTTTTGAAGACATTTATAGAGAAACGGGGGTTGAGGAGTTGCTCATGATGATGATGCTCAAAAACTTGAGTTGAGAAGCGTGGTACGGGTGGGCGCGCCCTGGATAGTTTGGTGGGTTGGAAGAGACTAGATTTGGGATGTGTCGTTGGCTTAACGTCGTAACTGGTAACTGTTGATCTATTTGGAATCGCGGCATTATGAAGATGGATTTGTAACAGGTCCAGTTTTTGTCTGCCGTCCGGCCCGATTCATATAATGTCTTTGTAAAACTACGCGGCCAGCATCAGCCTCAGGGGCGTGTACCATTTCTTAGTTGAGCATCGAAAAACTCCATCATGCATGGACACTCGTAGTCTTAAACTGTAATCTTTGCTTCGGTCATTCGGGCTCGTCGGGGACATGGCAAATATTAGACGAAAATATTAGTGTTTTGGCAATATAACACGAACGGAATGATCATCATCAAGAAGTCAAGATTGGCCTAGAATGTCATTAGAAGATTACTGTTCGGAAGGGTGTTATTCTTAGTTTGATGCTGCGTCTCACCATGCAATTATAATTGTGTTGCTTGTTTTCCAACGTAATCGACGTTTACAATCACGGTTAACAAGTCACTCCGCCTCTGTCTAATATCCGATTCTGCGGGCAAGGACACCGAAACCGACGGCCACTGAATATAGACCAATACCTGATTAACTTTGTCTTGGCAAAATTTAAAGATTCTCGTATCGCTAAGATTATAGACGTAACCAGTAAGAATTGTGACGTCGTTGATATTAACCAAAATATTTATTTTTTCATGCGCCTGGATTTGTACCAGACTGGTCTTGACATGACTCTCGAAATTTGAGGCCATCGTGTAAGTGTCACGAAGAACAGGACTTGGTCGAATATTTTGAGGAAAGGCCGGAATCCGCCATATGTACCTACCATATTCTTCCCGAAGGATTCATAACCTACACGACCAAGAATCATGATATAAATCAATCGAAATCCGCATCATCTTCCACAATGAACCAACAAACAATCAGTCTTATAGCCGCACACTCTCTTACAATATAACCATTTTACACACATTTCACATTCTTTTGATCTGTCTCTCTTTATCATCCAATGGCTGGACAGCAACTTCTTGTGCTCGGGCTGACGGTCATTGCACTTTGGGCCTTCCTTTTTTATGGTCTCGACCTCTACCGTGCTGATTCGAGACCGTATTCCGACATTCAAATTTCCAAGGGATTTTTACCCAAGGGCCAATCTACCTTTGGTGTCGCCACTGCGGACACCAGCTTGTGGATCCACGTCAAGGGAGCCAGCAATGGCTTTAGCAAAGACAAGGATGGTTACGTTTCCACAAACTCTGACCGAAACCTGGCCGAGTCCTGGATCAACCTTTTCCTTCATGGAAACGGTTACGTTTACCGCATCTACTCCGCACCCAACATCATCGACTGCCAGGGAACGCTACAAAAATACAACCCTTTCCCTTGAGGAGGCCGAGTTCGCCGCTCTCGGTGGCATCAAGGGCAGCCAGACCATTGGCTGGGCCCCCGTCAGAAGCGGCGTCAGGAGAAAGGAGGATCTGAACTATCACGAGTTAGAACACAAAGTAATGGACATATGACGTACGTAGAAAGTGGCTTGTATTAACCCAAAGTGAACAAAGTAAAAGGTCAAATCTATAGACTGCGTGATATTGAAGGACACGTGAGAAAGCACGTGGCAGACGACTTCGTCTGTGTTGATACTAGGCCATATTTTGTGACATGAACCCCTTCTATCAAGGCAATATCTACAGCCACATGGGCACCGGCGGCCTGGAGTTCAAGCTCGCCGCTTTCCCTCCCAACCACCCTGCTTAGGGCGAGGCTTCCTGATCGCATTTCGCCTCTTGCACGCGTAGACGTTCCGTCAGGGACCTCTTCCAGATTGAGAAAAGCGCTTGCTGGGCGTTTAAGAGCAGCCTGGACTACGTCAAGGAGTACCTCGACTATGTCGACGCCATCTGCCAGCTTATTCTGCTCGCTAAACAGACGTATACTGATACTCTCAAGCGATACGTAAGTGAAGTTGCCTGTGAAGTGGCTGCCGAAGTCTTTGCCGGGAGACCATGACTCACTTTGTGAATTGAAGCGAAGAGTTGTGGGGCGCCGCAATTGTCTCAATTTCTCAAAGCGAGTCCATTGTAAAACACGTCAGATCAGCGAAGGGCGCAACTCGAAATATTTTAGCTACAGGTTTTTTTTTTTTTTTTTTGAATTCTGAGTGATATTCTCGAGTCTATGTTTCATGCTCGCTGTCAATTGGCTCTTCTTGGTGTTCAGTTGCGATAGCTGCTCTTGCGTCCTCCTACGGTGTCGCCCGACTCCCACCGGAATTACTCCCTCCTTCTTTAGACAGCAATGGTGTGGAATACTAGCAATTCAATATCAGACAGCCGTTTAGAAGTTGATTCTTTGGAACGGAATGGCACACAACATAATCATGGCAAAGGGTAGGCCAAGCGTCAAAGCAATGATTCCTAGAATGATCTTCGCCTCAATCCCCGCTAGGTTCAAAGTCAAGGCTGACCACACTTAGCCGTTATTTCAGTATCGTTTTTGCTGCTTTCATGATCAGTTTCATGGTGGGCGGCTTGCAGTTTGGGTTTGGTATTTACCAGGCGCACTACGAAACGATGGCTCTAGAAGACGATACCCCCTTCACCGCTGCTACGGCCGCCCGAATCGACCTCATCGGAACCATTGGTATCTCAATGATGACTATATTTGCACCTGTTGTTGTCGCATGGTCGAAAATAATTGGTCCTCAGCAAGTTATCTGCGTAGGCGGTCTCCTTTTTGGAGGGGCCAACGTTCTGGCAAGCTTCGGCCGAGAGTTGTGGCATTACCAGATCTCGCAGGGGTTCCTACTAGGAGTGGGATCTTGCCTCTCTTTCGTTCCTTCAATGGTAATCGTCCCGACTTGGTTCGATAAAAACAGGGCGCTGGCCATGGGTATCGTCTCTGCCGGAAGCGGTGTTGGCGGCCTGGTTTGGGCCCCGGTGCTTGCAGCGTGTATCAGAAAGCTGGGCTTCCGTAACACGCTTCGTACGACTGGTGCTCTCGCTGCGGTTATTGTCTGTGTTTGCGGGGCAGTTCTCACTTGGGAACCCGCAAAGGCGGCTCATGTACGCAGCGAGGGCACGACGACATCTCGATTCAGGGGGCTCTTCAATATCCCGCTGCCACCATGGAAGATAGTAAAGCAACGCAAATTCATCGCGCAAAGTTTCAGTATGTTCTCGCAGAGCGCAGCGTACTACACACCTGTGTTCTTCTTTGCGTCATACGCCAAGACCCTGAAATATTCGGACAGCGACGGTGCCAACCTCACTGCCGTAAACAACGCTTGTAACGCTGTGGGAAAGATTGCCATTGGGTTTGTGGCGGATCGCATTGGAAGGCTCAACGCGTTATTTATCACAAGTGTGATCTGTGCTGCTGTCACTTTCGGGTTATGGGTTCCCAGCATGGCCATAGGTATGAGCCATGAGGCCGTAGCAAGACCGCTGTTCGTCAGCTTTGCGGCTCTATACGGCATTTTCGCTAGCGCATACGTCAGCTTGTTTCCGCCAGCGCTGGTTGAACTATTTGGCATGAATCAGATGCCACAAATCACCGGGATCATGTACATGATCATGGGAGTTGCTTCAATGATTGGGACCCCAGTGGCTGGTGCCCTAGTAAGGGGACATGGAGAGATCAAGACATCAGGTGACTACATGGGGATGGGGATCATGGTAGGCACTCTCATGGCCGCGGCAGCTATCTTTGTGGCTTGGGTGAGATTAGAGGCGACGGCAGATCGTGCTCAAGGAGGTTGGAAATAGAGATGGAAGCTGTAAATATCGACAACTTGAGGATAGTGAAACTTCGCCTTTGCGCACTTTTCCCAATCGCTTCCCAAGACCTCACGTGGCATATTGTAAATCCTGGTTGTTCCTTTCATAATCAAAGTTGCTTGCCTCTTTTCTTTTGAAAGAGTCACCCACTGATCCAATGAACAGAAGGCCCTTCATTATGGAACAGCTTTGATGGCTTGTTCTTGGATGGCAAAAGCGGCCTTTAGCATCTGGAACGACTTCGCTCGATGATTTTTAAGAGCGAATTGCCACTCAAAGAAGTACCTAGATGTCCAGCCTTCCTACTTCGAGAACCAAAATCGATGGCCCCTCGCTGATGTGGACGGAAAGCGTTTGCAGCTGGGCAGTTCCGTGACGTTGACCGTGCAGGATACCTATTAGGCAGCCATCACTTTAGACGAGCAGAGAAGATAGACGTGCAGCAAAATTCTCTCTAAGAACTTTCATTCTTGCATAAAGTGGCCATGAGTACAGCTTTGATCCTCATCGTTTGTAACCCGCCTGTCGAGCTGTCTCATTGGCCGTTTACTTCCGCAGCAAAACTTTTGGAGGGCTCTTGGCGAAAGTGGCACACTGCAAACGCGAAGGAAGCTTCTTGAAAAACCTTTTCAGTTCCCAGAGAATGCCTTTTCATCCTTTCAACCTTCAAAAACTTCTCGATTCCCCGGATACACAAGAAGACTTTTAATAGCACCGTTGACTGACGGCTTCTTTCCATTCCAACGCCATGGCTCCCGCACATTCCAAAACGCATGACACCGGTTTGGGAAACCGAAACCTCCTGGATAAGATAGACAAGTTGAGAGAACTTGGGGTTTCCAAACAGATCGCTCTCCCTCAGGTACCCGACCTCACCCCGTTGACGACACCTCATACTGAACTAAGCCGAACGCCAACAGCTCGTCGTCGTCGGAGACCAGTCTTCTGGAAAGTCCAGCGTTCTTGAGAGTCTCACCGGATACTACTTCCCTCGATCAGTTGGCCTCTGTACCCGCCACTCCACCGAGATCGTCTGTCGTCGAGAAGCCATACCCAGCATTGTCGTGACCATTCAGCCTGCTGAAGCCACCCCAGAGAGGGCTGAGCTTGCGAGGTTGTTCCGGCATGAGCTGAAGGAGTTGAAGGGTCAGGCGTTTGCAGATGTCCTTCGGGAGGTGAGTTGCCTATATCTCCCAATACTTCTAATTTCCCTCACCTTTGGTCCATCCCCCGGACATATTGTATCGTATTCTTGCACCCACGGCCTTACGACTTGGCCAGTGTCAGCTGACCGTTTCCAGGCTGCGCGAGTGATGGGCTTGAGGAGCAATGAGGACTCTGAAGGTGCTTCTTTCAGCAAAGATGTCCTTCGCGTTGAGATTTGCGGCCCTCACGAGGAGCACTTGACAGTCATTGACGTTCCTGGTCAGCCCCGACCCCATTGCGTCTGGGGCCCGCCGCTAACTTGAATTTGAAGGCATATTTGAGAATGCACAAGATGGTAAGAGGATACTCGCACGATTTCTCTCGCCTTTTAGTTCTTCTGACTTCATTACCAGGCATCTCGACAGCTAGAGACGTTACCTTGGTCAAGTCCATGGTGAAAGATTACATCAAGGATTCGAGAACGATGTGAGTTCCCTCTTACCAGGTCTGCGCGGTTACTTACTCGAATCATTTATTAGCATTCTCGCAGTCATCCCTTGCAATGTGGATGTAGCAACCCAGACTATTCTCACCTACGCTGCCGAAGCTGATCCCGAGGGCAAGCGCACATTGGGTGTCCTCACAAAGCCTGATCTCGTGAGCGAGAACGCCACCCGTGAGGCAGCGATGGACCTTGTCCGCGGTAAGAGACGGGATATCCAGGTGGGCTACTACGTAGTCAAGAACCGTGGCGCCGACGATACTTGCTCCAGCAAAGAGGACCGCGATCTCGAGGAGAAGATGTTCTTTGGTGAGGAGCCGTGGTCTAGACTCGACAAGTCTCGCCTGGGAATCCCGGCATTGCGCATCCGTTTACGCGAACTACTCATGGACCGGACCAAGAGCGAGTTTCCCAATGTTAGACGCGAGATCAACGAGCGTCTTGCCGAGGCAAAGGCTCAGCTCGAGGCCCTTGGACAGCCTCGAAGCACAGCCGACGAGCAGCGAGCATACCTTGGCAAGATTGTGAGTCGATTCACCGAGTTGAAGAACTTCGGTTTGGACGCCTATTACACGGGGGATCCCATCTTCGAAAAGCATCCAGAGTTCCGTCTTGCTACCCGGATTCGCGAATTGAATGCGGCGTTCTCGTCGATGTTCTTCAAGAGCGCTCACACCCGCCATTTTGATGGCCTGAGGAGAAGCTGTTGGTCAAGACGGACGACTCTGAGTCCGGAGCCGCTTCAGACGGCGACAACAGCGAGGATGAGAATGACACAAGAGACGACCTCTACGATATTACATTCCCGTTGCCATCTGATGAGTATGGTGAGCTCGATGTAGTCCTGTCGGAACCCTGCAGATGCCCTGCGCCTCAGGATGACAGCATCATGAAGCATCTTGAGCAGCTATATCTCAAGTCTCGCGGCTTTGAGATGGGCACAGTGAGTAAATCCCGACGGTCTACCTCATTTTTCTGAGCGTTGTAAATTGATAGAATTGTAGTTCAGCAGCCACATGCTACCCACAGCCTTCAAGGAGCAATCCAAAAAGTGGGAGTAAATCACATTGGCCCATGTCAGCAACGCGATTCTTATCGTTCATCACTTCATCTACGGTGTGGTCAAAGAGTCTTGCGGTGATAGTCAAGTTCTTGAGGGGCTCTGGTCTTCGATTCTGGAGAATCTCGTAAGCCGATACCAGATGGCGATGAACCAGGCGAAGTTGCTCATCCATGTCGAGAGAGAGGGTCGCTCCATCATTTATAATCCTTCCTTTGACAGAGCGCTGAACAAGGTCAAGGCTGAAAGAAACGCCAAGAAATTTGACGACCTCAAGGTCTGCCTTCCTCTGGACATGGAGAATACCGACGTTGTCAAGTACGACGACTTGAAGAAGGCACCATCTCCTGCAGAGGATATCAGCGCGACTAGCTGCATCATCCATGATGTCCTGCAGAGTTACTATGAGGTTGCCAGTGCTCGTTTCTCGGACATGGTCTGCACCCAGGTCATCGACTACGTCCTTCTCGGCGCGAACAACAGCCCTCTCAATGTTTTGTCGGCGAACCGCATCTTCAAGATGACGGCTGAGCAGTTGGACATGGTTGCCGGCGAAGACGCCTTGAGCAAGTCTGCTCGTGAGATGTTGAAGAATGACATCAAGCTATTCGAGCAGGGAAGGAAGGTTCTTCGCACTTGAATGCGGCAAGGGCCACAAGGGGTGCTTTGGGGGTAGGATTGAAACTGGAACCGTTCTGCTTCCTTTATGGCTCTTCATTCTTAAGTCGGGTAATTCGCTGCCGGGTTGAGACTGCAGGTAGCTCTAGTGCAGGGCCGCACGTTTTCATCATAATATCTCGGACTGCCGTTCTTGCTGCCCCTTCTCTTTCGTGTTTGATATGAACCTGAGGCCATGTGTCACAGAGTCAGTCAATTGAGTTGATGCCAGGCCCACAAGACGAGGCCAGTAGCAAGAAGCAGGCATTTCCAACATCGGCATGTTGAGACAAAGAGAATAAATGACGAAGGCGCTGGCTGACCTGGCTCCAGTCAGACGAGGTGCATCCTACTGCAGCATTGATGTGGTATGTGGTCAAGGATTGTTGAATGTCGCTGTGCCAGGCGGGTTGATCCGTCGTTATTGACATTGGACCACTCCGTCTCTGATGCACCTGGTGCCGATTGAACACATCGCGCTCGTTTTCTGTGAGGTTAGTTGAAATGAGTCGAACTTCGGATTATAAAGCTGCATAGCCGACGTTATAGCCGCCCTAGCTGACGGGCCTTGTATGAATCATCCCAGCTTTCAGACCACCATGCCATGCAGTCAGAGAAGTACTATGTAGAAAGAGTCATCGTCGGCAAGTGGGTTTTGAATGGCAGTTTATCCCGAGCTGTGTGTATGTGTTTCTGCTCCGGAACCAGGACGTCTCTCAGCTATACTGGTTAGACTGAAGCAACCGGCGAATTTGTGCCTCCCGCCTTGGAGAGAGGCACTTCTGATCTTAGCTGCGAGTCAATCTTACTGGGCATAAGCCAGCCCGGAAGGTTGCAACAACGAGTCAAACCAAAGCAAGTCGAATCAATGAACCACGCCCAGGCCGGCTCAGGAGGGCCCCTCTCTCTGCCGATAGGGTGCGGCGAATAAGACAAGGAAGGGATCCGCCGTGCGGTATTTCGGGGTGGATCTGGCAGGGGAGACAGGAGATGAAGAAAAGCTTGTGGAAGCTTGTGCCAATTCCAACGTCGTAACGACCCACGTGACCGCGCTAGGAGGGCCAAGAGGGGCAATGGCACCGCCGTGGTCCGCTCCACGTTACGCTAACGTCCGCCCTACATACCGCATCCGAGGGCCCGAAAGAGGGTGGCCCCCGACTGCGAACGTTGAAACGTCCCTCTTCGCTTAAACCAGCAGAGCCGATCAAGGTGAAAGCAAAAGCGATCCCGTACTTTACTCGTGGGAAACGCCCAGCCAACTCTATTGCACCCGCAGACAAAGGGAAAGAGGCCCGTTGTACGGATACCTGAGGCTCCTCCGGGAATCCTCCGGACCATTTCCCCCCACAAGGAGCGCACATTTACCGTTGTTTCTAAACTACTGCATCGATGGGACTGCCACTCAGGCCACACGAGACGAAGCACATCCCTTTCGACGCTCCTCCTTTACCCGTACCTTGCAGATACCTTACATCGACATAACATCCCATACTACGACCAGATCAGACCCTTGGAACCTGGAAGGGGAAGGAGGGAAACAAGGGTGCTGCTGCGGGCGGACCTTTTCTTGTCGATACGCAAGCTCACTGACCCGGGGGACCACTTGGCGACCTTTGATCCCGTTTTTTCCCTTTCAGTCTCCCGCCAGCCAACTGCCGCGATGGGTCGACTCGCCGACGTCGCTACGTCGGCCTATGAGTCCGTAAGGGGTCTGCTGACGGGCAAGGCACATAAATACAACGCCATCCCGGACGAGGAGGGTGAGAGGGATGATGTTGATGAGTATCGTGAGAGCAACTCGTCGAACCCGAAACATCGACTTTGCCTTCTCATAATCGCCGCCATGGTTTTGGCTATTTCCCTCTCATTAGCCTTGGGCTTCAGGTGAGCCTTTCATTTTGTACATTTAACTGCCGTGATCCCGTCATAAACCACATACTTCTTGATACTCACACTTTGCAAATAGTCTCGTTAGCGGCCAGGCACCGCGCAACGGGCTCGAGTCCATCTCGCAGTTCTGGGGCCAGTATTCGCCCTTTTTTCCCGTGCCGTCTGAAATCGACACCGCCACACCCCAGGGCTGCGAGGTCACCTTCGCACAGGTCCTGTCGCGGCACGGCGCCCGGGATCCCACCGCCGGCAAGACGGCCACCTACAAGGCGCTCGTCGATCGCATCCACGCCAACGTCACCAGCTACGGCAAGGGCTTCGAATTCATCAAAATGTACCAGTACACCCTCGGCGCCGACGAGCTGACGCCGTTCGGCCAGAGGGAGCTCGTCGACTCTGGCGAGGCATTTTATAAGCGCTACCAGGCGCTGGCGGCCAATAATGACCCCTTCATCCGGTCCTCTGGCCAGAATCGCGTCGTCGAATCGGGCTTGAATTGGACCGAGGGCTTCTTCGGGGCCAAGCTCGCCGACGGCCACAGCGGGCCCGACGGAGGCATCGTCAGCCTTATCACCATCATCCCCGAGGAGAAAGGCATCAACAACACTCTGGATCACGGCCTCTGCACCGCATTTGAGGACGGCGCCTTCTCCAAGGTGGGCGACGAGGCTCAGGTCCCCTGGCGCGAGGCGTTCACGCCACCCATCAAGGCACGCCTCAATGAGAACCTCCCCGGCGCGAACCTCACGGCTGCGGATACCATCAGCTTCATGCAGCTGTGCCCCTTCAACACGGTGGTCAACGGCACGCAGTCGCAGTTCTGCGACCTCTTCACGATGGAGGAGTGGAAGGACCTTGAGTACTACGAGACGCTGGGCAAGTACTACGGCTTCAACGCGGGAAACCCCCTCGGACCGACGCAGGGCGTGGGCTTCACCAACGAGCTCCTCGCGCGCCTGACGGGACAGCCCGTGGTGGACCGGACGTCGACCAACGTCACGATGGACGCCGACCCGGCGACGTTTCCCTTGGACAGGAAGCTGTACGCCGACTTTAGCCACGACAACGACATGATGGCCATCTACGGGGCGCTCGGCCTGTACAACGAGACGCAGGCGCTGTCCAAGACGAACCGAACTTCGGTGACGGACACAAAGGGGTTCACGGCCAGCTGGACGGTGCCGTTTGCTGCGCGCATGTACGTGGAGAAGATGAAGTGCGGGGACTCAGACGAGGAGCTGGTCCGGATCTTGGTGAATGACCGGGTGGTTCCGCTGGTGGGGTGCGGTGCGGACGGGCTCGGGCGGTGCAAGCTCGGGGCGTTTGTAGACAGCATGGGGTTCGCCAAGAGCGGAGGGCTCTGGGACCAGTGTTTCGTGTGATACCCAGAAGTACACCAGAGCAAGGTAGACTTGCAATAGAGGGCAGGAAATTTCGAATGAATAGAAGCAGAATTCTCACCAAAGTTTGAGAGGACAAGACTTGTTGCCCACTCATTGCGACCCTCGTGGGAAAAAGCCTGGGAACAAAACGTGCCAAGTGTCAGTGTCAAGCCAAGTGTCCGGTTGGTAGTGGTGGCACCAAAGTTTCAGTCGACTAGGGGCGCATCAGGGTCCGGGTCTGGCAGATGGCGCGGCAGGACGTCCCTGGCTTGCGTGAGCTCGAGCCATTTGGTGGTAGACCCCTTCAAAGAGGCTTTGGGTAGATGTGAGTGAGCCAAGGCAAGGAGCTCTGGTAAGAGCTCTGGTAAGAAGCCCTCGTGCAGCCGCAGCTGAAAGACGTTGCTTGCCTGGTTCATCCGCCCGCGCTGCAGCAACTCCCTTCAGGCACCAGAAACATCCCGTTGCCCTGATAAGAAGATAAGGTAGCATCTCCATGGCTTCGATAAGGATCTGACCGAGAGATGTTTCCTGTCTCGACTAAATGCAAGGGGGTCAAGTACGCTCTGCGCTATGAATAGCGCCAGGCCGCACGCCACGTTTGGATCTCGAATGGCGCCAGCAAGGCACAGATGAGCAGGGGTTTTTACCGTATAGGTGGTTTCGTTCCGACAGCTCACAACTGCACCCTCTTTGAGAAGTAAACCTGCCCCAAGAGACGTCACTGGCATCGTGGTTGATGGAATGCGCAACCTCCTGCGTCCGGCGCGCGTCCGGCCCCAAGTTCATAACTCCGGGTCTCTTGCTGCTCTTTATACGGCAAGGATCAAACGACAGACTCGGAGCTCCATTTTTGTCTTTGTTGAATTGGTCACTGCGATGCGTCGCACGTCGCACTCTTGTTGAATGGAATGCGCACGCATCCTAGCACCAGCCCGCGCGCAGTCTTCCTTGCTTCGCCTTGGGAACCAACCCAACCATGCCGCAGAGGAGAAGATGACAGAGATAATTGGGCAGCAATAGCAGCAGCAGCAAAGCGCGAAAATATCTCACAGTCACAGCTCGTTCCCCGACTTTAGGTAATCCATAAAAAAAAGGGCACCAAGCTGCCGGGTTTCCTCATACATTGTATTCAGGATTCGATTTGCGGACAGCAAGGTGGAAGATGACCTAGAGATGGAGAATGGAGGTGGGCGCGCTGACGGAGCCCACGAAGCTAAAGGTGATTGGGGGCCGCTTCTATTGGCAGATATTCCATAGGCTGGTGGCTCTTGCAGCTGCAACCAAGAAACTGCCCGCCCATGCTGCACCTTCTCCATCCTTCTGCGCCAACTTTGTTGCATTTCGTAGCTGCCTTGCATTGCCCTGCCCCAATCCTCCACCAAGGAAACAAGCCGAACCGCCATAAGGTAGCTCGCCGTTGTTGGATGTGTGCTTCTTTCAGGGCACCTCACCTACCTTCCCTGACCTAATACAGTACAGCTGAAAGCTCGGGGTCACTGCTACCTCACTCTGCTGACCTCACCTGGCCTTGCGCAACATCTGCACCTGCACCACCAAACCATACGCCCGCTGCCTCATCAAACAAGGTTTCGACGGGCCTGGTCTTCTTGCTTTCCTTTCAATCCACCTCATCTCACCTCACCTCATCATACTTTGGTACGAAGCTTACCGATACTTTTTTCCCTCCCACTCTCCTCTCTTCTCCTCGTCCTGTGTCGCCCGTCTTCTTTCCTCTCCCGGAGCGGCTCTCACTAAGCAAGTACGTCTTATTTCCCGACGGGTGTCCGTGTCCGTGTCGCACACACAGCCCAGAACCAAAGCTTCCGGCCAGCAAACGAGCAAACGAACATACGGGCCAGCGAAACCACCACCGCCGCCACCACCAACAACGGCCCATCTCACTCGACAGCCTTCCCATTAGCCGGACTCTCATCATTCGTCGAGCGCCTTCAACCACCACCACCACCGACGACTCCCTCACTTGTCGTTGCTTGATCGACGTATTGCTGCTGAGAAACGCTTCGGTTCCCCCGCAACGCCAAGCGCACTTTCCTCACACCGTCGCAATTGAATCGAAACCATGGTGTCAGCCGCTGGAGGCATCGTTATCGCCATCCTGGTCCTCGCCATCGTTGGCGGCGCCAGCTGGATCATCTTCACTCAACTGCGCGCCCGAAGACTAGGTGTACGTTACAAGGCTCCCCACTCCCAGCATCTTTTTGCAGAATATATCCTGTGACTAACTTGCATTGAACAAACAGCTTCCACCCCCCTCACTGTCCTCCTACATACCTTTCCGAAAATCCGATCCGCCGCCATCATACGGAGCTCCGCGCCCCGCGCCGAGCGGCATCGCTGGCTGGTTCAGCGACAAAATCACCTCCTTCAAGAACCGCAACAACCGCTCTGCCGCCGGAGCCTACGAGCAGCCCTCCGGCGGTGCTGGTGCGCCCCGCCGCGGTTTCGGACCACTCGATCCCGATGAGGCGTGGGATGCGCGCGTAGGCCACGAGGCCGAGACCTACGGCCCCTATGGAAATTACGAGGAGCAGGAGCTGGGGTACCGCGGTGGCAGCAGCAACGACAATAGCTATAGCATGAACCTGGCCGCAACTCCCAACCCACACGATGAGCCGGCGCGGGGCCGCAGCCTCAGCCGGGACGATGACGGTGGTCTGGGCCCCCACAAGGCGGGCGGTAGGAATCCGTTCGAGGACGATGCTGAGCCGAGTAACATTAGCTTGCGTGGTGTCAGCCCTCGGCCGATTGTCGACACGGGCGCATCGCAGCAACAACAGCAGCAACAACAGCAGCAGAAGGACAGCGGCGAGAGCCCGACGGAACGGAGGTCAATCTTCCGGGAGAACGTATAGGACGGCACGACATGCCGGTTGCGAAAATTCCCTGTCAATGAGACCGCAAAGCACAAAGATGAGAAACTGGACGAAAGTCTTGGAGGGAGCAGAGGATGGAAGATGATGAAGATGGCACTTTGTCGTTTTGGGATGCAAAGCGACGAGGGTAACGAGTACGGAAAGCGGGCCGGGAAAGTGGGAGTAAATGGGTCTCCGGGACATGTCACGATTGGGAATGTGCAAGATATGGTTTCTCATGAGAATTCAATGGCGTTGGGCTCTTTTTTCTTCTACTCGCATTGTTTCTCGTCTCTAGCCATCGTTTTGCGCGGTAGATATATGAACAGAACGAACCGCCAAACAAATTTCCTCAGATTTTGGGGGCGGGAAACGGGAAAAAAAAGTTAGTACTCGCTGTTTGCGGCATCCTGCCGGACCGTCCGGCCAGGAACTTTGAAAAAAATACCCCGGGAAATGAAGAGTCGACTGGTCTCCACTAGTTGATTAGGCGACAAACGTTGCAAATCACCTTCGACATTGAGATAGGTAACCGCTTGTATCGACGTCGCCTGATTCCAGCCTCCGATGGCATGCTCCCGGGCTCCGTAGATGAAGCGCCATTGGTCCCAGCCGCTCTTCCCTCCCGGCGCGTTACGTGCCGAGAAAGTCCGCTCAGTGGAAGCACCACTCCCGAGTTTCGCAAAGTCGACAGCCCGGGGTGGGCCGGGAACACCGTTGAATCCGGACAAAGTACGGATAGGTAAGGAGGAACCTTGCTCTGGTAGCCCCCACTCCCCAGGTGCGCTCCAATCGCGCCGAGCTGGAGAACACATGGGAGTGGGCATAGGGTGAGATCCGCCCGCTTTCCCCACAGTCGCCGTTGGCCAGCTTTTGTGACCTCATTCCCTCTCCAAACACCCCGCCATCATTCCGATTCCCCCCTCCTCCCATCTCCTGCCCCTCCAAAAAAAAGATTCGAATTCGGAGCACCTACAACATTGATTGACGACCGCCATCCTGTGATTGGTTCTCTTAGAGCATATCAAAAGTCCATAAGTGTATAATCAATTCGGCTCTCAGTCGGATTCCTTTTACACACTCTCAGCACCATTTCCCAAGACAATTGCAGTAGCTACACACCACCACAAACGACGGAAACCATGGCGGACCTCAACCTTCAAGAAATCCACGATACCCTCCTCGAGATCGCGACCGAGGCGGGCAAGATGATCATGTCCGCGAACCCGGCGTCCATCGACCAGGACACCAAGCTCAACTGTGCGTCGTCCTTCGTTTTACCCACTCATCCCGTATCCATACTACTCTGAAGCGCGTTAAACCCCCATCCCCCTTAATCCTCAGCCCCTTTCAGTCAAGCTATCCGCATCTCGACTGACTCCTCGTTTCTCCCACAGCCGTCGACATCGTAACCGAAACAGACCAGGCCGTCGAGAAGATGGTCTCGACCCGCCTCTCAACCGCCTACCCCAACATCGCCTTCATGGGCGAAGAAACCTACACAAAAGGAACCCACCTCGGCCCAGAACCGACCTTTGTCGTGGACCCCATCGACGGTACCACAAACTTTGTCCACTCCTTCCCGGACGCCTGCATCTCCCTCGGCCTGGCCGTCAACCACGTCCCCGTCGTCGGCGTCATCTACAACCCCTTCCAGGACCTCCTCTTCACGGGCATCCAGGGGAAAGGGAGCTACATGCGCCGTGCAGGCGGTCCCGCTCAGCGCCTGCCCCTCGCAGAGAACCCGATCCCCCTCACGGGTCTGGACTCGGCGCTGTTGGCGTGCGAGTGGGGCTCCACGCGCGACGGGCCGAATTTCGACCTCAAAGCCGAGACGTTTAAGAAGCTGGCGGCGACGAAGGAGAGCGGGGGCGCCATGGTGCACAGCTTGCGCGCGCTGGGATCCGCGGCGCTGAACCTGGCTGCCGTGGCGGCGGGCCAGCTGGACGCGTATTGGGAGGGCGGGTGCTGGGCGTGGGATGTGTGCGCGGGGTGGTGTATCCTGACCGAGGCGGGCGGAATCATGGCGGGCGGGAACCCGGGCGTGTGGAAGCCTGCTGTTGACGAGAGGGTATATCTTGCCGTGAGGGGCGCGCCGGGCGGGCAGAAGGAGCTTGTGGAGGAGTTTTGGGGCGTGTTGGGGGGCAAGAAGTTAGAATACTCTGTTTAGATGGAGCCGGGAGTTTGACGTTTGATTTCCTTTGATGATGGATGAATACATGAATCAAAATGGGGAGTGAATAGATGAGGAGAATTCGGGGGTTGATAGATGTGGTTGCTATGTAGAACTGCAATATAGACTATACCTTGGATCTCAAACATCAGAAGTCGTTCAATCTCACTCTCACTATGCCTAGGTACATTACCCGGATGGAGAAGCAAGGTGAGGCGGCCGATCTAGAGAGTCACAAAGCCCGCATGATCCATCTCCAATTGTGAACTCGGTGTGTTCATCCCAAGTCTGCTCATTTCACCTGACCAGGATGTGCGCATGAAGGCCATCAAATATGCATGATTTTCTCATCGGATGATAGATGTGCCCTGAGGAAGGTTCTACCATGCTCCTTAATAGCGCATGTACACAAGTTCTTAGATCACGAAAGAGATTGAGTGTTTTTCAACCCCACGTCTCCCCCCCTCCCTCCATTCAGGTAGAATGCACACTACAAAACACTTGAATACTGGTTGGAGATAAGAGGGCTTACTCTATATAAAAATTACAACAGACAGCAATCTTGTATTACTACTTTGGGGAGTGTACCTGTTTACATGGATTAGGCATCTGTCTATAACTTTGAACATCATACTAGTCATTTTCTCAAAGTCAGACGACTGATCGCCTTGGTCCAAAGTTGTTCCTATGAAGCCCTCGTTTCTCAAGGACAAGCTTCCTCGGATTTTCTTGCTCCGGTCCCTTATGTCACCTTGTCAATCAACTCGCGTGTTTTGAGCAGTCGTTATCGAGATACACTCTCATCAAATCAGCTGTAGGGGAGTCGCTAAAACACATGAATAAAAGGATGAGCACCTCAAAGTCGCCTGAAGAATGTTGAAAAGACACCTTTTCAATGAGTTTCATTCCGGAATGTTGTACCTGTTAATGACGTTAGGCAGCCGGAGCTGGACTATACCACAGACGTGGTTCCAAAGATGTATAATGGTCGACCTCTCGTGAGCAGGTGGCTATCACCACCTATTGCGACTACGGGCCGTATTACCAAGAAAAATGGAAGAACGAGAGAGATAGGCATCTTGGCCTGACGAAAAGGGGCTCGAACAGCCGGTTTGCATTTTTTTCACAACGATGGAATGTTGGATGTTTCTCGTTCCACATTGAGCAGCGGGATAGACGTGTAAGTGTTCAAAGCACCCGCGAGGCGCACAGGGCCACTTTTCATGGTGGAAACAGGCACTTACCTTGTTCGTGTCCCCCGGCTATTGATGCTTTCTCTGGAGATATCCTAATGGTTTACCTCACTTTCTTCCCTTCTAAACAGAAGACTAGACTTTGTCGTCACGGTGAAATCCAGCAAAGATCGGCTCCCCTCTCTCCTGCCTGGCTCCCTGCGAGCGGCTATGGTGGGGCGCCTGCTACAATCGTTTTCCACCACATGATGTCTTCATCCACCTCGGGCTACCTGTCCTCCAAGGCTTGCCCGGCATCTCCTACTGTAGCATCGACATTCACCCCACACCCAAAAGCAGGGGTCATTTCTCCAGTCAAGTTTGGTTTCTTAACTACGATGAAGTAAACCCTAACGTGGGTAGCGAAAGTGTAATAGCTACTAGGACAATACGAGCAGAATTTGAGTGCCGATAAGACGTTTCTAGTTTATGTGGTCGGAGCTGCTTCGTGAGGGAATAACACTGCTTTAATTTCATACCTAGGATAGAAAGGCATAATGCCCACTCCATCTACATCGGTAACTATGAAGCAAACTAGACGAAGCCAGTTTTGAAGACGACTATGTCACATTGACATCAATCGTCTTTTCAAGTCAAGAACGAACTATAAAGCAAAGAAAATCCCTTCTCTGCTAAATGAATCACGATCAAAACGTGAAAACTACGCAGACACAGTGGCGCGGGAACCCGCCGAAGCTGTCACACCGTAGGAATTGATCTGGAATTATTTTGAGAGAATCAGCCCAGAATCAACAATGGGGCCATCAAGTATTGCTTTGTTACACTCAATCCTTTGCATGGCCATCTACCTTAACAACAATGAAATCGATCCAACAGCGCTGTCGCAATCTGGGATCTAGTGCAATCTATGGCGTTGATTTCTCTCGCCAACCCGTGATTCTTGCGTACTGTTTGCTTTATTGTGTAGAAGCACGGGACAGGCGAGAGAGCCCTTCGAGATATATGCTGATCCACCGCTTTCAGTGTAAATTATAGGGTCCTCTCCGCGGATGGGAAGTCTCAATACTTACGTTTCCCAAGCCGCTCAGACGGGTCTTTGACATTTTCGATCTTCCTAGGTCCTTGAAGGAGCATCGCCTTGTCTCAAGGGAAAGAGTCTTCATATGTCCCCCAACCCCGTCGCGTTACATCAGACGATGTCCTTGTTGATTATTGGAGAGTACAGCGTCTTCAAAAATTGATGTTTTTCTGATTTCAAAGTTTCAAAGAGCCATAGTGCGAATAATCATGGTCTCGAATAGGTCGAGAATCATAACTCCACGCAGCGATCCATTCAACCGAGACAGAACCCGAGTTATATGATAATGCTCTGAGATAAGATTCATTTTTTATGGAAGGCTCCCAAAGAGCGAATTTAGCAATGTCGGTCCGACACAACGTTGAACGTGGTTACGCCCGACGCAGATCGGCTAACGCAGCCTGCCGGTGGCGTCGGTGAAACAGTAACACGAGAACAGTAGGCAATGACACATATCACCGAGACATGCTTTATTGACCGAAGAGAAGTGATAAGTCCAGCTCAAAACCTGGTTTTCCAGTCTCGAGCCAATCTGCCTGTACACAAGATCGAGAATCAAGTCATCTATTGCCAAGGAATAGAAAGACGCAGACTCATCGTAGCATGTCACATCACACAAGATCAACAAATATCACTCATATATACTAGGAATGACAACAGAGCTTCCACTGGAAAGGTCTTTCGCTGCAAAACAAGACACGTCGTTGACGGCGGCTCTTTTCACGTCGTCGACAGCGTGGGGGTTGATGAGAACGTCAGAGCCCTATAGGATGGCGTGCGCGGGGTGGGTGGGGCACTCTGCCAGGGACCATGGCACACCCTTGACTCTGGCCGTTGAAGAGGGCCATTTTGAGAATTAAGCATCGGTGTCGAAGGATACTGATGCAGAACGGCGCCAAATGACAATCCATCTTAGTTTCGGATGGCGAATATCGAGGTGGCCACCATGTTCGTCGGCGCAACGCACCTCGTGGATGAGCGACGACGGCGGTGTGATTGCGACCGTCTCCAGTGATTGGCGGAGATCAGCGCCGTTGGAAGCAAAGTTTCCCAGAATGGCAAACTTTTGGAAGCAGACCAACAAACAATAATAACAACACGGAAAAAAGCCTGTGGCTAACTCTTTTAGCGGTCGCCACAAGCGGTTCCCTCCAGGTAGCCTGCTTGTGACTCAAGACTGTTGATCTCTACCCGTGTGAAAGGGAAAGATAGTCAAAGACCTTCGTTAGTGACCGAGTGCCACCTACCCCACTCCCCACGGCTTCACACCCATCCAAGGATCCCAAACGGGAACTAGCGCAAGTTCCCATAAAGAACCCTGTCATGGGGCCGACCGGAAGATGATGCCTGCAGATGGGGATGCGGGGCGGCGAAGAACAGATTCAACGTCGCTGGAAGGGGGGTTATTTGACGACATTTTGAGATGAGATATCGGTTGTAGAGAAGGAGAGAAGAGAGGGGACTGCGATCAAACGGCCGTCGGCGTATGAAGGGACACTTGGTGGGAAGGTATGTTGGTCAGGAAAAGTCGGTGGAGTTGGATGGCGGCCCGGCACTTTGGGAGAGGATGGAGGTTCGGCGAGCTTGTTACCGAGGGAGTACGAAGAAGGATAAGCGGTAAATGCAATTAAACCGTATTCCAGGATTATCTAGCGGCGTCACAAGTGGGCGGTGGGGAACTAAACACGGAGCGTAGCGGTGGGCTGCGGGCGGCGCTAACGTCCGTGCTGGTGGGTGTCGCTCGAGGTGAATTGCGAAAAGCATATTTTCATGCTGGCGTGAGAGAGCTCAAATGTGAGATAAGCTCACAGGCAGAGTCATCAAGGCGCGAGGGCGAGCGGCGTTATCTCGCAGCCAGGCAAGGGAACGACATACCACCTGCGAATGGCGATGTGGCCACGACCTTGGCCGCGCTACCGCTGGGCAGGACGCATGCAGGGCGGGCCAGCTGCGTGGTGCCGCCTCGCCTGTCAACAAATGCATCGACGAGGTCTGGGGACGACCGAGGTCGGCGCTGGGATCGACTGTGCTAAGAGAGCCTGCAAAGTGCATGAACGGGCTCGCGACCTTGTGCTGGCCCTGGTTCAACGGCCGCTCGTCCACCTTCCATTTCGCTGGTTCTTCTATCCCTAGTCTGCGATTATTTTTGAACTGGGGCCAGGCTTAACTGGGGATGACTTCTTTTAAAGAGTCAAAACTCTTTGTCCTTGGAATGGGAAATTGAACAAGTCTGAAGCGGTGGTTCTGCTCGTCCCCAGCCATAACGCCGAGCAGCAGAAGATAAGTGGCATAGCGCTTTCGAGTCGTACAATGTGACAAAAAAATGGGATTGGCCGTTGTCAGGCGACGTGGTTTTGGTTTTGTTTTCGAGCTTCCAGGTGGATTCGCGACAAATGGTCCGGTGTCGTCTGAAGTGCGCACAGGCTGAGTCGCAGTAGCGCATAGCAAAGGTGCTTGTCGACTGTCGAGGTTGCCGGGTAATTTGGACAATTCGGTGGTGGCGGAGAAGGACGAGGACTGCAAGAGACGGCCAAGGTGGAACTTGGAAGTCAACGAGAGTCGGGAAGATGCTGGGGCCTTATCCAATGAAGAGGCCCAATGACTAACGAAGTCGCATACAAGGATGCGGCGTACGCTACCTTAGACGATGGAACACTGGGGCATTGCACAGTGCGGAGAGGCACGTCCCAAGTGTGTCGGAGCCGCCAGCCAATAGCACCAACACCCATGGGAGAATTGGGCCATGAATTGGAGAAGGAGAAAGGAAGTCGTGAGAAAGTGGGCAAGGGTGGGCAAATGCGGGCAGGCACGGCAGGGTAGACAATTTCGTTGCGCAGACGAGACCGCCCTTGGTGCCTCGACAGACACTCTGGACCGGCCCAAAGCTGATGATCCGTGGAGCCTTGAAGACTCTTGTCTGGCGAAGCTGGTCGTGCCATGCAGTATCCTGTCGCAATCCTTGCGATACAATCGTTACATTCAGCCAGGGGATGGAAACCAGACACGGCACTCGCGTAAGACAATCGGTAGTCGTCAGCTGGCGGCGCCGCGACGGGCTTTGGTGACGTTGACCAATGTCGATGATGGCTACCGGCTCTGAGTGTTGGCAATAATATGCGGTGTATCAACAAGCCTTAAAATAGGCACAGGATGCTGTGTTAGTCGCAGTCGGCGGTAGGCATGGGAGACACTTGAACGAACCAGCGTGTGATGTGGTGGTGGTCAGTCGGGTGGGAGACAAGCAGCAAGACAAAAAGAAGGTCGAAGCCGTCGCAAGTGTCTAGTTCGCACTACTTCCATCCGAGGAGCCGAAGACCGACAGCCGGACTTCCTTTCCTCCACCTTGATGCACCGCACTCATCTTGATCACCTGCCGTCAACTCAAGAAGAGCCAGAAAACCCACCACACACGACACGATCATCGACGGTCGAGCTACTGCATCGACAAGGAATCGTAGCGCAACTTGCAAGCGCATATTCCTCTAGAGCCCGTGCGCTCGACAACCCTGGAGAGAAGAGAGAAAAAAAACATCAACAGGACGCTACGCTAGCGCAAGATGCCTCCCCCGTCACCCGCATGGTCCGAAGCACCACCCAATTATGCAGATATCCCAGGCCTAATCCGCTCCCCTCCTGCATATCTGCATACCCTAGCCCCTCAGGTGCTTGCGCATGAGCTGCTTCGGTCCTTGCAGGCGCAGTCAACAGTCGAGGCTCCCCCTCCATTGCCTCCAAGGGCTCCATCTTCATGGCTTCTTCCCTGTCGTCGCGCGGCCAGACTTGCTGCTTTCCTCGGATGCCGTCGGTCTGGAAACCGCTTTCTCCCTGGCCATCCCCACCTGGCTGTCGCCTGCGCAGTCCTTCCAGGTGACAATCCGGCGCACCTGCATTCCCACCCGACTTGAGCTGTGCCCCACCACACTGTGTCACTGTGCTGAAGGACGGGACGGTGTAAGTCGGTCGTATCAGACGGGAAAGAGAGCAGAGGGTAGGGGGGAGACATCTCGCACCGCCCGTCATCTGCATTCCTCCCACCCAACACTCCCGCAACTCATCCCACCGTGCAACTGCTGCATCCGCCGGCTTTCTCTCCCGCTTGCATCCGCCATTATTCTTTTCTTCTAGCTCCATCTGGCACTCCGGGTTGTTGCAAGCACTTGTTTCCACCCTCCATACTCGGAAAACCGTTATCGTACACGGATCCACGTCCAAGAACCAATATTTACCTCCCCTCCTCTCCTGCTTCCGCTCTTTGCAACATTCTTCTTCTTTCTCCCTCGACATCAGCTATCTGAAGACGGACGAAATCTCTTCCTGTGTCCTTCTGTCCTACAAGACGTCACCGCCGCCGGACGGGACAGCAGAAACGTGTATAAGCGTACACGCATCCCGACATTTCATTCTTCAAGTTTTCTACGTTCCAGTAGATTCTCGTCGAGTGTTCTGTCGCATCGTAAGACTTGAACCAAGTCGAGAGACAATGGCCCTAACCATGCAGAAAAGCCCTCGCAACCCGGACGACTTCCCCACCACCCAGCTCTTCCTCCTCGGTAAGTTTCACACCATATTCCCTAGCCTGGCATTCTCTGTCTCGTCTGTGAGCCTCCCATCACCCTTGCCGCGTTCCAAACACGCATACAAACACACACACACTCTCTCTCTCTCTTTCTCTCTATCCCTTTTTCAGCCACGCACACTGACGCCACCTTCTCAGCCATTGTTCGCCTTGCCGAGCCTATCGCACTCACCTCTATTTTCCCCTACGCTTGGGCCCTCGTCAAGAGATTCGAAATCGGCAACGCTGAAGATGCCTCATTCTACGCCGGCCTCCTCATCTCTTCCTTCTCCCTCGCGGAGGCCCTAATGGGCATGTATTGGGGCAGCCTCTCTGACCGCATCGGAAGAAAACCTGTGCTTCTCCTGGGATGCGTCGGTACTATGTTCAGCATGGTCATGGTCGGCTTCGCCTCCAATATCTGGATCGCTCTGGCCGGCAGAGCCATCGGCGGTCTTCTTAACGGCAACATCGGCGTCATCCAGACCATGGTTGGTGAATTGGTGACCAAGCCCGAGCATGAGCGTAAGAGCTCCCTTCTCTGACCTGAAAGCCCTGCATTGTGCTAATCTAGTAGCCCGCGCTTTCTCTGTTATGCCCTTCGTGTGGTCCATTGGCACAATCATCGGTCCCTTTATTGGTGGTACCTTTTCCGATCCCCATGATGCTTTTCCCAGCATCTTTCCCGCCGGTGGCATATTCTACCGCTACCCTTACCTCCTGCCCAACCTTGTCTGTGCCGGTCTCCTGTTCATCAGCATCATCTTGGGCTACTTCCTCTTGGAGGAGACCCACCCCGAAATGCAACCTCGCGTGTTCTTACCCGACGACACGTACGCATCTGAAGAGACTCCCCTGCTGGAGACTTCAGATGCCATGAAGAGACCTGCCGTCGACCTACGAGATGACAACTACGGAACCGTCCGTGGCCGTAGCGCGCAGACCTCCGAGAAGAAAGCCGACCAGTCCTACAACATCTACACCAAGCCCATCATGTCGCTGATTCTCGCGCTCTGCATCTTCACCTACCATTCAATGACCTACGATCACCTCTTGCCCATCTTCTTCGAGGATGACCGCGCCACTGCCAACCCGATCACCATTCTCACCGACGACTCGAGCCCCTTCTACACACCTGGCGGTTTGGGCCTTTCACTACGTGCCGTAGGCATGATCATGGCAGTGAACGGTGTCATTGCGCTGTTCGTGCAGGCCGTCATCTTTCCCTTCGCCGCTGAGAAGTTTGGTGTCTACCGACTCTTCATCATCGTCACCGTACTCCACCCGATCGCCTACGTCATGGTCCCGAGCCTGCTTTTCCTCCCCGAGTCGCTTGTATACGCTGGCATCTATTTCTGCTTGGCTATCCGCAACATTTTCTCCATTATCTTGTACCCTCTGCTCCTCATCTTGATCAAAGAGGCTACGCCCACCCCTAAGGCCTTGGGCAAGGTCAATGGTCTGGCCGCCAGCGCCGCTGCTGGCTTCCGCATGGTCGCTCCACCCGTTGCCGGATGGCTGTACACTTTTGGAAGCAAGGTTGATTGCACGGCTTTGGCATGGTATGGCAGTGCCGTCGTTGCTGTCATCGGTGCTATTCAATGTTTCTCCGTGAAGCGTGAACGCAAGTACGAAGCCAGCGAGGAGGAGGCCCCGCCTTGCCTCCGCAAGAAGGAGTCCCGAGTCACTATCCGGGAGGCGTTCTCGGACGATGAGTGAATGTGTCGTGAGATGAATCTGACGAATATGGTTCGAAGGAAGAGATGTCATGAAATGGAGTTCAAATTTTTTTTTACTACCCAACCAAAGCATGAAAGGGCAATAGAAGGGGAGTTTATTTGCTTTTTAGGTCGTAACAGGACAGCGTCACGGATATGGGTTCGAATTTTGGAGTTGGGATCAGGTGCTACGAGTGTCGGATAGACTAGAGATACTTCTCGTCGGTTTTTGGGCGAGCGTGGTTCAGCTGGAGTTTTGTCGCACATGATTCGGCGTTGGGAGCGAATTATTACTAAGTCATTTGCCAAACCTAGTTAATTGCTCTAATAGAATCGCACTCACACTGATGAAACTGGGGCATTTCTGGGCGAACGTGATTCCAACGAATGATGTTCTCATGTATTCAATTAAAGCCGTTGCATTCCCTGTCCCTGGTTGCTTGTATAAATTGGCAGATGCGATTCCTGTCTTGGGGGAAGTTATCTCGACTTCAAGTGAGGTTGAAGAAGTAGGATTCTATGAGGTTCGTAGCTCCTCCATGAACTCCAGAATTTGGGTGATCTGCCCAATGAAAATCGCCACCGCAATACCACACACAAACTCACTCAACTTTGAATTTTTTGCTCAATCACAGGCTCACAAACAACACGCGACGAATCTCATGTGAGACTCACAAACTCACATTGCAACATCCAGCTCTCACAACCAAGCCCAATTTTTTATCCGTTCCTTCAGATACTTTGCATTCCAAAGACACACCAGGTCACGACCAATTACAAAGAAAAAAAAAAAAAAAAGCGGGACACACCCGCAAAACGACGGTCCAGATGGAAGAAATCACAGACCAAATGGCTGACGCCATGATCGCAGAGGTCCAGCGCCGCGACGCCGCGGAAGCAGCAGCGGCGCAGTCCGTCCCGGGGGCCTCCAAAGGCGCGGCCTTACCCCCCGGTCACGCCCTGCTGAGCGGCAAGACGGCGGACGAGGTGTTGGCGGACCTGAACAAGTCGCCGCTCTTCATGACGTCGCTCGAGGACAATGACGATGTGGCGGCACTGCAGGCACTCGCGTACGAGGGCACGGCGCGCGAGAACGGCGAGGAGTTTAAAGAGCGCGGGAACGAGTGCTTCAAGGCGAAAATGTGCGCCGACGCAAAGGAGTTTTACACCAAGGGCGTCGAGATTCTTGCGCTGGAGGAGAAGAGGAGGGCAAAGGGGGACAAGACGTTTCATACGGAAAAGGCAAAGGTGGAGGGCGAGAACGCAGACGCAGAGGACGAGGACAGGGACATTGAGGTCGAGGACGACGAAGAGGAAATCGCCAAGCAAAGAGCCGTGCTAGAGTCCCTGTACGTCAACCGCGCGGCGTGCCACCTCGAGCTGGGCAACTACCGCTCCTGCTGGACCGACTGCGGTCTCGCTCTGCGGCTGAACCCCAAGAACCTCAAGGCCTACTACCGCTCCGCCCGCGCGCTGCTCAAGGTGGGACGCATCGCCGAGGCCGACGACGCGTGCGCGCGCGGCCTGGCGCTCGACGAGGGGAATAAGCCGCTGCAAGCAGTGGCGCGGGACATCATCGCGGCTGCGGAGCGCGCCGACGCCAAGGCAAAGAGGGAGCAGGAGCGGAAAGCGGGCGAGAGGCGGCGGGAGATGCTGTTGAAGGCTGCGCTCGCGGCGCGCGGGATCAGGACGCGGGTGACGGAGCAGCCTCCCGAGATGGAGGACGCGCGGATGAGGCTCGTGCCGGACGAGGAGGACCCGAGCAGCAGTTTGAGTTTCCCCGCGGTGCTGCTGTACCCCGTGCAGCTCGAGAGCGATTTTGTCAAGGCGTTCAACGAGACGGAGTGTCTTGCGGACCACTTGCGGTATATTCTGCCGTTACCGTGGGACGAGAAGAGGGAGTATTCGCCTGAGGGGGTGGAGTGTTACATGGAGACGGCCAAGGGCGGGCTGGTCAAGGTGGGCAAGAAGGCGACGCTGCTCAAGATTTTGAGCGGGGGCAATGTCGAGGTTGTGGATGGCATCGTCAGGGTGTATGTCGTGCCGACGGCGAGGGCCAAGGGGTGGATTGAGGAGTTCAAATTGAAGAAGGCTGCGGAGAAGAGGAGTTAGGCAGAGGCTATAACATGACTTGAATGACGATCAATTTTCGAAAAGAGAGATTCTGCACGGTTGCTACGAATGCACTAAAAAGGACTCTGGCGATTGGGATGTTGCTATTGGATACCTTTTCCACCTTTCAGATTCCACCAAACACCGGTCATCGACACCTCATTTTTTTTTAGGACACAAAGTTGGACAAGAGAGATAGCGAGAGTCGTTCTAGTCCGTCCGCAAACATTATCTGGCCCCGACACCAGAGGAAACAATACAAGTGAGTGCGCGGGCCAAACATGGGAATCTAGCATTCGTTCAAGTCGTCCGAGTCATCCATCCTTGCCCTGCCCGTCCTACCCCTCCCCCTCACTAGGTCACGCAGACGTGGCCCGTCGTCGCTTGGTACGGTGCGAATCGGAGCTGTCAAAATCGCTCTGGTACCCAGACTCCTTCCGAGACGCCGTCTTGAGCGTCATGAGGCCCAGCGCTGCATTCTGTTCGGCAATCTCGGCGTCCGACTCTTCTTCCCTCCGTCGTTCGGACAGCAAGCTGAGTGAAGGGCTGCTGAGCTGGCTACTCTCGCTACTGCCACGGCCGTCATCGCCGTCGTCGTGATCGATGGGGCGTTTTTGCGCCCACGATGGACGGGGAGTTGGCGTGTGTCTGTTCAGGGGGGTGAAGCGGGGGACGGCGCTGAGGTATGGATGAGGTGTGCGGTAACTCTCATCGGCCAAGCGGTACGGTTCTGGACGGTTTGCGGCCACCCATCCAGAGGTCGGTGGCTGAGAGGGTCGTGCCGGAGCCTGGTGATATCCATAGCCGTAGCTGATGCCGTCTGAGCTGTTACTGGAAGCCGAGTCCGGGCACGAGCGGTTTCCCTCTCCATCGGTATCGCTGTACGGGCTCATGAGGCGAGTTGTGTTGAGTCGGAGTCTTCTGTCGTCACGAAGAGGTCGCATCGGCCGTCGTTCAATATCAGACATGTGTTTGAGCCCGATAGGAGGTGGAGCGTGGTGCTGTACTTTTCGTGACCGGTCAGCGTCTTTGATGGCGTCTTCGACAATTCGATGGTCAATCACCATGCGTTGGTACTCTGGAGAGCCCGGCGGGACGCACATGGACGGAAACGATGGGCCAAAGATGGGAATCAGAGCCCCGGCAATGTTGTAGCAGAACGTGGCACACACTGCCTTGGCACATTCATAGGGCATCCAGTATCCTGAAAAGGTTAGCTTTCATAACTTATAACTGAAGCTGCTTTGGCCAACCTTGAGCTGCTATTGCGCCTCCCGTGATGCTGTGAGTGATGTCCTTGAGGCCAGGATTGAGGCTCAGCATCTTGGCCGGAACAGTCTGTGCCAGTCAGTAGAGCTCTCGAGTTAGATTCATTCTGAAGTTCTACCTTGGAATACTTGCAACACTTGAAAAACGGGGTCATGCGAACAAGACCGACGTTGTAGTCCCACATGACGGTGAAATCGTTGTCCTCTCCAGGGACCTTGAACTCGTACTTGAAGACTAAGCAAATCGGTCAGTAACGGCAGCCAGCAGATATCGAGACTAGAAACACAAACCTTCAAAGCTCTCCCGTCCTGTCTTCTCGAAGAAATCCTTCTTGCCGCTGTTGTAGGGAATGTGGGCACATGACTCCTGGATACGACCAAAAGGCGAAACACGAAAGCGATGGACCTCGCAGCGGGATAGTTCGTCAAAGTTCTCGAAGGGAAAGTATTTGATTACTCCACGGGGCTTGTACTTGGACACTGTAGATGGGTCCTTGGTCATCTTGAGCTTTGGAACGGTGGTTCGGTCGAGATACGGTGATTGATCTCTGTCTGAGTAGCAAGTTCCCGGCGAGGACATTGCAGGACTTGGGAGGAACCGAGGGGTAGGAAGTGGCCCTGGAGGCGATGGGTTAAGAAGGGAAGAGACGGAAAGCATCTTGCCGGCTGTTTGTTGGTGCAAGATGTCTTTAAAGCGGTACTATGCTGCGATGCGAAGAGGACCTGGTGAACCGGCGTAGGCGAACCTGTTTCTAAAAAGGGGAGGGGAAGTTGGAAGACTTAAGACAAGTACTGCATCAATAGCGAGACCAGGTGTAGAGGTAATGGCCAGCGGATAATCAGGGAGGTCTTTGGCATTCGGCAAACACTTGATGTCTTCGTTCCGGGGGTTGGCGACTCAGCATCCACGGGCGTGCAGCACGCTGACAAAGTTTTCCAGGACAAGGGGGTTCGAGATTGTCGCTTTGCTGAGAGACACGGCTAGTTCTGCAACGAATCCTGCACTCCAGTACGGGGCTCGGGGCCTCTCCTTGAGTTTCGGCGCTCTCGGTGCAGATTTCTTTGATGCGGTGTCTTGGAATCGACCTCTCAGCATTGAGGTCTCCGTTTGTGACCGGCCACCGCTCTTTCTTTTGCCGTATCGAGGTGATGCCACGAAGTGATAGATGACTGGTAAGATGGGGGAAAGGAGGAAACACCGAGAGTACAGACCGACGGCGGTCTAATATGTTGCCCTCAGGAGGGATCTCACGAGACCAACTTTGATGAAGTGAGGTTACCGCGGAGGCTTGTGTGGTGGTCGCAAGTTACTGCATGTGTCGTCTTGATGTTGGAAGATCGGGTAGGCCAAACTGCTCTGGGGAAGCTTCCATGCAGGATAATCCGCAAGCTTGCCCAACCTGTAAAGTTTCAAAGTAGTAGCCAAGCCGTTAGACTGCGGTTTTTGAGCCACTCGAATCACACCTTAGAGGCCTTCTTGGAGGTTGCCAGAGATCGAAGCTAGGCAAGTTTCATCAGATATCACCAGCTCAAGCATTGGTCCGCAAAAAGGCTTCACAGAAGAATGTGGAGCTTATCCGCCAAAACCCTAGAGTCATTGGACAAGTTTGCAAGCGCAAATACAGCAGAAGCTACCGCAAAGACCAAACAGGTATGGTTACCGTTTTCTGGAGGCGCACGGGGGTGGGATTTGCAGAGCCGGCTCGCGGATAGGTGCATAAAGTGCCATCTCTGGCCGTTGACTCTAACAACTTGTTCGAGACGGTCGGACAAGGTTGGCTATCCTGCAACGTTGGAGATCTCAGGACAACATCAACCTGACTCGGCACGTGCGGCCGGGAGTTTTAACAGCACATGCGGAAGACTTCCAGTTGCGGTTTTCCACCACTGATACCATTGCCAGCAGCACTACGTCGTGAGTACCAGACGCTTTCCCCCTGGATGACACGTTTTCCTATGTGTGATTATGGGTTGGCCTGTCGTCAGACCGCCAAAAAAAGCCGGATCACTTTCTTTGTAGCCTGGCTATGTGCGTATCCGTAGGCAGGCCAGTGAAGTGCTGAGATAATCTCAGTTCCTTCGACAGAAGTATGATCCGTATCATGCTTTTGCGTGGCTCCTCTTCAGGGGGTGGTTGCAGATGTCACCAGAGTATCCCTTGTTCCCCCACGAGCTTGCCTGCGTACAAGCACGAAGAAAATGTCCGATGGGAAGCACAAAATCCCGGTCTATCTTGGGGTACGGCCCATAGGCTGGCTGGCGTCGCGGTTCCAGTGATTGAAGTCTTGCTTTCGAGAGTGGTGTCAATCAGAATACGGATAGCTGTATTCGAGCAGATCATCGGTCAGGAGTGACCGCCCCTGCGGGATGCGCCGTGAACAAGTCCGACTTGTCTCGGAGCCTGACGGCTGGGTTGCTGAAGTGACGCTGTGAATGGCATCAATAACGAATCCACAGCATATCGAGAATACGGAGAACAGCATTGGTCATAGTCGAGTCAATGGGCCCCCTGCTTAGTGCTTCGTTAATATGGTGACTAGGCATTGGCCTTCTGCGGCCTTCCGCGCACCGCTACTTTTGACAAGCCATTAAGTCTAGCGTGGCCGCGGCCCCCAGGCTGGGCGCTCTTGCAAACGGACTATATGATGAGCTGGACGGGCTACGGGCCTGAAAGACAGCTCAGTCACGTTGCAAGGGTAGAGGTAGACGTGGACGACAGCCGCTTTTCGGACCCTTGCTGCAGACTGATGAACTGATATCTAGGCGTTTGCTGACATGTTTCGCAGCGTTAGACGATGCCGGAAAGGAAGACGGCGAACCCGCTGGATCCTGGCAAATACTTCCATTTGGGCGCCATGCCTTGGGTTGCAGTCTTCGGACTCAGACTTGTAGAGGCCCGAGAGATGCCAAATTTGGCACCATTGCGGCTCCTTAGAGAAGTGTTGGTGAAGATTCCATCATGGTTTCAGATAGCCATTCACTGTCTCGGTGACACTACAGCGAGTGACAGGAGAGGGGTGGCGAGGTCGCCATGCGCAGTACGACTCAAGAATGGAAACTGCGTCGGCTGTACGCATCGACTTCGGGATGTTTGGCTCTTTCGCCATGCCAAATTCAGGATTAAGTCGTACACAGCGTGAATGGAAAGCGTGATTGTGTAGCTCGGGCGACGGCTGGGCAGCTCCACCTCTGCAGCGGCCATGGGCAAGGCCATCCGCAGTCCATTAGACCAGTGAGGTAGCAAGCAATGTCGAGAAATATCCATGTCGTCTAGGGACCGTAGTAAAATCTTCCTAGCCAGGTTCCTTGGGCTTGGATATCTCGAATCCAGATACCACTTGAGTCCGGTACTATCCAAAGCAGTTCCCGACGATATCATTGCGAAGCCTCGAAGGCCAGATGACACCAACTGGGATGGCGAAGGAGGTCGCGAAGCTTAAGTTGGAAGCCATAAAGAACTGAATTGTCTCTGTGATACTAGCCTGAGGAAGTGATGGCGGTTGCCTCACACAGTGTGACGCGAAACCTCGTGGCTCTACGGCTCGCCCTCGATGCAAACTCGTCGTGGCCGGCGCTGCACCACTGCTGCGTTGCACAGCGTCGGAAGGAGAATAAATGTGTGGAGAAAGGAGACAGCTTCGTGCGATGTCTGATGATATCTCCGAGAGGTCATAGGTTGAGAACGGAGTCTGGCAAGGTCGTTGTGATGTTGGGGATGATGCAGAACGAGGGGTTCGTGTTACACGCGATTGAGGTTGCAATGGCTCGAGGACATAAGAATACTTACCCAAGTATCCAGGAATACCTTATGCTGCATCAGCAACCAATTTACTTCGTACCGGGCATTAGGAAAGAAAGCATCAACATGAGCAGTCCGCCTTCCTTGAGAGTCTCGAAGAAGGAGAGTCCCTTACCTAAGCACCCGGGGTGTGACTCCCGGCGCTCGTCCCCTTCCCTTCCCTTCCCCAACCGCCCAAAGAAGCCAATCCTCTGGTTACACACCCTCCTTCATCTTCCGAACCATCTCATGAACTGGTCCGTTCATCCAGTTTCGTCTGCCCGAGTTTGATTAGCTCTTTTCCCGCTGAGGATTCCATTTCCATTTGCAACATCATCGGCCGTCGACAGGTGCTACTCGAGAACCTCACAAAGAGCCCCTTCGACCACAGCTCAACCGCCGAAATCGCTGTTTACCAGGCCTCGAGCACCGGAAGGAATTGAGGCATCGGGTACTCTACCTGCCACCTCGTCCAAATCAGATTTCTTTCCGAAAACCCTGTCCATTCCATCATCGCCAACTTAAATCATCGCCAGGGAGGAGTAAGGCGCAATAGCTGGTGGGAATTCTGGCCTGCCAGCAATGCATCTCGACATATTGGAGTTGCACGTTTGAGATCAAGACAGTCGAAAGATTTTTTGACTTTGGTACACCTCGAGCAGGCATTTGGTGAAGATATTTTGGGTGCGGCAGCTTTGTGTCTCTGTACTTGGCATGGAGACGCCATAGTCTGCGCGTTTCGCCGGATGGGTGTGTGGTGTGTCTCACTACCTCAGAGGCGGACTGAATTCCACGCATCATCCCTTTATCGTAGTCAACATTCCTCGATATACCCTCAAAAAGATGGCAATCTCCTCAGGATGGTAGATTTGTTTGTTCACGTCAAGTGTTGCTTTTCGCAACGGCCTTTATACATTGACAAAATGGTGTCTCTTCCATCCACAATGCAGCCCCTGTACGCTTATCATAATCATGCCAGGGCATTACATGCGGTAACGTTTTTGCTCGTCCTTCTTTTTATATTAATTCAGGCAGTGAAAAGTCGCCAGGATGCTTACGAAGTCATTGATGTCGATCCCCTTGTGCCGGTGGTCAAGCCTGACGAAAAGGAGAGTTCCGTACAGAACATCGATTACCTGAGGACATTTGCGGAGCGACACAGTCTTACACGAAACATATCTTGGTACTCTCAGAGGATCAGGGTGATACGGGAGGCCCCTCACAGGTTCCCAATGACAAACATCAAGCGCGCGTTTGTGGGCAAGGAGTTTCAAAATATTCGTTGGGATGACGAGAGTTTCGACATGTACCCCAAAGGCGATGCAAACGATATTCCTGTAACCACAAGCACAATGCCGGACGCAGTCGATGCTTCCGATTTGTTGTTCGGTATCTCAACGACCTACAAACGCCTCACATACGCTGATGACTCCCTCATCAGGGACTGGCAGCGATGGCTTACGAATGGTCATGGCAGATCTAACGGAGCGAGCGTAGTTGTGACGCTCTATCGAGCCACGAGTCAAGAGGCGTGGGAAATATACGAGAAGCTGCAAGGTTTCGGCATAGACGCCACCGTAGTACCTCTGGAGAGAAAACGGGACAAGCCCTCGAGATATCTGGACCTGGTCACCATCCTCATGGACGTCAACGATGCGTTGACCGAACAAGAACGTCGCAAGAAATACTTTGGCCTCCTGGACGACGACATCTTCTTCCCCACTCCAGGGCAGCTCATCAAACGACTCTCCCAGTTCGACGCCTCTAGCCCCTATTACATTGGGCTTCCTAGTGAGCGGCCAGACTGGTCCGTCGAGAACGACACAGCAGTCACCCACGGCGGCGGCGCGGTCTTCCTCACTCCGCCCGGGGCACTCCTCATCTCTCACCTTCCGTGTCGTCCCGATGAAGGATTTACTGGAAACCACACAAAGTGGGACAGCATCCTCCACGAGTGCATGACAACCCATACCGATCTCTCCTTCCACGTCCTTCCGAGCTTCTACTCGCCCACAGATGCCCTCTACAACATCCAAGCAGCGACATACGACCTGGGCGTCTCTCCGCTGACCCTCCGGCACTACAAATCCCGCCACCGCTTCGACCCCAGCCAGGGACACGCGGTGACCTCCGTCTGCGGAGAGGCCTGCTTTCTGCAGCGCTTCCGGTTCGCCGACGACTGGGTGCTGGTGAACGGGTACTCGCTCACGCACTACTGCGCCGGGTCGGAGGTTGTTCCCATGGAAAACGATGCGGATCTTCTGGGGGCTATGCAGTATGGCCAGGAGCCCGAGATGCCGCTTGGAGAAGGCATTGTACTGCATGAAACCAGTGAGGATAAAGAAGTTGTGACGTGGAGGGGCACGAGGAACGTGTGGCTGTTGTTGGATTCCGTTGTGGGTGAAAAGGGTGAGGTTTGGCAGGTATATGTGAAGAGGAGAGGCGGGTCAGGCTTCATGGACGGAGAGGAGGAGGGCGAGGATGGGGATGGTGATCATCTTGATTCTGTTATTGCTCTCATTTGGGAGTCTTAGGCTTTTATAGGATGCGAAAGAGACGGCACAGTCCAGCTCCAAGCGTTACTGTACGCGATGCGATCTGCACGCATGTGACCACGTTTTGCTTCCGTCACTCGCTTCGTGTCCTTTCAAATTATCAGACTCCGCCTACAGACTTGCGTATACGTGGGGCTGCACAGTCTGAAGCCCTGCGGAACCCCCCCC